TCGGCACTGGGTAAAGTTCATCAAACAACAACAACATAAGCTTCATTTGCATGACTATATGGAGTTGCAATATTGAAAAATGCCCGGAACCCGTACGATTTTAAATTAAAAGATTGTGTCTTCAGAAGCTGTATTTTCCAAAACAAAGGCTACTACAAGGTCTATACGGGTATAATAGATCCATTTTCACCGTTTTCATCCTTTTATGCATCAAATGTATATTATATAAATTTATACATTATATACTATATTCCGTTCGACCGCTTTGCTATAGAAAAGATAGGAGGTTGCACACCGTAAATGATCTAATAAACACCCGCGGCGTTTTTAAAATTTTAAGTCTAAGAGGGGGCGTTTATTCTCGAAACTTATTTTAACGAACTCAACTAAAATGTATACATTATGCTTTCGGCCAAAAACGTTTTTTTTTTTTTTTGTTAACAGAGTGTCGACTGCGGGCTGACGGTTTATCCTTACTTTAAACAATAAATTGTACATGACATAATACACAAAACGATACCAAGCAAGCTATGAAACTGATTGATTTTGCTCTATTTCGCCATTTCCTAGTATTTTGGAACAATTTTCAAGGGGCGTTTATTAGACTGGGGGCGGTTATCAGACATGGAGGGCGGTTAATACAAACTTAAAAGCGTAGAGGGAGGGGCGTTTATTACTCGGGCTCACTTAAGGGCACAGTAGTACATTATAAAGACCAAGAGAGAATTATCTCATTCTCTTTGTTAAGACACACTCTATTTTTTTAGACTATCCATCTGTGAGTGTAAAGAAGTGTCTAGCCGTTTATTAAGACTCTCATTGGAATAAAATTTGCTTGCAACAGTTATTCTCAATATCTATACTGAAAACGATTCTTGGGTTATTTTTTTTCTCAAAGACGGCTTTTAAGCGCTAAAGTGCTAAAGTTAAAAAGGGCATTAGAACGAATTGCGTTAGGGAAACCCGTTCTATTTCTTCACTTCTAAAGTGTCTGTTCACTGAATATCTTTAGCAAAAAGGTTGCGGTTCCTGTGTCCTCTACTTCTAAATTAACATAGGCTGCTCTTATATTCCGAGTTGATCTGGTGCTGGGGTGATTAAATTAAACTTGTAAAAGTCTAACTTTAGCTATTGTTTTCAGACTCTAAAACAGTGGCTACTGTAAATTTCTCAAGTAAATTACAGTTGCAAATGTTTTATTAAATTCACGCAGGAAATTCATCATACAAAAGAGAGAACAAAGCGGCATGGGTGTCTTCAAAGGTAAATACGTTTGCTGTAGGCTAAGTGACAACCAGAACCTCATTACAGAAATCGGTTTAATCTTCTCCGATGCAACACCTTCTCCTAGCTGGATAAATTCTAACACGTTTACTTAGTTTCAAGGGTTCTGTTTATTCTAAATGATTAAGTTAATTGGTTACAAACATAGCTACAGAGTACCGTAAAATTCCGAAAATAAGCCCCGGGGCTTATTTTTTTCAAAGGCCCTTTTTAAGGGGCTTATTTTTGGAGGGGCTTATCTACGGAGGGAAATTTGCGTTTCAAGATCGATTGGGCTAGCCTTATAGTTGAAGGTAAATTTACCGTTTTTGCTTTGTTTTACTTTGTATTTGAGGGTAATTTTCCAAATACAAACCCCCGGGGGCTTATATATGGAGGGACGATTTAACAGAGGGGTTTTTGCGTACCGGTTTGGGGGGCTTATATTTGGAGGGGCTTATTTTCGGAACTTTACGGTATCCATATGCTACCTGCTACTTATAACGCCAAACTCGTAACAATAGAAACAAGCCATAGAAACTGGCCATCACTGAAAATGTCTCAGATTAAGTGCGCGAGGGATATCCTCTAGGGAAAAAACTCCGAAAAACCTCAGCTGAGGCAGAAAGTGATGTACGGCCGTAGTGATTTAAATGCACATCACTTCAAGAGTACACTTAAGTATACCGGTAATTGTTTTGGGGGTTTCATGTAACCGGGTTCTGGCACCGACGACTAGCTTTGTTTGGTCAGCTCCACAAATAACTAATCGATGGGACTGACAACGATGAATAATCGATGAGTAATCATTGGGCAATCATTTGATTAGTCATTCAAAATTCTTTATAATCAATTACTAATCTATGACATTGATTACTCATTGATGTAGCCTGCATGGCAAGCGTTTCCACGTGAGTTCGTCTAGAAAGAGCAAAAAAAGAACAAGAACTTGATTGGAAAGGTTTGCTTTGAAGGCTATCATTGATGTCATGGATGGGTAATTGATGCATTCGATTACTCATCGATTATCTAACAATTATCTATCGATTTCACTGATGCCATTGATGTCATCGATTAGATACGTCAGTAGGTGTCACTTTTAATTGTTATGTACCATTTCCGTCGCGGAATTTTTTTACACAAACGTCAATTTTATTCATCCTTTGCGGACGGCCATCTCTACACTGATCTCCAGCAAAACGTTCAACACATGGATCAAGATCATGAACAGAGAGTTTTCAACTGCGCATTTACCGAGGCAGTTAACGAGGGATTGGAATGCGTAGTTTGGTAAGTAAGCTCACTTTTAAATTAACGACAGTGCATCCAACTCGATGTGTTGCTATATCTGTTCAATGCTATCAAATGAGGAGCGAACCCACCAACATATTTCAATGTTTAAAAAGCATTTCTTGTCCTTTTGCCTCTTGATCAGCGCCCTTATTCACATCTTAACAAAAATCTGCCACGATTTGCGGTGATTTTGGTCGATCAACTCAAATGATGCAGTCGAATTTTTATGTAAGACCGGTTCGCCGGTCGTGGTTCATGTGTTTCCTTCTCCAATGTAAGTTAGTTCCATCAAAGTCAGTGTTGATCACAAAAGTTTCAACAAACCGGGGCGGCCGAGTTGTCATTGAATATTAGTTTGCATTGTTTGCTTTGGGAGCGAAAAATGCAAGCGTTTCATTCTTTTCTCGGTAGTCACCAAAAAACGAGGTTAACTGGAGATAAAAATCATAGTGTGACAAATGCCAAGCTGATAGAAATAGCGAGCGTTTTGTCAAAATTCCAAAGAAACTTCTTTGGGAACAACTGAATGCTTAAGTAGCCGAATAAAACAACGAAAATTTGCTAAGTCATTTTTTGGTGAGCTTGCGGTATTATTTTGTCTATTTTCGTGCTAGATTGAAATGGAGCGCAATGTTCAACAAGTCTTTCCAATTTTGCAATGAAGTAATCGGATGCGATAAAAAAAATATATATATATATACCCGTGATTGATTTTTCTGTGGAATTAATCCCCACCTTGTTTCATATCTTATCTCCAAGCAAGCTGGACTAAAAAATTTTTTGTAAACGTCCTTGTCGGTGGTACAATGCAATGGCGTGGGCATGGGGGCAATTCAAGCACTAGGCGCTCCGGCTATTGTAGGCGCAGTCTCACAGGGATACTTTTACTGTGATAAATGACCTGACGTTTCTCTTAGCAAATCGCCGTTTTAGGCTACGCACGTTAACGCATAGTCACGCAAATTAAATTCAGACAAGATAAAAAGTGCCGATAAACGAGAAGTGGAAGTACGGGCGACCTTTCACGCAAAAATCAGTAAAGAAATCGGTAAAGCGTGACGTAAAAGCGCGCGAGCCTCACCCCTAGGGCGTGTGGGGCGAGTCTCTCCCCAGTCTCGCTCTCTGTTTTCAGCCTTGTTGCAGACCTTCTGTTTGACTGCTCTCGCGTACTTGACACAAACGGACTGTTTTACAGTTTATCGCGGGCTATTCCTACGTGAAAAAATCCTCGAAAAAAGGGCAAAGCAGGTTTCCTTTTTCGCTAACACGACGATAGCGTAAAGACAAATTGGCCTTTTTAACGGGTCTCTTTCGCGCTGCAGAGAGAAACATCAATGTTTACATTTCACATTTCACAGGAGGGTGAAAGTAAAAACTCCCGGGTAAAAGATAAACTGCGAGGTGCGGGAAAGGAAAAAAAACAGCGGATCAATGAATTTTTGATTTGGGGTTCCTAAGTTAGGTCCAAATAGCAATTACATTTGAGAATATTGCAGGAATCAAGTTTAGTGGCTAAATGCGATGCACGTTTTATGAAATATATGATCCTGTCAATGTAAGAATTTCATTCCCAAACAAGAGTCTTCATCAGGGCCCCACACGGCAATCATTTGAAAAAAAGAAGAAGAAATTGTTTCCCCCGAGTAAATAATAAATAATTAACGATATTAAATACTAAGCAATAAATTCCAATTATTATAGTCTAAAGGTCATGATGAAACCAGTCACTTTGAGATGTGGCCACTCTGGGTGTATGGACTGCCTGAATAGCATCATTAGTCTGTCAAGTAATACATCAGTCTCAAGAGGTCCATGCCCGGTTTGCCGTCAACCGTTCCACCTTGATGAGCTACACCTCAATGTCAGCCTGGACAAGTTGACCAGGGTCTGAAACTGGAGTGCTGCAATAGGGATTGTCAGTGGAAGGGGACACTTGACGAGGCTCGAGAACACGGGAAGAATTGCCCAAAAGCGGTGGCAAGTTGCCCTCACGAAGGGTGTCCGAACGTGAGTACAAGGGAGGAAATCGAAAGGCACCAGGATGACTGCCAATTTAGAAAACTCGAGTGTCTGGGCTGCAGGACTCTGGTGCGAAGGGCCAACCAGCAAGATCATGAAACAGACGGATGCAATTACAGTAGAGTGGATTGTCCCCTTGGATGTGGCACAAAGTTGCCTAGGTATGAAAGATCTATGTATATGCACCTATACAATAAACGTTCCCAAGCATCATTTATCAATAGATGTTAATAAACATATAAAACAGAGGTAAAGAAATTACACAATTATTGGGAACACATATTTCGACCGCACAAATCAGTCTTCTTCACGGCAAATGAAAACCGTTACACACGAAATTCGACCTACTATACGCTACTACAAGTTAACTACATGGAACGTAACGTGCGCGCATGATAATTTTATGTTGCAGAGCCCATGTAACCATGCACCAGCATACTTGTGGAAAGAAGGCAGCCAAATGTATAGTGCCTGGTTGCACACGAATTTTTGTTAAACAAGACATGGAGGCTCACCAATTCAATGCAGCCACGTCCCATAGCGCCCTGCAATTTGGGGAAATACAGAGACTGAGAGCTCTAATTAATGAAAAGGTACAAAAATCAACATTTTTCTTGTTTTTAGCGTACATGAATCTTCTTGGTATGTTAGAAAAGTGTAACAATTGCATGTTGGTACAAGGGACCGAAACGATTGCTGTTTGGCTATCCTCATCCTCATCATCATCGTCATCGTCATCATAATAATAATAATAATTATGATTATTATAAAATTGTCTATATTGTAAAGTAAATGTTCTGGTGCTCTTCTTGTGCTTCAGCCGCGCGCAAACTAAGCAGCTGTAGCATCATTCACTTGAGTAAAAAAATCTGTTAGTACGCTATGCACTTTCCCGAGCATTCGCGTAGATACCAGAACGCAGATCTTTTGGATCTCTGTCACAGTAGCTCTCCTTCACTTTCTTGATGTTGTCTACCATGCTCTTCTTTACTGTACCAAGTGCACCAACAACCATATAGAAGGGGATGACTGATTGCTGGATTGAGTTTCGACACTTAATGGAAGTTTAAATTATGTACTAATATCTGAATAATTAGGTAGTATTAACTGGGAACTGAGTGTCGTATTTATGATTGTAAAGGGGTTCGCAGAGCATTGGCAAGAACAAGAGCAGTCGGTTCATTCTTTCCGGTGGACTGTGAAAGACTTCCCAACGCGAATGAGGGACTTGGTTGATAAGAATGAAGGGCCACTTACCAGCGGTGAATGGACTACACCAAATGGCCACAAGTGGAGGGCCATTTTAACGCAAGATCTGAAATTATTTATACAGCTGGTCGCCGCACCCTTCCCAGCTAGAGTGGAACTCAGGTAGGAGGACTCCGTATGTACCGACGAAGAAAAGAAGGTTGATGAATGTTGCCTGAAGAAAAAACTAGACCGCCAGTTCTGATTTTAGTGTTGGACCGTTTTCAGATATAATTTACAATGAACCGGTCATCAAGTTATAAGTTCATAAAAAGGAAAGATAAAACAATGAAATTGGACATTCTCAATACATCGTGTCTCAGACGAACTGCTCACTGTTATAGGCGTTTTGCTTTTTGACTTTTCACGAACTTGGACCGATTTTGAAAGTAGATGGGGTTCCTATTGTACAAAATACATCGAAACACTAGTTTTGAACAGTTTAGCTCTACCTGATACTACTGAATTTTCACACCACAAATTAACAAATTTTTGCTGATTGGTAAATGATGGTGGTGAGTCACATTAAAGATATAAATGAATGAAACTAGCGTCTTTTTTTTTATCGATAGAATTGTGTTGTCGCCCGGAGAGGTGGAGGAAATAACTCATATTCTCTCGACGACTACACTGAAGGAAGGAGAGATGTGGGGGCACGATGTGGCCAACATCAATCGCTGGGTTGATGGTGAAGGAAAGCTAATTGTCAAGTTCATTATTCTTTACATCGTATTATGATGGAATCCATCAAGAAATTAAGTAAATTTAAAATCCCAGTGTAAAAAAAAAAAAAAGCTTTTACCAGAATATCGCATTCATTTTTCAAGGGCTATAGATGTAATTGCTTTTCTGCAATAACACCAAAGAGAATTATTTATGGGAGTTCGGATAAAAATGACAAATTTCACAAATTGGCATCTTGCAGATGAAATTTTCAGAATTTTACCTTTGTTTCACAGTCGCCGGTTCTATTGAAATTTGTTATTTATTTTCTCGGAATCCCATCGTAAATCGTCTTTGGTGTCATCACAGATAACTCATCATGTTTATATCCCTCAAAAAGTCTCAAAAGAAGGTCGTATTCTGTAAATTATTCTGTTACAAGGTTTTTGTCCAATGAAAATTAAAATTTGCTGAATTTCCTAATGGATTTCATCTAATAACGTCACAATGCAACACCAGGGCCTTTGTTTATGGCAGCCTCTAAGATTAAAAATAAAACCAAAAGCTCACATGAGCGTGTCCATGGTGAAACGGTTTGGATTGCTCAGAACAGAGTTGATTTTGTTTTTCTTCGTTCATACATGTATATAAAGGATTAAACTATTTAGCTCTTAAAAGCCCATGTTCACCAACGTGACTTTGTGAGCGGGTGTTTTTGTTTTGAAACCCTTCCTTTGTCAAATTCAGAAGGTGGTTTGATTGGGCAGAGTGTTCGTTTTTTTTTCACGCATGGCCGAAGTGTCACTCTACACACACTGAGGGGAGAAACTTTCAACTTCGCCAAATTATTTTTCTGTAGTATAGGGCAAGCAAAGCCGCATGGGTGAACATGGGCCTTTTTTTAAAAGGCAACTGAATTAGCCCTTGGTTGTACGTGACGTTTTTGGCCTCTCTCGTTATAGCTTGAGTATCAGGCGTTTCTGAGTGAGAAGGGGGAAGAGAGGAGCGAACAAGGAGAGAGCTAAAATCTCCTCTCCGGTAGCCCATAAGGATGGCCTGATACTCAGGCTACCCCCGTTATAGGTTTAAAAGTAGAATAGTAATATCAAATCATTATATTTTTCTGTTTCGTTAGTCAAGTACTTCGTTAAGGCCCGAATACGAAAATATATTTCCAAAAAAACATTGCATAGAAAACTAAAAACAGATTTGATGAGCGCTATTAATATCATTAATAATAATAATTGATTATAGCCATGTACGAATAATGTGTTTCTTGAAAATAGCAGTTGTTACCTTTATAGAGCAGTGTAATTTTTTTTTGTAAATTATCAACTTTATTTATTGAGTGGTTACCATTAGTCGAAGCCACACCATCTCATAATGATTGAGCCGCTATACAATAGTTAAGTTCTCTTAAAAGCTTCAACAAATGATTTTTTTGTTAGTATTATCAATTGTTCTTTATTTTTATCCTCTTTTGTATGGCCGCTGGCTAAGTTGATTTGTGTGAGAACCTTTAATATTATCCTCAGTTGAAATGCAAATAGAATTTTTCTCTTTCTTATCAAAAATGTTGTTGTCGTACTTATTTGCTGGTGTCTTTTCAATCTTATTTTCCATTTTTAACCTTTTCTATCTAGGGGTGCCCACCTTTTACAAAAAACAAAAAACTGTTAAAAAATCTTGCAAATATAATTATGACTATTAACTTTCACATAAAAAAAACGATCTGCTGAAATGTAAAAGAGTTCTCTGCAAATTTGAATCACCTCACAATGGTTTATAATCTGAGGATTCCCAAGCGGAATGGCGCGAACCAAGGATTTTCGGCCTACCCATGTATAAATAAAGTATTTACCCCAGACGACCCCAGAAATTATCTACGCTCAATCCTTCCGTTGCCATTGCCCTTACAATTTCCCTTCTCTGATATTTTGAAGCCAGCGCATGGCTATTTTTTTTAGGGGATATCTTTCTGACTTTTTTGGACTTAACCTTCCCCAGGCAAATACCTTTTCTAGTTTTTGAACGAGTCCCTACGAAAACGAAAAATCGAGTCTCGTTTTGGGCCATACGTTTTAGAGAAAAATCGAGTCTCGTTTTGGGCCCTACGTTTTAGAGAAAAATCGAGTCTCGTTTTGGGCCCTACGTTTTAGAGAAAAATCGAGTCTCGTTTTGGGCGCCACGTTTTAGTTTAACGTGTCTCGTTTTTGAAACGAGTCATCCAGACAGGTGGAAACGAGACTCGATTTCACGTTTTCGGTTGGACTGGCGAATACGTAATCGAGAGGCCTTAAAATCGAGACGATTTTTATCGAGTAATTTACGACACGTTGCCCAGAAACGGTGAATGATCCAGTTTAGCAAGCTGCGTGACGAACAACGCTATTTGACTTGCATATTTTTGGGGGATACCAATATTAGTACATAAAGCAATAAACTACTTCTTCGAACTCGCTTGGCAAATCCAAAAAACCTCAACGTACATACCTCAAATGTTATATAAGGTAGTATTACTTTACTCTACGTCCTTATTAATCAACGGAAACTCTTTTGAACAAATAGAAACGCGCTGCTGCTTGTGTTGCTAAACGTTTCCATCGTAGACAATAATGTATTGATCAAGGACATTTTATATGACAGAAGTGGAATGATTGTTGAAAACGTTGAGCTGAAGATTTAAACTGGACTGTTCAAAAAAATCGATTATAACTGACTAACTAAATAGCTAAATACTAAAAAAAAAATTGAAATAAAGTGAAAGAAAAAAAACAAGAAAAAAAAAAACGCTTAAAGCCACTGGACATAGTTTGCTTAAATACGTCGAGTAGCTGTCTCTTTCTCTCGACTTATGATTCATGATCAGGGGCCATTTGTGAAATTATTTATAGGGAGTGCAAACTTAATAGTTTGAAGCACTGTTAATGACAACTTAGGAGAACTTTCGTGAATCTGCCCCCCCCACCACTTAACTTTTACCTTTTTTAATTTATGCTTGAGAGAAGTAAATTTAATAAGGATTTAAAAAATGTGCTTTGTGTTTTTGAAATAGACTTTGACAGTCTGAGTTACGCCTTCTTCCAAAATGAAAACAACGACAGTCAACTTCGTTTGTTACGTGCTAATGACAACAGAAGGATCTCTTTGAAAAAGAATTGGAGAAACTGTGCGGTGGACGTAGCTTCATCTTGGTTTATTGGATGTGAAGGCGTCACCAAAGGAATCAGTAACAAAGCGTTCAACATATGGCAAGGAAAGGATAGAAAATACCATCTTAAGGTGAGAAAATCCTCGAGTTATCTGACATTGTATTAGTTGGCATTGTACTATGCAGGCCTTCTCAATATGTTCTTTGCTTCCACGAAAAAGATTTTTAGCACCTTTGTTAACACAAACATTTACAAACCCAGAAACACAAAAGTGAGGGAGTTGTGTGATCTTCGCGCACTTTTCGAAAGAGAAAAAGAGCATATCCTCCACCTAAGATTGTTACTACTTTTGGCCAAGAAGAACGAAGCAACACTGCACTGCTCTACGTATAATTTAGAACATCAGTATAGATTTAAAAAAGCAGTGTATGTGGAGGGGAGTGGTTTTAGCTTTTCCTTACTGAAGGTTTAAGCTGCGGCTTAAAAAGAAGGCACGCAGATACTCTTCTAAAAATGTAAATATCGTTTGGTTTGTAGGTGACGAGCAATCCATCTTATACTGATATACTGAAAGGGAAAATCATCAAAATAACCATCCACTGCACAAAGCCAAACCGCTTCAGGAAGATGCTGTTCAAATTCGAAGGAGCATTAAATTGTAAGCTATGACGTATTATTTTTCTTCTGATGTAGTCTTTATGTTCGTTACCTTACAGAATTTCAAAGAAAAATAAGCCAATAGTTAAAAACTAAGACAGCTCATCATTATTAAGTTGACATCACGCAGACTTTGAAAGTGATTATAGCTAGCTCATCATTTTTTTGCTATATTTTTTAAGTACAAATTCCTTTTAAAAACCTTCGCGTAATACAGCGCATATATAAAAAACGCTGGGTTTGTGTAGTCGGCTTCTAAAAAAACATTTTATTTTCCTTGAATGCATTATTACGTTGTTATTCTTGTAGGCTCGATTTCCGTACCCAATTTGCAACCGTCAGTCCCAACAACAATGACAACAGCAATAGAAGAAGCAACAGCATCATCATCATCATCATCATCATCATTATTGTCATCGTCATCGTCGTCATCGCGACCATCACCATCCTCAACCTCATTCTCATCCTCCTTCTCCGCACCATTGCCGTTTTCGTCTTTGTTATCACCATCATCAACAACAACTAAAACAACAGCTTCCAGAAGTAATACTCTGCCCTTGGTTAGTGCGTCAGAAACTACTTACACGAGTACTTTGGACATTCCACCGATTATCTCTCACAAAACTATGACTGTATTCACAACACCATCACTAATCTTTGATAGTACACAAAGCTTCTCTAACAGCCCAGTGACAACTTCCTACGGTCTACAAAGTACTACTACTACTGCAGCCGTGCAATTATTTCACAGTCCATCATCAGTCACTATCTCTACCTCAATCATCTCCATAATCACACCTACGAGCTCTATTGGCACACCCGCTTCAAGCAGCGTTGTTCCATCATCGGTCAGCACCTCTACTTCAGCCATCTCCATAATCAAACCTACGACCTCTATTGCCACACCCGCATCAAGTAGCGTTGTTTCTTCCCAGTCTACTTCATCAAAAGTTCAACCGACAAGCTCCGAAATTTCTCCAGCAGATTTTTTTCCATCAACAAAATCAGCCGATCCAGGAAAAAGTCCTCATGTAAGCATTGCATTAATTGTAAAAATACCAATGCGCTAAGAGTATACAACAATGATACCGACATGACGATAAGGTAACTTGCTGTATAGCATGAACTTTTCTAATAATAATAATCATAAAAATAGGTCACCAGATGTTAGTCATTTATGGAAGCTAAACGTCCATTTATGGTGAAGACTGCTGTTCTGATGAACATAAAAATGACAATTATATCAACATATATATTCATGTTTCTAGATGTTTAGTATGCCCATAATGCTGAAAATAGCTCACCAAATGTCGATCACTTACCAAAGACGCAGGTTTAAGGGTCGGAAAACGTTTATCCGAATATCTGGAGTAAAAATCGTATATGTAAAATTAAATGGCAATTAATGGAAAAAATAATCAAGGAAGATTATGACTTTGTTTCCACAGTCGATTCTCACCTTGCGGACACCCAGTTATAAAGGACAACCCGATCACTGGGACATCAACTATGTGGATCCCGGGCGAAAATAATTTACAGATGATTGAGTGAAATTTATTCCCGCTATTATGGACTCTAGATAATGATGAAACTGACTCGAAGTCTCTACATTGTTATCTGTTAAGGGAGTTGATTGGAATTAGTTTGTTTCACAAGGTGATGTACTGACTGTTTATGTATATTTTTCTTGTGTCCCCTGTAAAGGTTCTCAGCAAGTCCTTCCCCGGCCAAGAGCAGCAACACAGTGCAGATGACTCATCCTCCTTAGGAATCATCTCCGGAATCGTTGCCTCCAGTCTACTTATAATCTTTATAATTGTTGGCTTGCTGTTGTACCGACACGGCGGCTTAAGGTATCTGATATTTTGCATATCTGTTTGTGCAACTGACATTTTGAATTGGTTGTCGTTATCAGTGTCATTTTTAAATTAAGAGGAGAAACTGTGACTGGAAACCCATTGGGAACCAGGAGAAGTATTAGCTTGGCACAAAAGGTTCGCTGGTTATTCCTTTTAAAACTCAACATGGCTGGTTCCTGGAGTCGTATTAACAATAGCATTCATGTATTTCAGTACCCGTTCTTGTACCAAAACAAGGAAATGCTCACGTCTCGGAGAAAAAAAAATAGAAAAGAAAAGCTTACTACTTAATTGGTTGATTCAGAAATTATGCAACTATAAACAATGTATCATTATATTTTTTCAGTGAGATGCCATGTTCAAGAAGGAAGAGAGAGGTAAGCAGCGTGTATAATTCTTTTAGTGAAATAATTACAAGCCGTTGTGATTCATGTTTTTCATTATTTTATTTCTGCTCATAGAATTCATCGAGTTCGTCTAAAACAAGCCAAATTAGGATAGCTCATAAACCAGACGGTGATGACCTGTACAATGAGCTCACACTTGAAGGACCGCGTAAGTGTCAAAGTTGCAAATATGTGGAGAAATGTTTCCTTCTGAACATCTGGGGTAAGGTATTAGGCATTCGGGGTTATTCCTGTATCAGGAGTTTTCACCTCATCGTACACCTTGTACACGTCGCATATAGGAGTGCTGGCCTCTTGCAGAAATATAATACGTCTCTAGTAGTCTTTAGTAGTTCTCTAAGCCTTACAGAGTTTGTTTTATGTATAAGTACTGCGATCGAGACAGAGGGTTTGCTATTTCAGTTTCGGTCATTTCGTGGTTATCTTCGAGTGCTGGCTCCGTCTGAAATCGAGCCGGGCCTACCATTTGGAAGTCTATAGTAAACAAGCAATCGAGTTAAACAGCTTGGAAATTTGTTCAATAGACTAAAAAAGTGACTTTTTTGTCACTCTTGTATGATGCTGAGTATGCTTTGTATGTTTTCTTACAGCAGCACTGTATGCTTCCACCTACGATATCCCCAACCCTCTATACAGAGACGAGACACTTAGTAGGGGTGAGAACCAGACACAACCCGGCATCGATGATCATTTCTACGCTCCCTTAAACTTTCAACAGGGATGCAATATCTATGGACTTGGCAGTAATCAAGATACTAATGACAGCATTTACCAAAATTATGGTGCCTTTTCTATAGAACAACCCATCTACAGCCTTCTAGAAGAATTAACCACAGTACAACCAATGAAAAAGCCTACACAAGAGAGCTCTGAACCCGTGTACAACGTTCCAGACGAACCAGATCAGGAACTTTCAGGGAATCCCAATCATTTTGACTCTATTTTTCCAGAACAGCCAGTTTATAACACTTTAGAAAGTCCTTTTGGATCGGGAGAAGATCCGGAATGTATAAATGAACCAATATATAACGTTTTGGAGGAGGTGTCTCTTCCCTATGTTGGCAAACATCAATTTTCGCCTAATAATATCAATACATAATTAAGAGAATAGGTTGTGAGAATTGATAAAATAATCACCTGAGAAAAAATGCATTTATCGTTTATCAAATTCTCTTTACTTATTCTTTATGGAAATGTATAGAGACCAGTTTGGAGAATTTGTATGTGGATATTGGTGCTTAAAGGGTTAAAGAAGAGGATGAAGTATAATCAGTATTTTGTTGAAATTTGTGAAGTGTAATGTGCGTGAACTGAATATTGAAATTTTTATAGACACCGCAGCTATGTACTCAGTACTTTCCCACCATTATTTACAACTGACTGGGTACACAAGAAGAGCCTTCAAATTTCCCTGAATTCTTCGAGAACCCGGAGTCATTGACTTGATTTAGGCGACTTTATGTCTAGAGACGTTTGAAAACTGCATCAACTATCGAAGGTTAATGGCTTACGACATCCTAACTTAAGTAACCTGAAAAAACGAAGAATATTTGGTTCATTCCCAACGTTTCAAGATTATCTGACTGGTAATGCGTAATGTATCATAAATTTTACAAGCAAGTAGTTGAATGATTGCAACGAATGCAGGAATTATCTAATGTTTAGGAGAGTTAATCTAATATTATTCGACGAGAATTCTACAAGAAGTAAACAATATATAGATATTTCTCTGTCCTTTCATTGACAAATTTGGAAACAAATGCATTGGAAAAGTTAACCCTGAAAATTATTTGGGTATGATAGAGATATTAATGTTTATTTAGTGAAATAAACACTATAAAGGTTATAAATAGAGAGTTTGCGTTATGAAGAACACTGATGTGGTATGAACTCTCTCTTCTTTAAAGGCATTATAGAGTATGAAAAGTATTTTAATCGTTCCTAGTTAAATTTGGTGCTTCCGGTAGCCTAGATAAGTCATATTCCTGCCTCCACATTTAAAAGTTAACAATATATTCAAATGCCATTAAACATATTGTCTCTCCTTCTTTTACGAGGATAAAAAGTATATTGCATACTCTTCCAAGTTTTATAGTTAATGTTTTTCCCACCAGAAAATTACGTCGCTTAAAACGCGCAATGAAAATTCAAAGACACCTGGAGGTAGTGCGTTATAGTTACATCTAGTTGAGCCTACCAACTGAACGAGATTACTAGTGAGTAGGCGTACCTCTTGATCTTCATGATATTTTTTGGGGGAATAAATCACAGAAGATAAGATAAAGTAACCTATCATCATTATTACTGCAATATTAGCAGATAAAAAAATAATAATTTAGAAATCTAAATTAGTTTAGAAAAGAAGGGGTCACGAATGGCTGGAAAGTCAAACTTAGAGAGCGCGAGTGAGTCTTTTACATGCTAAGGTGAATAGTCTTTCCTATAGGAATTCGTCAGCAGAAAATGAAAAAAGCATTTGGTTGCAAGCACACTTCGGCGCTGCAATGGGGAAGAAACTTATTTATTTAATTATTTATTTTAACAAGTTAATTTATTTTCGTCAGTAACTCATCGTCAAATAAAGACAAGAAATTGAGAAAACTATTTTTATTTTGTCTCATTTTCTTATTATTGGCCTGGATCATGCTGATATCTGACGCCTTACAGGTGGATATTTTGTCAGGTGACAATTTTTTAAATTGTATTAAAGGCTTGGGTTATTCTTTACCTATATTTTGTAACCACAAAAAGTTTTGGATAGCTTTTGCTGTCTTCTGCTGGCCTTACTGCACAATCATATGCGAAGCCAATTTAACGTTATAGCCTTTTTGACAAGAGGATACAGCTACTAATATCGAAAGGAACCTTTAAAAAGTTACCCTGGCTTTGGATTGGAGGGTGGATGCATGCATATCCCAGAAAGGCCCAGAGGTAGATGTACACTTCCTCCCTTAATGAAATATACTTCCTAAGCGTTTCAATAATAATCCTGAAATGTATCCAAAAGCTGTATATCATGGCCTGCATTGCAGTTAAATATCTTCGTGCAAACTGGTTGTACATTGCTGTATACACCTGACATCATTTGAGAGCAAAGATCTTGGAAGCGAAAGAGGCAAAATTCTTCTGCACACTGTCTTAAAGTCATGATCGTGCCCCCCCCAAAATAAAATAAAATGTTGTCCCTCCCCTTCAAGTGGCACTGAGGGCTCAGCGCATTGGAGACAAATGCTTCTATACACAATGAAATGACACTTCCCCTGCTCTTCGATTGGCGAACGCGGGCCACAATTGATTAATAAAGTGGTACGGTGTTATCTGCATAAAGGTATAAACTCTGCTACCTGATACAAAATTATGAAGCTTAGTATTATAGAAGACTGTTACCCCCCTTTTTACCTTTCTTATGTACATTAAACTGTACAACTGGTAAAGCCACTTTTCATTTTTATTTGCTAATCGTTAATTTCGATACAAATATAGTTCTTTCTATACAAGTACCTAAACGGGAACAATATCATTCAATAATTTCGAACAAGCATAGCACGCGCATGAGAGAGAATACATCTTTCTCAAACTGTTGTCTCCTTTTAACAGTGAATGATTATTATTATCGCCATTGCTGGTCAGTAGAACATCAGGGCTTGGTTGGGAAGCTGTGAATGTTACTCGTTGTATTTGTCGACGACTTTGATGCAGTTAAGAATATTTACATCGTTGGTAACAGTTTTCCAATTTTTGATCGCCTCATCGTTTGGAAATGATTTCGTAATCTACAGAAACAGATCACGGACGAATCAAATTTGGGAGAGTTGGGACTCTTTTAGGATTCCATCTTCGACATGTCAACAAACAACTCCAGGAGATCGATGTGTTCCATTTGCTGCAGATATAGATAGCAAGAGAAACTGTTCTTGTTTGTGTCAATCAGCTGACACTTCCACATTTGTTTTTCATGAAGGACAATGGACTTGTCTTGAAAATTTGAGAGTTAGAGACCTTCATGGCGGTAAGGCAGAAAATCCATACTGAAGTTGTTGTTAAATGGGAATTTAGAGCCTAGATTATCCGCGGTGATTTCACTGCATTTGATGCATTCTCATTATTCAAAACGCCCTACAAGTCTTGACTTTCATTCCCATCTGGAATTCCAGATGCCATATGAGCAAGAAAAAGCTACATTAAATGCCGATTTATGTATTTTAAACAAATGGCTTTCAACTGTTAAACCTTAATCTTCAATGACCGGAAGGGCAGGAAATATTGCTTTCATCGTAATTGGGAAATAGTGTGTTTTCTAACGGCTGGCCTTTTTAAATTACATTTATTTATTAGACTGCGGCAACACTGACTACTTGCTATCAGAGGTAGACCATCTTCCACCTCTTGATGACTGGAAGGGCAGGAAAGATTGCTTTTATTTTAATTGTGGGATGGTATGTTTTCTAACGGATAATCATTTTTAAATTCCCAGAGCCCTGCAGTAACACTCACTACTTGCTGCCAGAGTTAGACCATCTTCCAGATCCTCCGTTGTCAGCATTGAGTGTGGGTGACGTCATCCCTACTGATATTTTACACGGTCTGGATATTCAACACTGCGATGTCAATCCCAATTCGTCTTGGTATCTTGGTTGTAATGGGAAGCTACTTTTTTCGAGTCAGCATCGGCGCAAGATTGGGGAGTTGTTTGCCTTTAAATTTAATAGTACAGTCAGCTCCATGTACTTTGTTCTCGAGGTATAGTGAAGAGTCAAATGTAGTTAGTTGTTCTCTTTGTTCCAATTTCAGCGCTTTTAATTATTGCACGTGGTTTTAGAAATGCTACTGGACCAACAGAACATCTGGTATAATAGTTTCGTTTCAATTTCTTTAGATAAATCATCCAATCTTTCCCCCTAAGGTTTGCCGCTCATTTTCTTGCTATTAGATTTATTACCATTCTTAAACTGTCTCCTCACGGTCAACTTTCTATCGAAGACGGGCACCTTCCAAAATCGACGAACACCTTGACTCGTGGATACCTTTCTAGGCAGGGAGTTGACCCTTGGTCAAAGAGCTGTTAACTTTATCATAGGTGTTAACGTCCACATATTTACGCTTATGTCTGTCTTAAATTAACCTGAGAGACTATCTTTAGTTTGCATCAACCCAGAATATACATAAAGCTGGACTAAAGGGCTTTATCTTAAGTTCGTGGATTAGTAAAATATTTTTGCCTTTTTTAAAATGCAAACAATAAACGGTGTATCATCATGTGCCATGATATAGGTCAAACGTGGAGTACAAAACGCTGAATTATTACAAGGAAGAGTGATTAACCTTGGCATTCTATGCCACGAATTCGGGGGACATCAATATCACGGCTGCATACAGATCAAATTAAAGGGAAAGTTAACATGTGAGTGACCAAGGATTGCCATTATTCTGTTAATTACTGTTATAAAAGATAAAGTCGAAGTTTGGTCGCTAGGTAACTAGTGAGGTAAAAGTGCAATAAAACCGTCTTAATTTGAGAAGAACATATATATTCGCAATGTTGAAATAAGTTAGTCATGGGTATATGTTCTTGGGGCGTATAGTACCATGTGCAAATAGGATAAGAAAGGTGTGGTGTCTCTGCATGAATAGGGGGTGAAAGCCACTGAAACACAAGCAGTTTGATAATCAGGTTAATACCAATAAGTGGAGCGTGCTCTTGGGTGAAGGTTCTGGGTGATATAGTAAAGAATATTAATTAAAACAACAAGTTTAGGACCCGTTACAGAGGCAGGGAAAGGGCAAACATCATTTAATTGTTTCCTTTTTTATTTCTAATAAGGTCCTGTGATGGTGCCCAATTTACAACCGCCTTCATCGGCGATGCCAAAGAACACATCTACCAGAGCGGCGTCGACGTCTTTAAAAATGGGTCTTACAACCTCAATAATTGTTTCTGCTTCCTCGACAGGGTCGATCTCTTCAAAACCTATTTCCACAACCTCGATTATAGCTTCTGCAAACTCCACAGGAATTCACCCAACCTCAACGGTATTCCGTCCAACTTTGATGGCTACGCAGACTTTTCCCAACCCTTCACAGACCATTCTGGTAGCCCGACACACTGTTACTAGGTCTACAACCTTGCAATCGAGTTTAGTTTCTGCCAACACGGCAGAGTCAGTCTCTTCAAAAATAATTCACACAACCACGATAATAGCTTCTCCAACCTGGACAGTAATACGTTCAACCTCCATAGTGATTCGTCCACCCACAATACCTACACGGGTTTTCTCCAGTCCTTCACAGACTAGACTCAAACTCTCTTTTACTCGGTCTATAGTATCGCTGCCGTCTGCAAATCACGCAACCCCAAAAGTGAATCGTCCATCCTCGATAGATACGCGGATTACATCCAGCACATTACAGACCAGTTTCAAATTCCTCATTATTACTCGGTCCAGAGTCTTGCACCAGTCGACATTTGTTTTGCCTTCAAATGTAAGTATACTAGTGTACTTTATCCAAAGGCAGCTTTTCTCAATTCACCCTTCACAACTCTCCAGGTTCATCAATAAGTTGCCAGGGCCGTCCTCAAACTTTTCTACTGGTTAAATTCCTCAAACTTTCTTAAGAGGTTCTTTTAAAGTCAAAGATTTTAGGTCATCCTTAAACTCCTTCAGATGAGGGAATCACGTGCAACTCCATCACTTGATAAAGATTCCACGATGGAATCGAAAGCTTTTGTATGCTTATAAGTTTTCATCCCGAGTTTTCAGACCTCTTTGCTGCTTTAAATATCATTCCAGGATTAAGTAACTCTCTCTTCGCTAATATTCCGTCAGGGAAATTCCTATATTGATAAAAATGAGGTTTCTCCTGATTCATGTGAGTCGAAAACGATCTAACCCAACTCACTCCAAATGGCAGCCAAAGGAAAAGACTTACCAAAAAAAGGCTTCTTATAAAAACCTAAGAAATAAATAGTACTAACACAAACGAAACAAATAGTCTGGCCATAATTTGGTCTGGCGCCATAACATGGCGTGAAGTGTTGCTAACCACCCCGTTGATGTAAAATTGTGAAGATACCCACTGACAACTTGTCTCCCAAATGCTCGCTAAACAAGAGTGTAAATTCTAGCCGACGAATGAGAGATTATGGAAGGTTTTGGACATCATAACTATTTCCCAACTAGTTTTTAACTTTCTGAATTAAGTAGAAGAGAAAGTAATCAAATTTGCTTCGTTGGCATAAAATGTAAATGTACATCCAATAAACACTAAGTTACTTATGGCACATTTGGTAGCTGATAATGAAATAGACACTTGTATGGCTAGCGTAGTTTAGAGTAAACATAAACGTTTTTTTTTTCAGAGTCTGACCTAGGATCGGTTATTTTTTGTTTCGCCTTTAGGTTCATTTACGTCCCAGCCCAAACATGGAGGGCGATACAAAAGGCAGGTCATCATCTGTGGGTTTTATTACAGGCATCTCAATATCCATTTTTCTAGCAGTTGTGATGATTGGGATCATTGGGCTCATATTTCATCTCCGCTGCTATACTGGGTAAGAATTTGTTACATTTATTCCAGTGATATATATTTTCCTATATATATGTATATCGTAAAGTTCCTAAAGCAGCGCCCTTGTCGATTTAGTGTGGATTTAGCCAATTTGTGATATAAATTGTAGTATGGAAAGGTATATTTATTTGGGATTTTTGAGCTATGGAGACCACAATTACTAACACTCCATAATTCAGACACCCTCAGCGTCGTTGGAAAGGGTCTTTTCATTTGAAGATTTTTGGGTGGTCATAATTTAATAGTTCCCTGCCTTCGGTACGGGTGACGTTGTTGAAAGAAAGTTTACCGTCAGTCAGGGATCTCTGGGAGAAAATGGAGGACCGCCTTTCTCAAAATAATAATCTTTTTCTATTCTTTAGAAGTTTCTCGAAGCGCAAGTTAAAAATCTAAATTCGTGCTAAATCGAGCTCATTTTATCTTCGTAGAAAGTGGTACAATGAACAGAAGGATCATCAGGTGAGGTGATTATAGTCCTACGCTATGAACAAAAAATATCAAAACAAACGTCGATAATCACTGTCTATATATTATCCCAAAGACGTCTCCCTGTGATTAACTGTCATCTTCTTAGTACATGATCCTGGACAACTTGTGACCATGGTGGATTTTGGTATCTTTGGATTTCTAATACCATTGGTCAACTTGTTGTATACAAACACTAGCATCCCTACTGGAGAAAGTAGTTATATATCAATAGGCGTTTTCACGCTCTTTACAGAAACAGGCGGGAAAGACAAGTTACTGCATTATGGATTCCGTTGATCCAAAAGTCCAGTACTCTCTGATCGACGAGGTGCAAGTCAAGACTGAATCTTTAAATATGAATCTGTAAATAAACCGCCTTTTATTTGTCTGTTTTACAGAAAACCGTTATGATGAGCGTACATAGAAACTTAGCATTCCGCGAGGATGATGAAAATGAGTACAATTCGCTTACTATCAGAGCAAATGGAATGCGTAAGTAGACACATTAAGGGTTGAATGTGTAATTAGTTTGCGCAATTATAAATAATCTCATCAAAATCAGAAAATCAACTTTGGAGCTGGGTCAATTAATTACACCTCCGGCACTTTTGCTTTTGTTGCATCTAGAATCTGGGAAACCATTCCCCTGAATTTTTTTAAAAAGAATATCTTATTTATAACCACTTTTATAACCAATAGAAACTTTATCTTCCAAAAACCCACTCCCCCACCAAGAAAAAAACATTTAATTTCCCTGCCCGCTAATAATAGTATAATATATTGTTTTTATCTAAAATTGTAAGTACGACTGTTGAGCCTTTTCATTTTCCTGTCTCCGTTACTTGTAGTTTTAAGTAAATGTCTACGCCAGTTGCACGAGTGAACAAATCGAAAGACTTCTAAGCTTCTCTTATCGCTGCCCACATTTTACCTTTCATCATTTACGCAATTTGCTTTTCTGTTTTGCTTTTCTGTTCTTGTAATATATTGTAATGTATGAAGTAACATTTTAATACTGCAAAAAATTATAAATCTGTATCTGAATCTGCGTCTTATGATAGCAATTGCTATATGCGATTGGGGCATGACTGCGTCACTGCAAATATATTCAAAGCAAAGTGAAGTCATCTTTAGTCAAAGTCAAAGAAATGCCAAATGTTAATTGTACAATCTAAATACAACGATCATCTTAACAACAAGCATTAATGATTTTTCCCCAGAGCGTTACGCATCTATTTACAGCAGGCCACGTAGTCCGGCTGCATGTGAGGATATTGGCGAAAGTCACATTTACGAGACAATAGATGATCCCGAAGAGGAAAATGTACGCAGCTCTAAAGAGCCTGTTCCCGAAAAGGAGATATCGCTGGAAAGATTTGAAAAGCCGGTCATTAGCAATTTAAAGGCAGAATGCGACGTTTTTTATCAACTTCATCAGAAAGATGTGCAAAGTTCTCTCCACGATGGCGCTATTTCGTCAGGGGGAACAGACCCTCGTAAAGGGACATAAGACAAGCAAAACTTCTTATTTGGAGCCAGAGTATCACGTCTTAGAGGAGAATGGTCTTGAAAATATCAGGAATCCATGTGATTATCACGATTATGGAGCCACCTTAACAGGCAAGCATTTTACATCGGGAGGATCTGCCACGAAGCCTTTCCATGAAGGTCATGAACGAGTGTGCCCTACCTCGGAACTAGCTAATCGCCAGGATGTAGTTGGATTCGAGGTGCCTGTTACCCATTTATTACAAGCAAAATACAAAGACCCAAAGGAGCTTCACGAACACGAAGAGATTTTAGCGCGTCATAGTTCTCTTTCGTCGGGAGGAAAGTCCAGCGGTGAGCTTAATGAGGCTTTTAATTGTAACAAGAAACCAGCTTACAAAGTTTTGGAAGGACCCTGTACTAGGATATCAGTGAACCCTCGTGAACCAGTTTTCCCCAAAAGGAGCCAAACAGCTAGTTAATCGGAACAAATCCGCGATGCCTGACGTAATAAAGGAACTTGTGCTTTGAAATGCATGGAATTCTATGGTGCTTACATTGTAACAATGCCTCCGAAGAAACAGCCAGCCTTAGTCAGGAAGCATGATTAGTGTTTCCAGCATTTCATGGAGTTTTCCAATTCTATTTGGAATCCAATTTGCCACGGTCGGGAACAGGCAATTACAAAATGACTGATCTTATTTTCAAAATAAACAAAACAAAACAAAACAAAAAAGCTAGCGAAATAGGGAGGAGAAGTCATCGCGTCACGTTGCCATGGTAGCAAAATTTCTGGGTCTCAACAAACCGTAGTCCTGCAAATGTGGAGGCCGCGGCAATTGGTTTCTACACATTTTGAGTTATTTGAATATTCTAATAAGGGGCTTAAGATGTCACTCATGGAACGGCAACGAGTTTTGTGCAGTACTCCTTTTTAGTACATTTCTTTGCCGTCACTGCACGCCTACGACGTAAATTGCCTAACTTCATGTTTGATAATAATAATAATAATAATAATAATAATTATTATTATTATTAATATTATTATTTGTATTGCGCCTTTTCTATAAAATATTCAAAAGCGCGACCACGACCACGTGTCGCACTACGACGAATTTCTGTTTCTCTTTTCAAACTTGGATATATTTCTTAAGAATTCAACTCTAGGAGAGTTCCCATACGGCATCAGGCAAAGTGAGCGAGTTTAGTTCATCGACCTAAAGTTTCAATGAACGCGAAGTCGCCTCTAGGTGACGTTTTCGCCGCCTTCGCCGTCGAGGTATCTTTTGTTGAGATCCCAAAATTCTGTTACCATGATAACGTGACGTCACACGTCTCCGCAGTATAACTTAAAATCTGGCCCCGGTAGATAAACCGGTGGACAACGCTATGTGCATAATAAATGTAAGTCAAATGGATAAGGCAGTTGGTTTCTTTGCTTACTTACATCGTGATTTCTCCGTTGGAATTCGCTGTCCATCTTTTGAAGAACTGAGCCCTGAATGAAAACCTCGCTTTAGTGCTTTTAACAATTGCACATGTACAACTGATTGAGTTTGAAATAACCTATATCATTTCTAACCAGTATTACATTATAACCCGGTACAAATGAGATGCAAAGTTACTTGAAGATACGTTTTTACTAAGTCGCTTAAGGATGATATATCTTTTCACCAAACAGGACAAGCTAACCCGCATGAAATTCAGACAAAATGATATAAAAGATGTTGGTTTATGTTGTAAAGCTGATATGGGGCCAGCTAGTCAAATCGGTAGAACTAAAAGGAGACTAGAAGTTTCTTTGGCGAGTAACAACATGTTTTCGTAGCGTAGCGAATCAAATAAAGAAAACAGCTTCCGTGAAAAGAGGAGCATTTAATATGCTTTTTACATATAAACGGCACATAATTAAAAAGTAACCTGGTGGAATCCTTGTCAATTTCGAATGATCTAGGGGTTTAGAAATGACTATCGTAGAAAGAATTAATAGGGAGTCATAAGAATAAATTCTTTCATTGTTTTGTCTTACAAAGTTCAATAACATTCGACACCTCAATATTCCATCCCCCGACCACTTTCCAGTTATAATTGAACTTCTTAAATCAAACTGACAACAATGTGATAAAGTGGCATCAGAAATATGAATTAAGATTCTTTTAAATTTGATTTAAAATTTTTGGGTTTTTAAAGCACTTATACGGCATAGCCTTGTCTAGATCCAAAAACATTCCATGGGAAGTATTGCTGCTCAACCATATATCGATATTGAAAATGAAAACAAAGGACCTTCCATGGCTCAGGTGAAATTAAGTGCACGGTCAGTAGTTTTGTCTTGAAGTTCTTGAGGTCTAAAATCTCCGCTCTTTTTTCAGTAAGAGGATAATAATTCATCTTGTTTGGAATCATCTGTTGATCGGGACGTTAAAAAAAGCAACCCTTGACGCTTTAGAGAGTGACATACCTTAACTGGAAATTGTTTTCAAATTGACGTAAATTTGTGTCTAATGTTGCTAAGTAGAATGGCTGAGACTCATTAATATTGACTCAAAATAAAATTTCGAGTGAGCCAAAAATGTAATTGCAAGTAGAATTATTCTCAGATGGCGTGCTATTTTCGGTCAGATTTGCTTTTAGAAGAATTGTCGGAACAATATTATTGGAGTCTAAAATGTACATTTTCGCGCAAGAGTTTTTCTTCTCAGTGTCTGCCTCCGTCTCAGTTCTTGTTTTCCATGTTTTCGTTGGTTACGCGTTGGAAAACATTTATGAAATTAGCAGAAACTCTGGGCCTAAGGATCAGGTCTGGAATGGCAAGGACTCTTTTAAGATTCCGCCCTCAAAATGTGATCCAATAGAAAATACAACAGGAGATGAATGCGAACCATTTCGAGCAGATCCACCGTCGAGTAACATTCCAAAATGCTGTTGTCCGTGTCCTGGTGGCGGACCCACGTTCGCTTTTCTTAACAATAGTTGGGCGTGTTTTGACAATGGAAACATACGAGACTTACAAGGTACGGTACGGAGATGAAGTAATCAAAATTAAATTGGGGCATTTCTTTGTAGTTCGATCGTGGACATAATTATATAGTTAGTATTTGATGTCTAATATAATCTTTAACCCTTCACTGCCAAATGTAGCCAAAGGCAAATTTCGACCACATTTCCAAATTTCACAAACAAACAGCACCATATGAAAGTACAGACAGAGAGCTTTCATTCGAGTGGTCACATCATAGCATTTCGTCTGCAGACTCAAAAGTTAGAGTTACCTTACAAAACTCGATCAAGCACTCTGGCAGTGAAGGGGTTAATCTCCAATTCATCAGATTTTAAATCTCGGTCCAGGAACGACAGTGTCGGCGAAATACGAAATAAACGTTAAAAAAGGCTAAGGTCAAAGTTAGAATTGCCATAATGTTTTTTTTCTTGGCGTTTGGTAAACGTGCTCCACATGCTCATAAGCACTGACAGCACAGAAAGATCATATTTGAAGCCTAAGCTACTGATATAGCGCTCATAGTTACGAATTACATTAAACAAATGTTGACGTGTTTATGCTATAAATATTGCTTTTCGTTGCTCATTACGAATTAGGCTGCAACCACACGAGCTATTTTTTGAATGAGGCAACGAATCCCCCATGGGAGTTATGGGCGATACAAGCGTCTTTCTCCGTGTTGACTGATATTCCTTTTGATGGGTCGAATGGCCTGCAAAGCTGCGAGGTTTTGCCAAATTCTTCCTGGTATCTTGGATGTAATGGGACGCGAGTAAAGTCACCTCTCTATCAAAGGAAGATGAAGGACCTGTTTGCATTAGCTAACCAGCAGTCTGGTCGTGCTCGGTTCAACCGATTCTCTCTAGAGGTAAGAAAACGCCACCATGACAGCTCAGGCTTTTGACCCTGTCTATTTTGCATGAAGATATGGTATATAACGGCCGCGGGCACCCAGACCCTTTAATACGTAGCAGCAAAACTCACCGTGAACAATAGCAGAGGAGATCTACCAGCGCGAGCGATTTTCGTCTTGCCTTGAAGTGACGACGTACTAACAAACAAAAACAAAAAACGCACAAGGATAAAAAAAAAAAAAGAACGAAGAAAAAGATCGTTCTTACAAATTTGATGACAATTAAATCAATTTCCTGTAAACTAAATTAACGGAATAACATGGAGAACCTTTGCTTGCATACGAAGATGATCTAAATTTCAACTCTCAACATTTTTCACTGTTTCCAAACATTTCTTTTCTTCACAGGTTAAAAGTGGCGTGTTAAACGCACATTTGTTGGAGGGGAAAATTATCAACTTGGCTATACGATGCAACCGTTCAAACAGCGATGTCCAATTTCACAGCTGCCTGATGTTCAAATTAACAGGGCAACAAATATGTAAGCCAGTAAGAATTAGCTAAAATATTTCGTGCAAAAGGTTTGAACTATATGTAGGCTTTTAAGAAGAAACCCATTATTCATTATAAAGCCTATGATGATCTTTAGAGCCTCTCAATGAAAGCAGAGACATTTAATAGCACTTGTTTGAAATATTAACCGAAGTAGAATTTTGTGTTAGCTGAGTTTTTGCCGGAATGCAAAAGATAACAGGCTCATCGCCATCGCCATCGCCACATCGGATTTTAAACGGCCTAATGCCCTGCCAAGTGCTTCCCTATAGAGAACCAGATGGAAATTCAAACTTGATTCTCAGCGACAACTATTTCCATTGGTCTCATAGAGAAATAATTGAGACGTTAATATCTATACCATGAATTCAGAATAGGAGTAGGAGTCTTTGCACGGTACTTAAATGTCATGAATCACTCAGCTAGAATTTTGGACCACCAGACGAACTGAGTTTTTGGCCACAATGTGGTTTTCAGTAAGTTGTCCTCAGTATGAAACAATATTAATAAACTTTTAAACATAACTGTTTCTTTTTAGGCCCTGAACCTCATTTTAAGTTATAAACTTTCTCTACGACGAGTGCCGGAACACAAACACTAACAACAAATATTTATCCTTCTTCCGTGACCACGTCGTCGAAAGTCGTTACGCCGGGCAACGTAAGTTTAAAATAAATACCTAAGAGAACCTAATAGGGTATTTTAACACGAGGTCCTTCCCAACAAACCGCCCACGAAATAGCTACGCAGGAGTGGAATCGTTATTTGATTAGAGTTAAAAAAATAAAAAAAGAAATAGAAAAGAAATAAATAATAATAATAAAACAAGTTACACTGTATTTTGTACCATATGACGGCTTGTTGAAAGACTCACTCATTTTTGAAACTGAAAACTGAGTGAAACTCGAAATTGTGCAAAATATAAGGTGGTTCGATCCTATTCGCTGGCGTACTGGATATATTTTTTGAACGGTGTTTTCAGCAGGAAACAGATTAAAAGATTTCTATGATATTTTGTATCCCAAATTAAAAATAATGGAACTTTAAGGGCTTTAACAACTTTTATCATCATCACTATTATTAAAAAGAAGAACTTCGACCCTGACCACCCGCATGTCACTTGGATGTAGTGATTGATGTAACAATTATTTTCTGATTAGATTAATCTAGGATATGACATATATTAGCAATTATAGTTTTTACATTTAAGATTTAATTTTAATTTTTTTTCCTTTTTCTTATTTAAGTGTCTGTTGTAGTTTTTGGGTGGACTAGGTTCGTATGTTCCCTTCTAGTCACTTCCCCACTGCAATTATTATTACTTTCTTTTTTTTTTCTAGTATGTAGTTAATTGTTCTCTTATGTAATTTAGCTAAGTTTTCTTTAAATATATATATGTATATGTTTTATGTGTGACACCTTTGTTTCAACTAATGCAGTGAAAATGGAATAAATTAAAAAATCAATTAAATTATAATTATTGTTATTATTATTATTATTATTATTATTATTAATATTTCACCCTTAGATTCGCCCTACACCAAGCCGAGACCGTGAAAGCAGTAATCTACTGACCAAAGTTGTCATTATATTGGCAAAATTGGCGATCACTGCCCCCATTGCAGTCTTCCTTGTAATTATGGGCACTTTATTGGTACATCGCTATCGCCATCGGTAAGCCCGTAAACCTTCACTGTATTAAATAATGAGGATACGATTGTTGTGTACTGTGTAATCATTTGACATCGACGTTAAACTAAACAATTATAACAGTAACTAAAGAGTAAGAACGATGTCAACGTACTGACTGAATCCGCATGTAAGTCGTACTCATCAACAGGCACTTACTGAATGTGCTAAAATAAAAAGTACACAATTATAATCGATGTACAGTACTCGGTATAAGATTTATTACTTTCGATACAGTACAAGACGTCTAGGTTAACAAAACATTTTTAGTGGTACGATTTCCCTTTGTCAGGCAATACTCGCGCATTCTCTGGCATAACATACACGTATGGTCGTCACACTGTAAAAAGCCTAATTTGCATTTTGGTTTTGACAGACGTATAAACACGCGAAAAAAGGTAACTCATAAAGGACAAAAAATAAAAAAAACAAGAAAACAAGAAACAAAAAAAACGTCACGGTTCTCTGCTAATCTTTAATCTTACAGAAAGCAAGAGCATCCCAATCATCTCTTTGAAGGTAACTTTCTATTTACTTCACATGCATGTTAATATAAAGATATAGTTTGGCAATCCCTCCTTGATTGGCTAACGTGCTCATATTCTATAAGGTCACAGACAGCGAGTAAAGCGAGCCAAGCAGTAGCTCTAAAATATAGCTACCATCATCCAATAAGAAAACTGTCAACCACTAAAATGTTCGTTTCGAGCTGGCAGCCAGCTATTTTTTAAATCTTACTTTGGCACTTCTTTGAAGTCTAAACAATCTCCAGGATCGCGGTCGAATTTAAATTTGTAAACTTCGTAAGACACTGATGTTTGTTTGAATCCATTGTAGGCACTTTACTTTTGTAAGTGACTTTAAAAAGCAGCAATTTGAACAAAACTTTGAAATATACAATCACATATGTTCAGAACGAAGGACTTCTTAATTCCACATTTAATTCTCCTGTAGGCACAACCTCCAGCCGACAAATTTCGCAGGTGCGTCTCTAACATAAAATAGCAATTATTTGATATTATCTTGACATTTATGATAAAGAATCTTGCATGTTACTTATCTGATTTTATGTTGCTCATTTTTCTGTGAAGTTGAAGAACCTATGGCACACTTTTTTATTTATGGAAGACTGTGGGAAAAATTCCTCGTTCTCACGGTCCAATAGTTGCTGTCAGTGAAAAATTAGAGTGAAATCACAAGTTTTTCGATTGCCTATTTTCAATGTCACAGTCACACAAAGGGAATCGGCTGAGTCAGTCAAGGCTAGGGTATAAGCTCATTCTTCTTGTTCTTGTTCTTTCTTTCTTGCATCTATTTATTATTATTATTATTTTTATAACGTCCACAGTCTTCATCCGAGGAAACTGTTGTTGGAGACATGATAATGGAAGAGAGAAGTTCTGATTACGCTTACACAAATCCTGTCCAGGTAACAAATTGTTAAATTTTGATCTTGTTTTATTCATTTATCTATTTGCTTATTTATTTATTTTCCCTACTATCCACAGTCCTTTTCCGAAGAAACCGACACTGGATACATGATGATGGAAGGAGCTTCTCGCTCCGTGAGAAGTTATGATTACGCCTACGCAAATCCTGTAGAAATCACACCTCCTTCTTTGATCTCACGGAGCACAAGAACAGGGTGCGTTCCCGAGGATGCCTCTGCTAATCAACAATCACCAGCATCTGTTGTAGTCAGGTCACCAGCCATTTATATTCATAAAAGTTACGAAGACACGAACAATATTACAAAGAACAGCTTATTTACTGAAGGTAAAAACGATTGCGTTAAGGATGAATGTTGTCGAATGGACGAACATAGTGATTTCAATTGCCTCTTTTTGACTAGAAACTTTCTTTCTCTTTCTTGGTATCTAAAAATTTTCTATAGGATATCCTCGGACAATTACTAAGTAAAACGGAATTACTCGTTACTAGTGTCACAGACCTATGTTTATGTACTAGGTAACTTGTTAAATATTCTAAAGAAAGATTTGAAAACAACAATCACATATGTTAAAAGAAAAGGACTGCTGAACTCTCAATATTTTTGCCTCGTAGGGACCATACCAACCCCGATTTCACAGGTACACTTACTTTAATAATAATAAAAAAAAAGTATATAAAGAATAAAATTTGCATTTATTATTATTCTAAAAATATTCATAATATTTAAAGGGATGATTGATGGTGTAAGCTTATACCTTCTAATGGTGCTACATATTGAGACTAGATCGTGGGTGTAATTATGTGTAATGGAAGAAATAATATTCGAAAAGTTAAAATTCTGCTACTTTTGGTAGAATATACTCTGCCTCTAAACCATTCAGATTGGGTATTTTTTGGGCTTCTTGGAACCGGCCTCAGAGACACGCCTCCCTCACCACAGTCAAGTTGACGTCATATAGTTGAATTTATTAGCTGGACCTATCTTTTCCAATTACTTACACCAAGAATTGATTTGTAGCAGAAAAACGTGAAAAACTAATGGGTGAGTTATGAATTTAGCTGACATTTTGACACCATTACCAGATTCAAATTTATTCTTTTCTTCAGAAAATTTGCTTATTTAGTTACACTTCCTGATCCAAATATAACGAATGGAGCATAACAGTTATCTTTCGTCCACAGTCTTGTCCTGAGAAACCTGAGACTGGATACATGACGATGGAAGGATCTCCTTGCCCCAGCAGTGTTTACGATTACGCGTACGCGAAAACTTCAAAAATCACTGAACGTTTATTAATTTCGCGGCTAGGAATGAGGTGCGATGAAATCTCCACTGGATACGTCGGTGACACTACGTCACGAAATCAACAACAATCACGATCTGATGAATTCAGATCATCTGCAATTTACACTGATAAAGATTGCGAGAATTCAAAAAACACCTGTGTGAAGAACAGTTTATCTTATCAAGAAGCAAACGTCGAACGTTTACAAGTGGACTGTGGCGCTTCTGCTCTGTCATATGAAAATTTTCCCGGTAGCAGCTCGGAACGTTTTTCAGAGGAGAGGACCGATTCTGAAGAGTATGTTGAAAAGGGAAAGAGAAGAAGCGTGCAGTTTGCGGATAGTGAAGATAGATATGGTCGCAGTGCCTTACCCAAGGAAAAAGGAGGCCCATTTCTCATAGAAATTGAGAAATTCAGATCACCTACTATATCCCCTGATAAACATAACGAGAACGTAAGTGCAAAGAATAGTTCATCTAATGAGGGTGAAAACGACGAACGTTTGAAGCTAGATTGAAAAGCTTGTGGTTTTTCTTACGAAAACTTTTCCGGCAGCAGCTCGGGCCCTTTTTTAACCGAGAGAACAGATCCTGAGGAGTATGTTGAAATGGGAAAGAAAAGAGGGGTGCATCCCCAACACTCTACAAAGAGACGAGACACTTAGTAAAGATGAGAACCAGACATATCAACCCGGCATCGATGATCATTTCTACGTTCCATTAAACTTTCAATAGGGGTGCAATATCTATGGACTTGGCTGCAATCAAGATATACTAATGACAGCATTTACAGACACTATGGTTCCGTTTGTATAGAACAACCCATCTACAGCCTTCTAGAGGAATTAACCACGGGACAACCAAAGTAAAATCCTGCACAAGACAGTTTGAACCCGTGTACAACGTTCTAGAGGAACCAGATCAGGAACCTTCGGAGAATCCCAATTATTTTGGCTCTATTTTGTCACAACAGCCAGTTTATAGCACTTTAAAAAGTCCTTTTGGATCGGGCGAAGATCCGGAATGTATAAATGAAGCAATATATAACGCATTGGAGGAGACGTCTCCACCCAATTTTAAGGCAGAGGATGAAGTATAATTTGTTGAAATTAATTTTGTGAAGTGTAATGTGTTTGAACTGAATATTCAAATTGTTTTACACACCCTAGCTACGTACTCTGTATTTTCCTAGCATTATTTACAACTGACTGGGTAGAAAAGAAGGGCCTTCAAATTGCCATGAACTCTTCAAGAACCTGGGTCATAATGACTTGATTCAGGCGACTTTATGTCCAGAGACGTTCGAGAACTGCATCAACTATCGAAGGTTATAGCTTATGATATACAAACTAAAGTAACCTGAAAAAAAAAATATATATGTATTATTTGGTTAATTCCCAGCTATTCAAGATTATCTAACTCGTAATGCGTAATGTATCATAACTTTTAAAAGCAAGTAGATGAATGATTGGAATGAATGTACAGGAATAGTCTAATATTTAGGAGAATTAATCTATTATGATTGGACAAGAATTTCACAAGAAGTATTTTATTTTCTTTTATTAGATTCGCCAGTTATTGGCAGGGTCACCGCAACAGCACCTTTCCTTTAGAAGCATTATAGAGCATAAAAACAGTATTTTAATCTTTCCTAGTTAAATTTGGTGCTTCCAGTAGATAAGTCATATTCCTTCCTCCACATTTGAAAGTTGACAATATCAACAAATGCCATTAAAAATATTGTCTCTCCTTCTTTTTCGAGGATAAAAAGTATATTGCACACCTTCTAAGTTAAAGTTTTATAGTTAAACTTTTTTCTCACATGAAAATTACCTACGTCGCTTAAAACGCACGATGGAAATTTAAGGACACCTGAACGCAGTGCTTTATAGTTACACCTAGTTGAGTCACATGTAGTTGAGCTTATGAACTGAACGAGATGAACAGTGAGTAGGCGAACCTCTCGATCTTCTCGATATTTTTTGCGGGAATAAATCATCAAAGATAAGATAAAGTAACCTATCATCATTATTACTACAATATTAGGAGATAAAAAAACTAATAATTTAGAAATCTAAATAAAATAAGAAAAGGAGTCACGAATAGCTGGAAATTCAAAGTTTGAGTGGAGTGAGTCTTTTACATGCTAAGGCAAAACAGTCTTTGCTATAGGACTTCCTCACCACAAAATGTAAAAAAAAAAATGTAAAGCGAACAAAAGCGTTTGGTTGCAAGCACTATTCGGCACTGCACCGGCGAAGAAATTTATTTATTTGTTTATTTTCATAAGTTAAGTTATGCTCGCCGGTAACTCATCGACAAGTAAAGAGCAGAAATTGAGAATGCTATTGAACAATTAGTTCATGCGTCAGCGTGCGTATGTCGAGATATTGAGCAAGCGGGAAGCTTGGAGAGCACGAAAGAGGCGTAAGAGTAGCTCCAGGCGCAGCAACTCTCTCCAAACTTCCCAAGTGCTCAATATCTTGACATACGCGCCGCTGAAGTATGAACTAATTGTTTTATAACATTATCAAAGCGATCAATGCCGCAGTTAACTTAAACTTTTATTATTGTAGGGCGCGCTCAAAGCAGTACGCGTCAATGTTTACGTGACTATATCTTCTTTCCTCACCGTTAAGGTTATGTCTTTGTCCTGAAACGGAGAGAAAGTGTACTCTAAAATGATTGTAAAATCCATATTAGGTGCCAGAAAACTATTAATTCCCCCCAAAATTGTTATTGACAGAAAACAACTTTGCAAAGAATGATCTCACGCCATAGCCCGCACAGCTTGCGGAGATGACAACAACAACAACCTCTTTTCCTTACTATCGGTTAACAAATTCAAACGTTTCCTCTTAAATTTCCTTATAAAACACATGGTAAACCCTTCATCGTGTACTGCTGAGTTACGGATGCACTCAGGAGACACAGGATTGCTAAGCTCACAACAACTCGAGGACTGAGAGATTACGAATAGTTTATTGACGTAATCTGAAGCGTGCTCAATAGGAATATGAAGCACGCTCGCGCTATTGAATTTGATTACGCGAATTTTCTAGCTATGTTAATTTCATTTTTTCTCACTTTCTTATTACTGGCTTGGATCATGCCAATACCTGACGCCTTACAGGTCGATATTTTTCAGGTGACAATTTTTTGAATTGTATACTACTGCTACCTGATACAAAATTATGAAGCTTACAATTATAGAAGACTGTTAGCCCTTTTTACCTTCCTTATGTACATTAAACTGTACAACTGCTAAAACCACTCTTCATTTTTATTTGCTAATCGTTAATATCGATACAAATATAGCTCTTTCTATACAAGTACCTAGACGGGAACAATATCATTCAATAATTTCGAACAAGCATAGAACGCGCATGAGAGAGAATACATCTTTCTCAAACTGTTGTCTCCTTTTAACAGTGAATGATTATCATTATCGCCATTGCTGTTCAGTAGAACATCAGGGCTTGGTTGGGAAGCTGTGAATGTTACTCGTTGTATTTGTCGACGACTTTGATGCAGTTAAGAATATTTACATCGTTGGTAACAGTTTTCAAATTTTTGATCGCCTTATCGTTTGGAAATGATTTCGTAATCTACAGAAACAGATCACGGATGAATCAAATGTGGGAGAGTTGGGACTCTTTTAGGATTCCATCTTCGACATGTCAACAAACAACTCAAGGAGATCGATGTGTTCCATTTGCTGCAGATATAGATAGCGAGAGAAACTGTTCTTGTTTGTGTCCATCTGACAGATCCACTTTTGTTTTTTATAACCGAGAATGGACTTGTCTTGACAATTTGATAGTTAGAGACTTTCAAGGCGGTAAGGCAGGAAATCTATACTGAAGTTGTTGTTAAATGGTAATTTAGAGCCTAGAGATTATCCGCGGTGATTTCACTGCATTTGATGCATTCTCATTATTCAAAACGCCCTACAAGTCTTGACTTTCATTTCCATCTGGAATTCCAGATGCCATATGAGCAAGAAAAAGCTACATTAAATACCGATTTATGTATTTTAAACAAATGGCTTTCAATTGTTAAACCTTAATCTTCAATGACCGGAAGGGCAGGAAATATTGCTTTCATCGTAATTGGGAAATAGTGTGTTTTCTAACGGCTGGCCTTTTTAAATTACATTTATTTAGTAGACTGCCGCAACACTCACTACTTGCTATCAGAGGTAGGCCATCTTCCACCTCTTGATGACTGGAAGGGCAGGAAAGATTGCACGTGTGTTTCTAACGGCTGGCCTTTTTTAATTACATTATTAGACTGCGGCAACACTCACTATTTGCTATGAGAGGTAGACCATCTTCCATCTCTTGATGACTGGGAGGGGAGGAAAGATTGCTTTTATTTCAGTTCTGAGATAGTATGTTTTCTAACGGATAATCATTTTTAAATTCCCAGAGCCCTGCAGTAACACTCACTACTTGCTGCCAGAGTTAGATCATCTTCCAGATCCTCCGTTGTCAGCATTGAGTGTGGGTGACATCATCCCTACTAGTATTGTACACGGTCTGGATATTCAACACTGCGATGTCAATCCCAATTCTTCTTGGTATCTTGGTTGTAATGGGATGCTACTTTTTTCGAGTCAGCATCTGCGCAAGATTGGGGAGTTGTTTGCCTTTAAATTTAATAGTACAGCCAGCTCCATGTACTTTGTTCTCGAGGTATAGTGAAGAGTCAAATGTATAGTTGTTCTCGTTGTTCCAATTTCAGCGTTTTTAATTATTGTACGTGGTTTTAGAAATGCTGCTGGACCAATAGAACATCTGATGTAATGGTTTCGTTTCAATTTCTTTAGCCAAGTCATCTAATCTTTCCCCCTAAGGTTTGCCGCTCATTTTCTTGCTCCTCACGGTCAACTTTCTATCGAACACGGGCACCTCCCAAAATCGACGAACACTTTCAGAGTTAGAGACCTTCATGGCGGTAAGGCAGAAAATCCATACTGAAGTTGTTGTTAAATGGTAATTTAGATCCTAGAGATTATCCGCGGTGATTTCACTGCATTTGATGCATTCTCATTATTCAAAACGCCCTACAAGTCTTGACTTTCATTTCCATCTGGAATTCCAGATGCCATATGAGCAAGCAAAAGCCACATTAAATGCTTGATTCAGTCCCTGTCGTTCTTCGGTTATTTTGTTTTCGACTCGCTATAACGGTGCCGGACACTTTTCTAAGACTGACACATTGTGCACCTAACAATTGTGCCCGTCTTTGAGGGAGTTGACCCTTAGTCAAAAAGCTGTTAACCTTACCATTGAGTGTTAACGTCCACATATGTACCCTTATGTCTGTCTTAAATTAACCTGGGGAATTTCAGAGACTATCTTTAGTTTGCAGCAGCCCAGAATGTACATAAAACCGGACGAAAGGGCTTTCCCTTAAGTTCGTGGTTTAGTACTTATTAACAGCTTTCTCCCTTTTTGGAATGCAAACAATAAATGGTGTATCCTCATGTGCCATGATATAGGTCAAACGTGGAGTACAAAACACTGAATTATTACAAGGAAGAGTGATTAACCTTGGCATTCTATGCCACGAATCCGGGGGACATCAATATCACGGCTGCATACAGATCAAATTAAAGGGAAAGTTAACGTGTGAGTGATCAAGGATTGCCATTGTTGTGTTAATTACTGTTGTGAAAGATAAAGTCGAAGTTTGGTCGCTAGGTAACTAGTGAGGTAAAAGTGCAATAAAACCGTCTTAATTTGAGAAGAATGTGTTCGCAATGTTGAAATAAGTTAGTCAGGGGTATATGTTCTTGGGCGTATAGTACCATGTGCAAATAGGTTAAGAAAGGCGTGGTGTCTCTGCATGAATAGGGGGTGAAAGCCACTAAAAGACAAACAGTTTGATAATCAGGATAATACCAATAAGTGGAGCGTGCTCTTTGGGTGAAAGTTCTTGGTGATATATATAGTTAAGACTATTTATTAAAGCAAGTTTAGGGCCCGTTAAAGATGCCGGGGAAGGGCAAAAATCATAATTGAACTTTTTCCTTTTTTATTTTAACAAGGTCCCGTGATGGTACCCAATTTACAACCGTCTTCATCGGCGATGCCAAAGAACACATCTATCAGAGCGGTGTGGAAGTCTTCTAAAATCGGTCTTACAACCTCAATAATTGTTTTTGCATCCTCGACAGGGTCGAACTCTTCAAAACCTATTCCTACAACCTGGATTATAGTTTCTGCAAACTCGACTGGAATTCACCCAACCTCAACGGTATTCCGTCCAACTTTGATAGCTACGCAGACTATTCCCAACTCTTCACAGACCATTTTGGTAGGCCAAGCCCGGATTTTCTCTACTAGTACTTCACCGACAATATTCAAACTCGCTTTTACTCGGTCTGTAGTATCGCTGTCGTCTGAAAATCACCCAAACTCGAAAGTGAATCATCCAGCCTCGATAGATACGCGGATTATGTCCAGCACTTTACACACCAGTTTGATATTCCACACTATTACTCGCCCCAGAGTCTTGCACCAGTCGACATTTGTTTTGCCTTCAAATGTAAGTTATCCAAAGGATTTTCTCCGTTCACCCTTCAGAACGCTCCATGCTCTTAAATGGATTGCTAGGCCCGTCCTCAGACTTTTCAACTGGTTAAATTCCAGAACCTTTCTTAAGAGGGTTTTTTTTTTAAATCAAAGATTTGCGGTTATCCTCAATTTCCTTCAGATAAGGAAATCACCTGACGTCCAACTCCATCACTTGATAAAGATTCCGTGATGGAATAGAAAGCTTGTGTATGCTTATAAGTTTTCATCCCGAGATTTCAGATCTCGTTGCCCTAAATATCATTGCCAGGATTACGTAACTCTCTCTCTTCGCAAATATTCAGTCAGGGAAATTTCTGTATTGATAAAAATGAGGTTTCTCCTGATTCACAGGAGTCGAAAAAGATCTAACCTAATTCACTCCAAATGGCGGCCAAAGCAAAAAAACCTACCAATGCAAACGTTTTGTCTAAGAGGTTTTTTGATGGTAACACCATTCGGATGACACAAACGAAAGAAATAGTCTAGCCATAATTTGATCTGGCGCCATAACTTGGCCTGAATTGTAGCTAACCACCCTGTTAATGTATAATTGTGAAGATACCCTCTGACAACTTGTCTCCCAAATGATCGCTTAGCAAGATTGTAAATTCTAGCCTACGAATGAGAGGTTATGGAAGGTTTTGGACATCATAACCATTTACAAACTAGTTTTTCATTCCATGAATTAAGGAGAAGAGAAAATAAAGACATTTGCTTAGTTGGTTTAAAATTTAAGTGGACATCCAATGAACACCACAGTTGGCACAGTCGTTAGCTCATAACGAAATAGACACTCATAAGACTAGCCTAGTTTAGACTAAATAGAGAAGCTCTTTTTCTTACAGTAAGCCTGGGATCCGTTGCAATTTTTTTTTCTTCTAGGTTCATTTACGTCCCAGCCCAAACGTGGAGGGCGATGCAAAAGGCAGTTCATCGTCTCTGGATTTTATTACAGGCATCTCAATATCCTTTTCTCTAGCAGTTGTGATGATTGGGATCATTGGGCTCATATTTTATTTGCGCTACTTTAGAGGGTAAAAATTTGTTACATTAATCCAGTGATATATATTTTACTATTCTATTATCGTAACGTTTCCAAAGCAGTGCGGGTTTACCCAATTTGTGCAGAGATACATTGTAGTATATGGAAAGCTAAAATATATTAATTTGAGATTTTTGCGCGAAGGGGAATTTCTTTTTGACAATCTCAACCATAGCTTACCAACGCTCGACAATTTGACATTCTAAGCGTTCCTAGATAGGGTCTTAAATCTTGTTAGAAATACAGGGTTGTTCCGTAGGATCTTTTTTTTCATTTGAAGATTTTTTGAAAAAAAAAAAAAAAAAAATCTTAATTTGTGCAAAATCGACTTCAAAGTAATTTTGTCCTTTTTAACATTTTATTTTCTTAGAGAGTGGCACCATGAACAGAAGGATCATCGGGTAAGGTGATTATATTCCTGCGCAATAATATACAACAACAACAACAAAATAGATAATCACATATCACTGTCTACATATTATCCCAAAGACGTCTCCCTGTGATTAACTATCATCTTCTTAGTACATGACCCAGGTCACCTTGTGACCATGGTGGACTTTGGCATCTGTGGATCACTAATTAATAAATATTACGGGACAGAGAAGTTTCTGCCTCATGGATTCCGTTGACCTAAAACGCCAGTGCCCTCTGATCAAGGAGCTGTAAGACTGAATCTTTAAATTAAGCTCCTTTTATTTGTGTCTATTTGACAGAATACCGTTATGATGAGCGTACATAGAAACTCAGCTTTCCAAGAGGATGATGACAATGAGAACAACTCGCTTGCCATTAGAGCAAACGTAATGGGTAAGTAAACACATTAAACAATCACTGTGTAACTGATCTGGGCAATTGTAAAATATGTCATAAACTTTGGATCTGGGTCAATTAATTACACTACCGGTACTTTTGCTTTTGATGCATCTAAAAAACTGGGAAACCACGCCCTCTGATTTTTTTTTAAAAGAATGCCTTATTTATAACCAATTTTATAACCAATACAAAATTTTCCCTCCAAATATCCAATAAGGTAGATTTCCACTGTCGCGTACTTTTTACGTGCGCATACGCACGTAAATTTTACGCGCGTAAATAAAATAGAGGCAATGTATGGAAGGTTACGCGTAAACGTTGAAATCTCGCTCAACTTTAACGTTTACGCATGGCCTTTCAAGGATGGCGTATATTTCATTTACGCACTTAAATTTTACGCGACATTGCATGGAAATCAACCCATACGGTCATTTGCAATTGATTTCTCTGCCCTATTAATAATCATTTCTATAATCTATCGCTTTCTATTTTTTAATCTAATATTGTAAGTACGACTGTTTGCACCTTTTTATTTTTCTTTCCCCGTTACTTGTAGTTTTCTGTAAATGTCTATGCAAGTTGCACAAGGCAGTAAAAAACTTGAAAGGCAAAGCTTCTTTGGTCTCTGGACACATTGTACCTTTAACCATTTACGCATTTTTTTTTTTTTTGGGGGTTCTTGCAATATACTGTAATGCATGAAGTTACATCTTGTAATACTGCAAAACATTATAACGCTGAATGCGCATGATATAGCAATTGCTATGCCAGTGAGGCATAACTGCGTCGCTGTCGATAGACAATATCCAGAGCAAAGTGAAATCAATAGGGAGCTTAAGCAACGACGACGGCTACGAAAACGTCACTTAAAAAGTGAATTTGCGCTACTTCAAAAAATAAAGCGCTTATTCCATTTCATTCAGTTCGTCAGATGCTAACAATTTTTTGTGGAGTTGCATTCCAAAAGACTGTATCGAAGTTCAGGAAAATAAAAAAAGTCGTCTTGTGTTCACGTTCTCCACAAAACGTGAAAGTAGGCATTTTCACGTCGTAGTCGTGCAGTGACGCCGAAAAAAATGTAAGGTCATAGACGGCGAGTAAATGGAGCCAAGCAGTAGCTCGAAAATACCGCTAAAATGTTCGTTTCGAGCCGGCAGCCAGCACGGCACTTATTAGAAGTCCAACCATTCTCCAGATTCGCGTTCGAATTTGTAAACTTGGTAAAACACTGATGTCTGTCTTCGACTATCATTAATATTTTAAAACAAGTAGTCGCCAGGGTGACTTTAAATTTTCAGTTAAAATCGAGTCAGTGTAATCCCTTGGCACTTTACTTTTGTAATTGACTGAATAACACTTTGAAATATACAATCACATATGTTCAGAGTGAAACACTTCTTAATTCCACATTTGTTTCCCTTGTAGGCACAATTTCCAGCCGACAAATTTCGCAGGTACGTCTTTAAAGTCAATAAAATAGCAATAATTAAATATAGTATTGATCTTGATCATCTGTCACGTTGCTGATCTGATTTTATGTTGCTCATTATTCTGTGAAGTTGGCACCCTATTATTTATAGGGAAGACTCTGGGAATACTTCCTCGTTCTCACGGTCCACCAGTTGTCTGCTGTTAGTGAGAAGAAAGTGAAATCACAAGTTTTTCAATTCAGCCTGTTTTCAATGTCATGCCACAAGGGGGATCGGCTAAGTCAGTCAAGACCAGGATATAAGCTGGTTGTTCTTGTTCTTCCTACTTGTTTATTTACTGTTTTTATTCTTTTATTTATTTATTATTATTATTTTTCTACCCCCACAGTCTTCACCCGACGAAACTGATGTTGGATACATGATGATGAAAGAACCCTCTTGCACCGAGAGAACTTATGATTACGCTTACGCAAATCCTGTACAAGTAACAAACTCTTTAATCTTGATCTTGTTTTATTCATTTATCTATTTGCTTATTTATTTCTTTTTTCTACCGTTCACAGTCTTTTCCCGAGGAAACTGACGTTGGATACATGATGATGAAATAACCCTCTTGCCCGAGAGAACTTGTGATTACGCTCACGCAAACCCTGCACAAATAACAAATTCTTTTTAAAATTTTGACCTTGTTCTGTTCATTTAACTCTTTGCTTAATTATTTATTTTCTCTACCGTCCACAGTCCTTTTCTGCGGAAACTGACACTGGATATGTGATGATGAATGGAGCTTCTTGCCCCGAGAGAACTTATGATTACGCTTACGCAAATCCTGTAGAAATGACATCTCCTTCTTTAATCTCAAGTCAAGTCAAGTCAATCTTTATTTAAACACGGTAAAATCCATCAGGAATTTAAAAAATTAAAAATAACCTAACTATCCTAAACAAAATTCAAAACCTGACTACAACTAATCTAACTAAAACCTGTTTTTCATGAATGCCGTGTATAACATTAAAAGTGAACATTAACTAATCTTTTAAATTGACTAAGAGATTCGGCTTCTCTCACATGACAGGGTAGGCTGTTCCAGAGAACTGCTCCGCTATAAGTAAAGCTGTTTTTCATGAAATTAGTTCGCGGAAATGGGACAAATAGTTTGTTAACAGAGTCCCTCAGGGAGTAACGCGTTTCATTTCGTTTAACAAACTTAGATGATAAATATTCAGGAACAAGGCCATTTAAAGACTTGTATACCATTATGGATTTCTGTATTTGAAATTGAGTGCTCAAGTCTTTCCAATCGAGTTGTCTAATCAAACGGTTAGCATCAGCATCATAGCTAGAGAAGGTTAAAACGCGAGCGGCACGGTTCTGAAGCTTCTGTAGCCTGTCAAATAATGTTTTACCACAATTACCCCAGACAAGATTGCAATAATCGAAATGAGATTGAATTAGTGAGTTGTATATATAGTGAAGGGTAGGTGGAGGGACAAAAGGTCTAATTCTTTTTATTGCTCCAATTCCGGAAGCGACCTTTTAGATAATTTATCAATGTGTGATTGCCACCGTAGATTTTCATCAATAAATATTCCAAGCGATTTGACAGAGGAAACGTGTTCTATCGGAACATTATTAATCGAGAGCTCAAGTGGGTTCGACAAAGTACTCAATTTTTGTCTGGAGCCAATTAGCATGAATTCAGTTTTAGAAGTGTTCAAAGTAAGTTTATTGGAAATAAGCCATTTGTTTAGGTTATCTAAATCGTGACTCAGAGTTAACTGTATTGAATTCACATCAACGCCAGCATAAGTAATGTGGGTGTCATCGGCATACATTCTAGGCTGGCACGAAGTAAGGCAGTTTGGCAAGTCATTAATATAAATAAGAAATAAAAGGGGCCAAGGATTGTTCCTTGCGGTACCCCACATTTAAGAGAGAGCAGATTCTAGAAAGAGAACCGTTAACAAGACATCGTTGTGTACGATTAGTTAAATACGACCTAAACCAATCAAGAGCTGTACCTTGTATTCCGTAAAGGTTCATTTTAGCTAGAAGGATATCGTGGTCAACGGTGTCGAAAGCCTTTTTAAATCGAGGAAAACCACAGCATTAACATTGCCACGATCAATATTAAAGGCCCAATTATCCGTAGCTTCCAGAAGGGCAGTTGCAGTTGAGTGTAACGAGCGAAAACCCGATTGATGATTAGAAATGATATCTTCATTGGTCAAAAAGTTATACAACTGATCATAAACAATCCTTTCAAACACTTTAGCTATAACGGAAATGACTGAAATAGGTCGATAATTATTCAGATCAGATGGCTCACCTTCCTTGAACAACGGAGTAACTCTAGCACATTTCAATCATCAGGAAATATACCAGAGACTAAAGATTTATTAAAGAGATCACATAGTGAAACTGAAATAAGATCAGCACATTCACGTACAATTTTAGCAGAAATATTATCAAGACCAGTTGCTTTAGATCTACATAATTTGTTTAGATGTGAGAAAACAATGCTGCAGTTAGTCGAGGAGAAGCTGAAATTGTTGTTATTTACCTTTATATTATTGATATAACTTGAATTATTTTCAGCAGTTAGAGGTATTTCATTAGCAAGTCTGGGCCCAATTGTTGAAAAATGGTCATTAAAAGCATCAGAAAGCTCACTAGAATTAGAGATAATGGTATCATTCAATTTCAGTTCTTTCACCGTTGTATTATTCACACGACGGGATGTAAGCTCATTAAAGGTTTGCCACGTTTTTCGAGGATTACCCTTAGATTGAATAAATGCATTAGAATAATAAGATGCTTTAGAAATTTTGATGTCATTGTTTATTATATTTCACAACTTTTTGTACCTTTTCCAATCGTGTGGATCATTCGATGTAATTGCTTTTCTTTTGGCAGCATCACGATCACGCATGCCTTTCTTTAATTCTGAATTGATCCAGGGTGCTTTATTTGTTCTAGTACGTCTAGTTCGGAGTGGCGCATGAATATTAACAATATCCAAAAACTTCGTTTTCCAGTCAGTCCACAAAACATTTGGATCTTCAGAAACATTACAGGACCAGTCTTGCTGAGCGATATCGTTACGAAAACTCTCCCTATTAAAATTTTGGAAATTTCTATAAGAAATGGTTGAGTGCCCTTTTGAAGGAAAAGTGAGAGATAATTTCCTATAAACGTAAATAAGGCTATGATCGCTGATACCAATATGAGAGACTCCGGAACAGACTACCCTGTCAGTATAGTTTGTATAAATTAAATCGATTAATGTTGAAGAGGATTCCGTTATGCGAGTAGGTTGAGTTATAAGCTGTTGAAGCCCAAATAAATCAGAAATTTCACATAAGCGTCGAGTATTTAAATCATATTGTGCAGAGGCCAGGTTACAGTTTAAATCACCTAGCAGATAATATTCTAGGCCGAGGGAATCTAATTTCTCAAGAAATGATTCGTAATGTAAAAATAAATCAATTGAGGAGCAAGGAGGTCTGTACCAAGTGGCTATCAGAAATGGCCTGGAGTTTGGTTTCCGAATCTCTATACATAAATTTTCAAGACTGGGTGCATTCAAATCAGAGCGAACTCCAAAATTAATCGAGGTTTTTATAAAAACCTACTCCTCCTCCTTGTCTGTTTCTATCACGACGAATAAATTCATAGCCTGGTATTTGGACCTCACAACTATTGATAGAGTCATCAAGTTTAGTTTCATTAATTGAGAGAATATCAATGGAGCGATCGGCAAGGAGAATTCTTAGTTCATCAATATGCTTTGTAAGACTATTAATGTTTAAACCTGCAATTTTAAAACCACGACCAGAAGGAAGAAAATCAGAGAGAATTGTACTTTCAAATGAATCAACGTTTTGATTAGGAATACCTGATGATACGTCACTCGGTTGAGAAGCTAGCGTGGGCGTCTCCTGTTGCGAGCTGGAGAGGGAAGGTTTCCCAGTTCCATCAGAAGCTTTACCAGTTGTTGGATAGCTGAGGACTGAAAACCCTTAAGAGACTGATTATACTTGCCAGAACCAGATCTTAAAAACTTAATAAATTGCACGGCCAGCAATGACGAACCTTTGGCATTCAGATGAAGTCTACTACCATTTAATGCTGAGGCGTCAATAACCGAATTATCAATATAAGTAAAGTTATCATCTACTGCTGTGAGCTTGACCCTCTCATTAACTTCAATGCGTTTAGCATCGACGTTGATATCTTCTCTGTAGACTATACCCGAGAGACCAATGCTTGAGTTAGGAAACTTGCTCTTCACCTTCAATACAAGGCTCTTGATATCGGCGACACATGAATCGGCAGACTCCGATGGAAGATTGTTGGTGCCAGTATGGATGATGACGTGAGAAGGATCCGCGGATGCAACAGCGATGTTGTCAACAGCTTCAGCTATTTCAGCAGTGGTTTTCCCGGGATAAGAGAATTTATGTACATGTCTTTGCGAAAGCTTTTTTGGATCAATGTGTTTTATCATTGAGTCACCAATAAGCACTATGGGTCTTGTCTTTCCGACTTCACCGCTTTTGGAGTTATTTGCACTAACTCGAGAGGTATTTGCGTGCGCTCCAGACTGATGCAGTGGCATCTCAGAGGATACTTGACTCGAAGGAGAAGAGACAAGTAAGGCCTGATAGCGGTTATGACTAGTTGGAATTGAATCAAATGCCCGGCTCGCTTCAGATGAATCAACATGTGAATGTTGCTGTTGCTGTTGTTGGCGACTTTCTTCGTTATTTGCAGTATAGTTGTCCTCATTTCTCACTTGGAATTGTACCTCACTTCTAAGGGGCTCAAATCTGTTCTCAGTTTCTATATTGCAGGCCGCCAACGGCCGCTGGATATGTTTATCATTCACACTTTTCCCAAGTGTGCCCACCTGGGACCAACAATCACATATCTTTTGTTGGCGGCATTCGCCCTCGCTTCTTTCTTGCATAATGATCTTCATTGCCAGCTTAAGAGAATCATTTTCTTGTTGCAAGGACAAAACTTGGCTCTCATAGGAAAAACACTTTTCCTCCAACACCTCAATTTCATTATCTTTTTTAGATAATGTCGATAACACCTTCTCATACCTCTCTTTGTAATCGAGGAGCTCGGCGCTAAAAGCGGTTTCTTGTAATTTGCATTTCGTCGACAGAAGGCTTGTATTTGCTTCAACCTTTTTCTGAAGAATTAGTAAATCCAGTTTTAAGCCCTCAATATCAGCACTGATAACCGAGTTCGATCGCTCTTGAATACTGTTCTCAAGTCCGGCGTCGGCGGCCGAAGCTAGTCGATTACTGCAGATGCCATTGGCTTCTTGCGAAGGCGGAATTTCTTGCTCGGTTGTTGAAGCATCCGAGACAGGCGTATCAGCTTCTGTTCCCTGTTTATTTTGAATAAACTTGACCAACTTGTCCTTTAAGGAGGGACCATCTCGACCTTGGAAACAAAGGGTTAGCTGTTTCTTATTATACCAGTTGATGACGAGATTATTGTTAGAACTTTTGAATTGCTTTACGTTTCCTCCGGGCGACGACCACTTTCCTTGTAGTTTCAAGCCATTTTCCACAAAATTCTTTAACGATTCAAGGTTATTCGTCCACGTTAATCGTTCCCCGTTTAGCTTAAGGGATTGTAATTCGCACCATTTAAGGTTAAGCTGGTAAGACTCGGTATCTTTCGTCAAAACGGGACCAGAAGGTTCACGTCCGTCCGCCATGGTTCACGTCAAAAACCCGCAAGCAAATTTAATCAGTTTTTAGCTTGTAAACCATATCGACGTTAATTCTGTAAACCATATCGACGTTAATTCTGGATCAATCTCGCGGAGCACAAGAACGGTGTGCGTTCCCGCTGATGCTTCTGCTAATCAACAATCACCATCTGTTGAAGTCAGGTCACCAGCCATTTATATTGATAAAAATTACGAAGACACGAAGAATATTAATGCAAAGAACAGCTTATTTACTGAAGGTAAAAACGATTGCGTTAAGGATGAATGTTATCGAATGGACGAATATAGTGATTTGTCTCTAGCAATTTTCTTTCTCTTTTTTGGTACCTAAACAATTTCTATAGGATATCCTCGAACAATCACTAAGTAAAACGGAATTCCTCGTCACTAGTGTCACCGACCTATGTACTAGGTAACTTGTTAAATCTTCTAAATAAAGATTTGAAAACAAAGATCACAAATGTTTAAAGAAAAGGACTGCTGAACTCTAAATATTTTTGCCTTGTAGGGACCGAATCCAGCCCAATTTCACAGGTACACTTTAATAAATAGATAATATAAAGAATAAAATTGCACCTATTATTATTCTAACGGGATGTTTGGTGTATAGCTTATACCTTCTAATGATGCTACATATTGAGACTATATCGTGTGTGTAATTATGTGTAATGGGAGCAACAAATTTTGAAAAGTTGAAATTCTGCTACTTTTTGAAAATATACTGTGCCTCTACCCTATTCAGACTGGGCATTTTTGGGCTTCTTGGAACCGGCCTCAGAGACACACTCCCTTTCACTTTAAAACTTTAAATATACTTGTATCATGGCCACGGTCACGTTGAGGTCATTTTTTAAAATTATAGGAAAGTTTACTGGCTGGATCTATCTTTTCCAATTACTTACACCAAGGATATATAAAATTATAAATTTAGCTGACGTTTTGACACCTTTACCAGATTCAAATTTATCCTTTTCTTCAGAAAAGTTGCTTATTTAGTTACATTTCCTGATCCAAATAAGACGAGTGGAGCATAACAGTCTTCTTTCGATCGTCCACAGTCTTGTCCTGAGAAACCTGAGACTGGATACATGACGATGGAAGGATCTCCTTGCTCCAGTAGTGCTTACGATTACGCTTACGCGAAAACTTCAAAACTCACTAGACGAATATTGGTTTCCCGGGCAGGAATGAAGTGCGATAAAATCTCCACTGGATACTTCGGTGAAAATAGGTCAAGAAATCAACAACAATCACCATCTGATGAATTCAGATCATCTGCAATTTACACCGATAAAGATTACAAGAATGCAGAAGACACCTATGTGAAGAACAGTTTATCTTATCAAAGAGCAAACGACGAACGTTTGCTGGTGGATTGTGGAGCTTCTTCTCTGTCATATGAAAACTTCCCCGGTAGCAGCTCGGGACACTTTTCAGAGGAGAGAACAGATCCTGAGAAGTATGTTGAAATGGGAAAGAGAAGAGGAGTGCGGTTTGCGGAGAGTGAAGATAAAAATGGTCGCAATGGCTTATCCAAAGAAGAAGAAGAAGAAGAAGAAGGCCCTGGAAATCTGGTTCTCGTGGAAACTGGGAAGCTCAGATCATCTGCAAGTTCCCCTGATAAACATTACGAGAACATAAGTGCAAAGAATAATTCATCTAATGAAGGTGAAAACGAGGAGAGTTTGCGGCTAGATTGTAGAGTTTGTGGTTTGTCTTATGAAAACCTATCTGGTAGCAACACAAGCCATTTTTCAGCGGAGAGAACCAATCCTGAGGAGTATGTCGAAATGGGTAAGAGAAGAAGCGTGCAGCTTGCAGATAGTCGGGGTCAACCTGGTCTTCATGGTTTCCCTTGCCGACATTGAAGAAGAGGGTCCTGAATATCTAATGCTAATCGGAAGTGGGAACTAATTAAAGTGAGTTTTAAACTGACTTTTCAGTTTTGTCATATTTGTCTTTCTATTGTGTAAGTCCAAGGCGAAACCAAACGAAAGCTGCGTCAAAATAAATTTGCAACTTGAGCCCTTGTAATGAGAAAAATGGTGAGAAAATGGACGAGAAGGACGACGATGACGGTGCTGAAAGATGATGGCGATGATAATAATTCTCGAGTGCCTGATAAGACTGACATACTGTACCACAGTTACTGTAACATTATATATTGGAAAAATCACAAAAACCAACAAACAGTCCTCTGCGTCATATTATTCTGATTTGCAACGACACTGCGTTTTTTTAAACAAAAGTGAGGAAAAAGAAGTGAGGAAGTTCTTTAGATATCTGTTTAAGGAGCATGAGTACACGGCGTGCCTTAACTATAACTTTTAAAATTAAAGTTATTGACATTTTTGGAATGATGTATAACAACTTTAGTCGATAATTTAATAATTTGATCTGGGATACAAGCCCACTCCAACTAAGCCTCCACTCTTACAATGTCCAACTACGTGTTCTTGTTGTGTTTGCGGGATAATGGCTAACATATAGTTCAGCCAGGTATTGATCTTTACAAAGGCTTTTTTTTTTTTTTTTTTTTATTAGGGGGCGGCGTGGCCAAATGGTTAGCGCATCGGACTCGCAATGCGGCAGTCCCTGGTGCGAGTCCCGCTCTGGCCGCACTGTAATTTTCAGGGAGTTATAATAACTCCTCTAGTGGGGCTAATTTAACTCCTTACAGTGGAGTTATTTTTCGTGGAGTTATTTTAACTCCAAAAAGGAGTTTAAAGAACTCTTTTTCAGGAGTAAAAGTGACCACAGATTTTGAGGAGTTAAAATAACCCCAAAAAAGGAGTTATCCTGTACCTAAAATTTTTACTCCACTTTCAGAGTTAAATTAACTCCAAAAAGAGTGAAAACAACCCCTGTAAGGAGTACAAGTAACCCCATTTCGGAGTAATTTTAACTCCAAGACTGGGAGTGAAAAGAACTCTTTTTCAGGAGTAAAAATGACCCCAAATTCGGAGTTAAATTAGGAGTTAAAATAACCCCCAAAAAGGGGTTATCCTGTACCTAAAATTTTTACTCCATTTTTGGAGTTATAATAACTCCCTAAAAATTACGGTGCACTTGCTGGATTTGTTCTCGGTCGACCCGAGTTCAAATTCACGGCCACGCTTGTAAAAAGCCAACTGGTTGCCTCCTGCCAGTTGGAGGTTTTAATTCCGTTATGTTGTATTTGAATTATTTGTTTTCAAGTATTTGAGTGGAGTGCCCGTAAACTAGCTGGATAGCTGCACTTTTCACTATATAAACAAGTCTTAAAACTTTTTGGCGCTTGGTAGTCCAGAAAACAAATAATAAAAATAAGTTCATCACACAAACTAATGCCAAATCTTATGTATGTACTTATAACGGGTTATTCTTTTCAATAAATGGAAGAGCAGGTCACAGGATCGAGGTCATTAATGAGAATAATGACCAATTGGTTCTACACAACGGGAAGGTGCATTGAATCTGGTAATGCCACCGCTCCTTGACCTTCTCAGAAATAGTAGGGACTTTTAAGATCCAACGACGCGGACGGCGACGAAAACGTAAAAAAAAAAAACCAATAGGTTTTATAACCAAAACAACAACTCTGCACGTGCATCACGCTCGTTTGTACATTTCTTTACCCGTTTTTGCACGACTACGACGTTCTCTGTGCAGTCGCGTCGTTGAATCTTAAAGTCCCTAATACCCTTCAACCGCGCGCTCGGTCCTTTAACGAGCGAGCGAGTCCCACCAGACGTCCCGGCCGGCAGCATACGCCAGGCAGAACCTAGGCATTATCTAATACATACGCTATGTTTTCGGGGAGGACTGGGCGAAGTCACCGCCGTCCCAAAAAGTCAAATAAATGTGAACAGCGAACACGAAGTGATTTTAGCACGTCTTAGTCCTATTTTGTCAGGAGCAAAATAGAGAGGCATTCAATTGTGACAAGAAATTTTGGAAAGACCCTCTATTCGCATTTCGGTGAACCCTTGCGAACCAGTTTTTCCAAAAAGAAGGCAAAGAACTAGTCGATCGTAACAACCTTGCGATGCTTGACCTAATAAGGGAACTTGTACTTCGAAATGCATCAAATTCTATAGTGTTTCCAATGCTTCCGAAAGAATAGCCAGCCTTAAAATGTCAATGCTTTGAGATGAATTTGGTCAAGAAGCACAAAACGCGCTGCCAAACTGGTCAAGAACAGGTAATTGTTTAATAACTGGTCAATTGCCATGCGAAATTACATACAGATACGTTTTTACGAGTTACTTAAGGATGTTATATCTTCTCAACAAACAGAACAAGACTACCCTCACGAAAACATGTTTTCGAAGCGAAACAAATCAAATGAAGTAAACAGGTACGAAAAAAGGAGCATTTAATATGTTCTTTTCTTATGAATGACACGTAGCTAAAAAGTACCTCGTGCATGGAACCCTTAACAATGACAATTAATTTTAAGGGCTAGAATTGGTTATTAGAGCAAAAACTCGTCATTTAAGAATTGGTCAATTGCCATGCGAAATTACATGCAGATACGTTTTTACGAGTTACCTAAGGATGTTATATCTTCTCAACAAACAGGAAAAGACTAATTAATAGGGAGTTAATAGGGAGTCAAAAAAGAATAAATTAATTCCTTGCTTTTGTCTTACAAAATTCAATAACATTCACGTCTCAATATTCAATCCCCCATTTCCACTTATCATTGAACCTCTTGAAGGGAACTGACAACAATCCAATAAAGTGTCAATCTGAAATAAAATTCAAGCACCTACGGCATAACGATTTTTGGATACAAGAACATTCCACTGTACGCAAAAAATCATTGCTGTTGCTGAACAATATATCGATATTGCAATTAAAAAGTTTTGTCTTAAGTTCTCTAATTCTAAAATATCCGCTTTTTAGTAGGAACGTATTTTTTTTTGTGTGGAAAAATGAAAACCCTTGCCATAAATGTTTTGGTCAAGTAGGCTTAAAATGCACTTAAAGCGACCCTTAATGCTTAAGAAGAGGGTGACATACCTAAAATGGAAATTGTTTTCATATATTGATGTGAATGAGTGGCTAGTTGCTACGTAAAATGCTTAAGACTCCTTAATATTGCAACAAATATATTTTTCGAGTGTAGCCACAAATACATGTCAACACAATCTCTAGAACTATTCGTTTCGACATTTCTGAGATGGCTTGCTATTTCCGGCCAGATTTGCTTTAGAAAGTGTCAGCACAATCTAATAGAAATTTGAAATGTACATTTTCTCGCTACAGAGAAAACAGATACGTCTCTATGTACGGATACTGGAAAAAAAGCTAAAAAACCTGGCTAAAAAACTCGACGTTCAAGAATAGTCAACTTAATGATACCGAATGAAATGATGTTAACGATATTGATTTCATCAGTTCTTGTGTTCCACATTTTCGTTGGTTATGCGTTGGAAGACGTTTATGTTATTAACAGAAACTCTGGGCCAAAGGACCGGGTCTGGAATGGCAAAGACTCTTTTGAAATTCCACCATCGAAATGTGATCCATTAACAGCCTCAATAGCAGATGAATGCGAACTATTTCGAGCAGATGCGCCGGGGAGCGACATGCCAAAATGTTCTTGTCCGTGTCCTGCTGGCAGACCTACGTTCGCTTTCCTTGAGAATCAGTGGGCGTGTTTGGACAATCAGTTTATACGAGTCTTACAAGGTACGAAGATGAAGTAATTATCAAAATCATATTGGAACACTTTATTTGGAGTTCGACCATGGGCATAATTATAGTTCGCATTTGATGCATAATATCTTTAATTACTAATTGATCAGATTTGAAATTTCGGTTAAGCAATAACAGCGTTGGTGCAAAAGGTCACAAAAAGACTAAGGACAAAGTTAGAATTGTGATAATATTTAGTGTCTGAGCATTTACTAGCCGTGCTCTACGTGCCTACAGGCACACGCATACGCATCATATTTTCTACCTAAAAATAGGTACAGGTACAGGTTAACTCTCATAGTTACGAGGTATACGTATTCATACGTACTAAATATTGCTTTTCGTTGCTCATTACATAACAGACTGCAACCACACAAGCTATTTTTTGAATGAGCCAACGAATCCAAGTGAGTTATGGGCGTTACAAACCTCTGTCTCAGTGTCAACCAATATTCCGAATAATGGCCTACAAAGCTGTGAGGTGTTGCCAAATTCTTCTTGGTATCTTGGGTGCAATGGGACGCGAGTGAAGTCACCTCTCTATCAAAGGAAGATGAACGACCTGTTTGCATTAATCAATCACTTTGGTGATGATGTGTTCAACTATGTCTCTCTAGAGGTACGAAAATGTCTTTTATATCGATATGTCAGAACAGGTGAGGTCAGAAACCATCACGAGAAAGTTGACGGCTCCATCCTTGTATATTCTCAGTAAAAACAAAAACAAAAGAAATGATAATTTCGGTGTGAATATATTTTGCAAGGGGTACTTATACAGGAGAGTGATTTTACGCCTGCGTTTGAAGGCATACTGAGTATTTGCACGTGGTTATCCGAGCCAATAAAAGCAGAACTTTTTTGGCAAAAAAGGCAGTACCTTCTTGCTCAGTTATATTAGGATTCAATGTCACGCCATCAAAAAAAAAAAAGGAAAAGAAAAAGAAAAAAAATCAAACCATTCGAAAATAAATTAATATAGATAAATATAGATTCACATGCGGTTTTCCATACAGTATGAGATGCTCTACGGAATGTTTTACCCAGACAATTGAGCTTTCTGTGGAAAGGCCATGTAGGGAAACAGTGTTCAAGATTACAAGTTCCATGCCTTAACTTGGATTAAACGGAAAATGAGTTGAAGGAATAGGATGGACTGACGTTGTGAAGAAGCGCCGAGCCAAGATAATGAACTAAAAGTTACAAATGTGCAAATTGAAATCTCAACATTTCTCAATACATTTCCTTCACAGGTTAGAGGTGGTGTCCTAAACGCACATTTGCTTGAGGGGAAAATTATCAACCTTGCTATACGATGCAACCAATCAAACAGCAATGCCCAGTTTCACAGCTGCCTGATGTTTAAATTAAAGGGGCAACAAATATGTAAGTTTTTTCCTCAGTGGATATCCGTTTTTCACTATTCAATGGTTATGATGATCTCTAAGCCGCCGTAAAAGCATTGAGATTTGTTCACGCTTTTTTTTTAAATTATCTGACAGTTATTGCCGGATTGCGCGTAAAATGCAGCTATGAACACTGATGCTGGCCACATGATATCTTAAATTTTCAGAGGCAATCAAAGACTAATTGTATATGTTTTTCATCAGGTCCTGAGCCAGAACCTAAGCTATACACCCGCACCACTAGAAGTCCCGGAAATCCAAACCGAAATTCTCCTAACGACGTAAACACATCTTCGTCACCTGGCAACGTAAGTATAGGGGAAAAAGCGATGTCAGTGGTACTGCCCCCTTTTGTTCACATGATTTGAAATAGCCTCGCGGATGAACTGACAACCCCTAGGCAGTGGGTTCTTAATAACAGCAATAACAGTTAACAACAAAAATCCAGATTTTTAGTGTGTTTAGGGTGGCTGTGAGTAAAACGCGGGGCCAGGGTCGGGGTCTATTTTTTTTGGGGGGGGGGATAAACCCTAACCCTAACCCTAACCCAAACCTTAAAACAGCATTCTTTAGAAAAAAGACCATCAAAATATATGAAGTAGGAGTTTCAGCCAAAACTGCGAAGGGATATTTTAAAATTTTCGAGGAACAAGTCTTTCGACTCCAGAGCAAGGTTTTGAACCATTTATAGTGCTTTTAAAACTAAAAAGTACTCTTTAAAGAATAGCACGATTGGCAATCGGCTTTTGTTTTTTTTTCAAAAAAAAAACGAAACACTGGAATCACCTGTCCCAAAAATTCAAACTGTTGTCTTGGCTATCTCAGGCAGCAATTTGTTATTGATATTCCACAACAATGTCACAGCTGAATTTTGACCGACTTTTAGTTACCGAGTTCTGCTCCAACGATTTTTCTGAAATTTTCGTAGCATATTTATTATATCAAAAGCCGATACAAGAAATTGCAGTACAAAATATCAGCGATTTTCTTTGAACAGTGGGGTCCTTTTAAGCGCTAATTTGCCCCCAAAATATTTACCATCAATGAAATCGGAATATTGCATATCATTGCCGAATGATTTCTGTTGTTCTTTCGAAAGTTTCGCAGCCATCGCGTTGAAAACAAAAAAAGTTTTGACGGAAAGCCAGTCATAGCTCAATGCTTCTGTATTAATGACGGAGCCACCTTAATATTGTTCGGTGTCTTTTCAATCTTTTTAATCACGTCACTTGGTGATTTCACCTGTCTTTAACACCAGGAAACTACCCCCCCCCCCACCCACAAAAGAAAAAAAAGAAAAAAAAAATTGTGAGTTGCAAAAGGCCTTTTCCAATTTTTGTCGAGAGCATTTTAAAACAAATTAAATTGGGGATTAAGTTTGCAAAACCAAGGAGTGACAATAGGTTTGATACACCTATAATAATGAGTAATTTCTCACTATAACCGTACCATTACTGCGTCGTTAGGTTCACTCTCGTCCCAGCCCAGGCCATGAAGGCATCTTAGACGGTAGAGGGATCATAGCAGTCATAGCAGCCGTCATTGTCTCCATTGCAGTTCTCATTGCGATTACCGTCTGCTTATTGTTTTATCGCCATCGGCAGCGATCAAAGTAGGTAAAACTTGACAGTAATAAATGAGTGTGACATGGCCAAATGTTTTACTTTTAGTAGGTCTGTTTGCAGTCTTCGGATATTGGGCTGAGACAAATGATGGCTGAGGGTACCTTCACACGGGACTTTGAACGGCAAGGGCTAACTTAAAAAGTTGGTTAACTGCGTGTGAACGAAACACCCTAACGCACCGATTTTCAACCGGCGCCTTAATTGTAAACGCAGCCTGAGTTGAGCCACGTCCCGAGTGGACTTCGTCTATTAATTGATCATTAACGTGGGAAACACGTGGAAGAAGCTTGCGGGGAGATGGTTAAACAAGCGAACAAACGTAACTCATAAAAATAAAAAAAATAATTTAAAAACGTTCTCTGCTTATCTTTCACCTTACAGAAAGCGAGAGCGTGACAATAATCTCTTTGAAGGTAACTTTCTATTTATACACATGCATTTTAATACAAAGATAAACTATGGCAATCCCTCCATGTTTGGCTAACGTACCCATATTCTAGCTATAGGGTCTTAGAGAGCGAGTAAATCGAGCCAAGCAGTAGCTCGAAAATAGAGCTGCCATTATACAATAAGAAAATTAAAATGTCAACCACTAAAATGTTCCTTTCGAACTGGCAGGCAGCTCTGTTTTTTTTAAAATCTTACTTCGGCACTTCTTTGAAGTCTAAACATTCTCCAGGTTCAAGATCGAATTTGTAAACTTGGTAAAACAGTGATGTCACTATCATTAATATTTTTAAATAAACTTTAAATTTTCAGTTAAAATCGAGTTGCAATCTCTTGGCACTTTACTTTTGTAAGTGACTTTAAAAAGCAGCAAACTGAATAAAACTTTGAAATATACAATCACATACGTACAGAATGAAACACCTCTTAATTCCCCATTTATTTGCTCTTGTAGTCACAATCTCCAGCCGACAAATTTTGCAGGTGCGTCTTTAAAGTAAAATACAGCGATTATTTAATATTATCTTGATCATAAAGGATCTGTCATGTTGCTGATCTGATTTTATGTTGCTTATTATTCTGTGAAGTTGGCACCCTCTTTATTCATGGAAGACTCTAGAAATGCCTCCCCGTTCTTACGGTCCACTAGTTGTCTGCTGTTAGTAAGAAGAAAGTGAAATCACAAGTTTTTCGATTCAGCCTATTTTCAATGTCATAGTCACGCAAGAGGGATCGGCTAAGTCAGTCAGGTTGTTCTTGTTCTTCCTGTTTGTTTATTTCCTGTTTTTATTCTTTTATTTATTCACGGTGGGGCCAAACCACCCCTCAAATGTTGCATTTAGACTGTTTTTGGATTTTTTGGTAAGTCTTGCACCAAACTTTACAGGTAGCCTTCGAAAAGTAAGCTCATAAATTTACGCCGTTTTTTGACGTGTGATGTCAAATTTTGACGTCATAATCTATGACGTCACAAAAATGGTTGTGATCAAATTCGGAAATGTACAAAAATAGCTATATCATGTGAAAGGGCTTTACATGGACAGTAAAATACTGAAAACACTATCTCGCTACGACAAATAGAACAAAACTTATGACAGTTTAAAGACTATTTAGTTCCCCCCCCCGGAACCATACTTTTCTTCTAAATAAGACTGCTCCGATCTAATTTTTTCATTTTTGCCCCAAATAAAGTGATATTCTAGTAAAGTAAACCTTTCAACGCTCCAAAAAATCGTATCATTTTAGATTTTTGAATTTGGACTTTAAAACGCTGATCTAAACACCACAAAAATGGTCACGTGATTTTGGTATGACGTAAATAAACTGTTTTTGTTGTTCTAGCAGGTGTAAGCATCCTGTCACATACCCTTTTTCTTGTCTTTTAGCTTCGGGCAATAAAGAGTGTCAATGTAAAACTTCAATTTTTGTGCAAAAAGAACACTAAAGTACTTAAATTTATGATTTTTGCGAAAAGGGGGGAACTCTTTCCAGCCTGTGAATAATTATCAAATTCAAAACGTCATATCTCAGCAAGCTTTTAAGCTATATAAAAAATTTTTGCAACCTTCTTCTATGCTTGACGAGATCTTTTTAAAACGCGATAAAAAAGTGGAAGATTCAAAACTCTAAAATTTAATTATCAATGACGTCATCAATTATGACGTCACGATTTAACATGAATTGTTGTAGTGTACACCAATTTGATTGGCTCGTTCTTTTAGAATTAGCGGCCAAGTCTCGTACACAAAGAACAAATACAAACAAAGTTATTGTGGATTGACCAAAAAACCCACGTTTTTGTCGCACATTCGAGGGGTGGTTTGGCCCCACCGTGATTATTATTTTTCTAACGTCCACAGTCATCACCCGAGGAAACTGATGCTGGAGACTTGATAATGGAAGAAGCTTCTTGCCCCCAGAGAAGTTCTGATTACGCTTACGCAAATCCTGTACAAGTAACAAATTCTTTAATCCTGATCTTGTTTTATTCATATATCTATTTGGTTACTTATTTATTTTCTCTAACTTTCATAGTCTTTTCCAGAGTAAACTGACGTTGGATACATGATGATGGAATTAGAAGCCTCTTGCCCCGAGGGAAATTAAGATTTCGCTTACGCAAACCCCGTACAAATAACAAATTCTTTTTAAAAATTTGATCTTGCTCTTTTCATTTATCTCTTTGCTTATTTATTTATTTATTTTCTCTACTATCCAAAGTCCTTTTCCGAGGAAACTGACATTCTGAAATTCTGCTACTTTTGGAAGAATATATTCTGCCTCTAAACCATTCAGACTGGGCATTTTTTGGGCTTCTTGGAAAGAGGCCTCAGAGACACGCTCCCTTTCACTTTAAAACTTTAAAAATACTTGTATCATGGCCACAGTCAAGTTGAGGTCATTTTTTTTTAAATTATAGGTAAGTTTACTGGCTGGATCTATCTTTTCCAATTACTTACACGAAGAATTTATTTGTAGCAGAAAAACGTAAAAAATTAATGGGTGATAAAATTATAAATTTAGCTGACATTTTGACGCCTTTACCGGATTCAAATTTAACCTTTTCTTTAGAAAATTGTCTTATTTAGTTACATTTCTTGATCCGAGTAAGACGAACTGAGCATAACAGTTTTCTTTCGTCCACAGTCTTGTCCTGAGAAACCTGAAACTGAATACATGACGATGGATGAATTCAGATCTCCTGCAATTTACACTGTAAAAGATTACGAGAATGTAGAAAACACCCATGTGAAGAACGGTTTATCTGATCAAGGAGCAAACGACGAACGTTTGCAGGTGGATTGTGGACCTTCTGCTCTGTCATATGAAAACTTTCCCGGTAGTACCTCGGGACATTTTTCAGAGGAGAGAAACAATCCTGAGGAGTATGTTGAAATGGGAAATAGAAGAGGCGTACAGTCTGCGGATAGTGGAGATGAATATGGGCGCAATACCTTACCCAAACAAAAAGAAGGCCCTGGAAATCCATTTCTCGTGAAAAGTGAGGAATCCACATCACCTACGATTTCCCCTGATAAACATCACGATAACATAAGTGCAAAGAATAGTTCATCTAATGGAGGTGAAAACGACGAACGTTTGAAGCTAGACTGTAAAGCTTGTGGTTTTTCTTACGAAAACTTTTCCGGCAGCAGCTCGGGACATTTCTCAGCGGAGAGAACAGATCCTGAGGAGTATGTTGAAATGGGAAAGATAAGAGGCGTGCAGTTTGCAGATAGTGAAGATAAAAATGGTCACAATGGCTTATCCAAAGAAGAAGAAGAACGCCCTGGAAATCTGGTTCTAGTGGAAACTGAGAAACTCAGATCATCTGCAAATTCCCCTGATAAACATTACGAGGACATAAGTGCAAAGAATGACGGTGAGAACGATGAGCGTTTGCGGTTAGATTGTAGAGCTTGTGGTTTGTCTTATGAAAATCGTCCTGGTAGCAGCACAAGTCATTTTTCAGCGGAGAGAACCAATCCTGTGGAGTATGTCGAAATGGGTAAGAGAAGAAGCTTGCAGCTTGCGGATAGTCGTGTTCAACCTGGTCTTCATGGTTTCCCCGGGCTGACATTGAAGAAGAGGGTCGTGAATATCTAATGCTTATCGGGAGTGGGAACTGATTAAAGTGAGTTTTAAACTGACTTTTCAGTTTTGTCATATTTGTCTTTCTGTTGTGTAAGTCCAAGTCGAAACCAAACGAAAGCTACGTCAAAATAAATTTGCAACTTGAGCCCTTGTAATGAGAAAAATGGTGAGAAAATGGACGAGAAGGACGACGATGACGGTGCTGAAAGATGATGGCGATGATAATAATTCTCGAGTGCCTGATAAGACTGACATACTGCACCACAGTTACTGTAACATTGTATATTCGAAAAATCACAAAAACAAACAAACAGTCCTCTGCGTCATATTATTCTGATTTGCAACGACACTGCGTTTTTTTAAACAAAAGTGAGGAAAAAGAAGTGAGGAAGTTCTTTAGATATCTGTTTAAGGAGCATGAGTACACGGCGTGCCTTAACTATAACTTTGAAAATTAAAGTTATTGACATTTTTGGAATGATGTATAACAACTTTAGTCGATAATTTAATAATTTGATCTGGGATACAAGCCCACTCCAACTAAGCCTCCACTCTTACAATGTCCAACTACATGTTCTTGTTGTGTTTGCGGGATAATGGCTAACATAGTTCAGCCAGGTATTGATCTTTACAAAGGCTTTTTTTTTTTTTATTAGGGGGCGGCGTGGCCAAATGGTTAGCGCATCGGACTCGCAATCCGGCAGTCCCTGGTGCGAGTCCCGCTCTGGCCACACTGTAATTTTCAGGGAGTTATAATAACTCCTCTAGTGGGGCTAATTTAACTCCTTACAGTGGAGTTATTTTTCGTGGAGTTATTTTAACTCCAAAAAGGAGTTTAAAGAACTCTTTTTCAGGAGTAAAAGTGACCACAGATTTTGAGGAGTTAAAATAACCCCAAAAAAGGAGTTATCCTGTACCTAAAATTTTTACTCCACTTTCAGAGTTAAATTAACTCCAAAAAGAGTGAAAACAACCCCTGTAAGGAGTACAAGTAACCCCATTTCGGAGTAATTTTAACTCCAAGACTGGGAGTAAAAAGAACTCTTTTTCAGGAGTAAAAATGACCCCAAATTCGGAGTTAAATTAGGAGTTAAAATAACCCCCAAAAAGGGGTTATCCTGTACCTAAAATTTTTACTCCATTTTTGGAGTTATAATAACTCCCTAAAAATTACGGTGCACTTGCTGGATTTGTTCTCGGTCGACCCGAGTTCAAATTCACGGCCACGCGTGTAAATAGCCAACTGGTTGCCTCCTGCCAGTTGGAGGTTTTAATTCCGTTATGTTGTATTTGAATTATTTGTTTTCAAGTATTTGAGTGGAGTGCCCGTAAACTAGCTGGATAGCTGCACTTTTCACTACATAAACAAGTGTTAAAACTTTTTGGCGCTTGGTACTCCAGAAAACAAATAATAAAAATAATTTCATCACACAAACTAATGCCAAATCTTATGTATGTACTTATAACGGGTTATTCTTTTCAATAAATGGAAGAGCAGGTCACAGGATCGAGGTCACTAATGCGAATAATGACCAATTGGTTCTACACAACGGGAAGGTGCATTGAATCTGGTAATGCCATCGCTCCTTGACCTTCTCAGAAATAGTAGGGACTTTTAAGATCCAACGACGCGGACGGCAACGAAAACGTAAAAAAAACAATAGGTTTTATAACCAAAACAACAACTCTGCACGTGCATCACGCTCGTTTGTACATTTCTTTACCCGTTTTTGCACGACTACGACGTGAAAATGCCTGATTTCGCGTTTTATGGAGTACGTAAACGAGCAACGACGAAATGCTATTTCTCTTTCGGAACTTGGATATGTCTCCTAGAAATTCAACTCCAGGAGGGTTCGCCTTTGATAAAGTAAGTGGGTAGGAATAATTGCGATAAAGACTGAAAGAACGCAAATTAATTTTTTAAGCGACGTTCTCTGTGCAGTCGCGTCGTTGAATCTTAAAGTCCCTAATACCCTTCAACTGCGCGCTCGGTCCTTTAACGAGCGAGCGAGGCCCACCAGACGTCCCGGCCCGCAGCATACCCCAGGCAGAACTTATAGGCATTATCTAATACATACGCTATGTTTTCGGGGAGGACTGGGCGAAGTCACCGCCGTCCCAAAAAGTCAAATAAATGTGAACAGCGAACACGAAGTGATTTTAGCACGTCTTAGTCCTATTTTGTCGGGAGCAAAGTAGAGAGGCATTCAATTGTGACAAGAAATTTTGGAAAGACCCTCTATTCGCATTTCGGTGAACCCTTGAGAACCAGTTTTTCCAAAATGAAGGCAAAGAACTAGTCGATCGTAACAACCTTGCGATGCTTGACCTAATAAGGGAACTTGTACTTCGAAATGCATCAAATTCTATAGTGTTTCCAATGCTTCCGAAAGAATAGCCAGCCTTAAAATGTCAATGCTTTGAGATGAATTTGGTCAAGAAGCACAAAACGCGCTGCCAAACTGGTCAAGAACAGGCAATTATTTAATAACTGGTCAATTGCCATGCCGCGAAATTACATACAGACACGTTTTTACGAGTTACTTAAGGATGTTATATCTTCTCAACAAACAGGACAAGACTACCCTCACGAATTCAGAAAAATGATGTTGGTGTATGTTGTAAAACTGATATGAGTGTAGCAATCGGTAGAACTAATAGGAGACTAGAAGTTTCTTTAGCGAGCAACAAAAACATGTTTTCGAAGCGAAACAAATCAAATGAAGTAAACAGGTACGAAAAAAGGAGCATTTAATATGTTCTTTTCTTATGAATGACACGTAGCTAAAAAGTACCTCGTGCATGGAACCCTTAACAATGACAAATAATTGTAAGGCTAGAATTGGTTATTAGAGCAAAAACTCGTCATTTAAGAATTGGTCAATTACCATGCGAAATGACATACAGATACGTTTTTAGGAGTTACCTAAGGATGTTATATCTTCTCAACAAACAGGAAAAGACTAATTAATAGGGAGTCAATAGGGAGTCAAAAAAGAATAAATTAATTCCTTGCTTTTGGCTTACAAAATTCAATAACATTCACGTCTCAATATTCAATCCCCCATTTCCACTTATCATTGAACCTCTTGAAGGAAACTGACAACAATCCAATAAAGTGTCAATCTGAAATAGAATTCAAGCACCTACGGCAAAACGATTTTTGGATACAAGAACATTCCACTGTACGCAAAAAATCATTGCTGTTGCTGAACAATATATCGATATTGCAATTAAAAAGTTTTGTCTTAAGTTCTCTAATTCTAAAATATCCGCTTTTTAGTAGGAATGTATTTTTTTTTGTGTGGAAAAATGAAAACCCTTGCCATAAATGCTTTGGTCAAGTAGGCTTAAAATGCACTTAAAGCGACCCTTAATGCTTAAGAAGAGGGTGACATACCTAAAATGGAAATTGTTTCCATATATTGATGTGAATGAGTGGCTAGTTGCTACGTAAAATGCTTAAGACTCCTTAATATTGCAACAGATATATTTTTCGAGTGTAGCCACAAATACATGTCAACACAATCTCTAGAACTATTCGTTTCGACATTTCTGAGATGGCTTGCTATTTCCGGCCAGATTTGCTTTAGAAAGTGTCAGCACAATCTAATAGAAATTTGAAATGTACATTTTCTCGCTACAGAGAAAACAGATACGTCTCTGTGTACGGATACTGGAAAAAAAGCTAAAAAACCTGGCTAAAAAACTCGAAGTTCAAGAATAGTCAACTTAATGATACCGAATGAAATGATGTTAACGATATTGATTTCATCAGTTCTTGTTTTCCACATTTTCGTTGGTTATGCGCTGGAAGACGTTTATGTTATTAACAGAAACTCTGGGCCAAAGGATCGGGTCTGGAATGGCAAGGACTCTTTTGAAATTCCACCATCGAAATGTGATCCATTAACAGCCTCAATAGCAGATGAATGCGAACTATTGGGAGCAGATGCGCCGGCGAGCGACATGCCAAAGTGTTGTTGTCCGTGTCCCGGTGGCAGACCTACGTTCGCTTTCCTTGAGAATCAGTGGGCGTGTTTGGACAATCAGTTTATACGAGTCTTACAAGGTACGAAGATGAAGTAATTATCAAAATCATGTTGGAACAATTTATTTGCAGTTCGACCATCGGGCATAATTATAGTTGGCATTTGATGCATAATATCTTTAATTACTAATTGATCAGATTTGAAATCTTGGTGACGCAATAACAGCGTTGGTGAAAAAGGTCACAAAAAGACTAAGGTCAAAGTTAGAACTGTGATAATATTTAGTGTCTAAGCATTTACTAGTCGTGCTCTACGTGCCTACAGGCACACGCATACGCATTATATTTTCTACCTAAAAATACGTACATGTACAGGTTAACTCTCATAGTTACGAGGTACACGTATTCATACGTACTAAATATTGCTTTTCGTTGCTCATCACATAACAGACTGCAGCCACACAAGCTATTTTTTGAATGAGCTAACGAATCCAAGTGAGTTATGGGCGTTACAAACCTCTGTCTCAGTGTCAACCAATATTCCGAATAATGGCCTACAAAGCTGTGAGGTGTTGCCAAATTCTTCGTGGTATCTTGGGTGCAATGGGACGCGAGTGAAGTCACCTCTCTATCAAAGGAAGATGAACGACCTGTTTGCATTAATCAATCACTTTGACGATGTTGTGTTCAACTACGTCTCTCTAGAGGTACGAAAATGTCTTTTATATCGATATGTCAGAACAGGTGAGGTCAGAAACCATCACGAGAAGGTTGACGGCTCCATCCTTGTATATTCTCAGTCAAAAAAAAAAAAAGAAACAAACAAAAGAAATGATAATTTCGGTGTGAATATATTTTGCAAGGAGTACTTATAAAGGAGAGTGATTTTACGCCTGCGTTTGAAGGCATACTGAGTATTTGCACGTGGTTATCCGAGCCAATAAAAGCACAACCTTTTTGGCAAAAAAGGCAGTACCTTCTTGCTTAGTTATATTAGGATTCAATGTCACGCCATCCCCCAAAAAGGAAAAGGAAACAAAACGAAAAAAAAAAAAAATCAAACCATTCGAAAATAAAATAATATAGATAAATATAGATTCACATGCGATTTTCCATATAGTATGAGATGCTCTACGGAATGTTTTACCCAGACAATTGAGCTTTCTGTATAAGGCCTTGTTGGGAAACAGTGTTCAAGATTACAAATTCCATGCATTAACCTGGATTAAACGGAAAATTAGTTGAAGGGATAGAATAGACTATAACCTTGTAAAGCTGCGCCGGCTCAAGATGATGAACAAAACGTTACAAATGTTCAAATTGAAATCTCAACATTTCTCAATACATTTTCTTCACAGGTTAGAGGTGGTGTTCTAAACGCACATTTGCTTGAGGGGAAAATTATCAACCTTGCTATACGATGCAACCAATCAAACAGCAATGCCCAGTTTCACAGCTGCCTGATGTTTAAATTGAAGGGGCAACAAATATGTAAGTTTTTTCCTCAGTGGATATCCGTTTTTCAGTATTCAATGGCTATGATGATCTCTAAGCCTTCGTGAAAGCATTGAGATTTGTTCGCGTTTTTTACATTATCTGACAGTTATTGCCTAATTGCACTTAAAATGCAGCAATAAACACTACTACTGGCCACATGATTTGAGAAAATTTCAGAGGTAATTAAAGACTAACTGTATATGTATTTCATCAGGTCCTGAGCCAGAACCTAAGCTATACACCCGCACCACTAGAAGTCCCGGAACTCAAAATCCAAACCGAAATATGTCTCCTAACCCCGTAAACACATCTTCGTCAGCTGGCAACGTAAGTATAGAGGGAAACTGGAAGCCTACAACATGACATCTTCGCGGCACTTTCACGCGATGTCAGTGATACACGAGGCCTGTTGCTCAAGTGATTTGAAGTGGCCTCGTAACCCTTATGCAGTGGGGTCTTAAAAACAACAACAACAAGAAGGACAGCAACAACGGCTAACAACAAAAAGCGAGATTTTTTGGGTGTTTCTTGGTGTTGGGGAAACCACAGTTTGTTCGCTTGTTTGGTGTTGTGTGGGTATTGTACCGTGTCTTTTCAATCTTTTTTATTATGTCATTTGTTGATTGCACTCGTCTTCAACACTAAGAAACTACCCATTTGTTTGTTAAAAATCTTTATCATAACAATTTCGTCCCCCCCCCCCGCAAAAAAAATGTTAGTTGCAAAAGGCCTTTTCAAATTTCGTCGAGAGCATTTTAAACGAAATTAAATTGGGATTAAGTTTGCAAAACCAAGGAGTGAAAATACTAGGTTTAATACACCGGTAATAATGCGTAATTTTTCACTATAACCGTACCATTACTTCGTCGTTAGGTTGACTCTCGTCCCAGCCCAGGCCATGCTGGCATCTTAGACGGTGGACGGATCATAGGAGTCATAGCAGCCATCATTGTCTCCATTGCATTTCTAATTGTGATTATCGTCTCCTTGTTTTATCGCCGCCGGCAGCCATCAAAGTAGGTAGAACTTGACACTAGTAAATCACTGCAACATGACCAAATGTTCCACTCTTAGTGGGTCTGTTTGCAATCATCGGATATTGGGCTAAGGGCTGGTTCAGACGCCGTACTTTTTATGTGCCGAATCTAATTAAGTAAGTTCGACTTTGGAGCGACACTGGAGTGACATCTGATTCAGACGGCCCACCGTGTATCGAGCCTAAGACTCTGTCGAACTCAACGCTTTTGCCGTACCAAACTAAAACTGCCGTACCGAATTGATACCGACGCCGCTCTTTTATCGTACTTAATTCATCAGTTAGGTTCGGAGCGGCGTCTGTACCGGGCCTAAGACAAATAGTAAACCTTTATTTAACTAGGGTAATCCCTTCAGAATACTTAAAAGTATATCTGTTATCAATAGGAGCCCTAAATTAAGGCTAATAAAAAAGTTCAAAATAAATAATAAGAAACTAAGTAACTATAAGTTAATAATAGTACAGTATAACAAAACGCCTGACTCTACGTTAACACGGAATTTTGAACGGCTAGGCCTCTACCGTTGGTTAAAAACGTGTGAACAAAACACCCTAACGCACGGATTTTCAACCGGTGCCGTGTAAAGTGAGTTGGACCACGTCCCAAGCAGTCTTTACCCCCTAATCGATTATTAACACGAGGAAAAGCTTACGGAGGAGATAGGAAGTAGGGAAAAGAGATGCAACAAACATAATATAGTAATAATATTACGCGACCGCTACGTCACCAGTCTTACAAATGATAAAAGACGACCCTGGACAAGTCAGACACGAAATCAGCGGCCGCCTACTCCAGTTCGTCAACAGAAATGAAATCACCCCCTAAATTCATCGTTAGCTTTTCTTTTACTTTAAAAGAGCAAAGACAACAAAATTAACAAATATTTCTCTAATGTTGGTAATTTTTCCTTTTCGTTTTCACAGTAAGAAAGCTAAAGCAAATAAAGCAAGAGTCAATGGCCATTTTCAGGTGTGTGGAAGGGCATGGTAAAGACAGTTGCTAGTTACAGTCAGTCTTGAGAACACTGCATGATAAAACCCGTTTGTAGTTTTCAATTAAATCCCCTATAGAGTGTTTTCAATAGGCAGCAGCTATGCGAATTTATTGTGACAAATGAAAGCGTTTCCACTACAGGACTGGTTTGTGAAAGCAACATGGCCGCCTTTTTATTGTTAGGAGACATCTGCCATGTTGGACAACATGGTGGTCGTGACGACATGCAATAAGGCTCTATTTGCAGTTTTTTTGCATTAACAGTTTTGAGCATGTTCCGTGATGATGATGATGACGATGACGATGACGATGACGATGACGATGACGATGACGATGACGATGACGATGACGATGACGATGACGATGACGATGACGATGACGATGACGATGACGATGACGATGACGATGACGATGACGATGATGATGATGATGATGATGATGATGAATGATAAAGAACACACGAGTGTACAGCTTACAAAATATGCGCCGGTTCGCTATCTAAACAGTTCAAGCCCCGTGCAAACGGACGCAACTTTTGTTGGCCAACAACTCCCAATATTGTTGGGAGTTGTTGTGTCCGTTTGCACGTATAGTAGCTAAAAATTTGACTGCTTTCAAACTTTGCACAACAACTCCCGACAACACGCAACAACATGCAACAGGGTGTGCAAGCGGACGCAACATGTAACATCCAACAATGTTGCGTCCGTTGCGCGTAGCATCATAGTGCAAGAAAATTTAGAAATTAATTAGGTATTCAACATCCTTTTGTATTCTATACTTTATAGGATGCTGTAGTGATGAACAGGCAATCAAACTCAACGATTCAGCAGGAAAATAAGAACGAGTACAACGAACTCAGTAACTGGGCAACAAGACAACCGCGTAAGTAGGCATGCACTTTAAAATATGATCACTTTATTACACTTTAAAGAAGCTTTTATACAAGCAATTCTTTACAGTTACTCCAAGAAAAAAATTCTGAATTTGTTTTTTTTTCTATTGACTTGTATTTTATTTTCAGAAATCTATGCAAGAAAATACAACGTCCCTCTGCGCCGAGAACACAATGGAATAGGTCATAACACAGTGCTCCCTTTAAACCCTCCCGCGGAAGAAAATGTGAAAAGGCCAGAGAATAGCCGAGAACTGGATCCGGACTATAAGGATTTCGAACAACAATCTACTAAGGGCAAAACGGGTTTACAGAATGGTTGTATCAGGTTAGACCAACCAGTCTACAATATCCTGGAGGAACTTCCCACTCAAGGAGAACCAAATATGAATATGAATAGGCCAGAGAATAGCCAAGAGCTGGATCCGGACTATAAGGATTTCGAACAGCAATCTACTAAGGAGAAAACGGGTTTACAGAATGGTTGTATCAGGTTAGACCAACCAGTCTACAATATCCTGGAATAGGAAGAATAGCCAAGAGCTGGAACAGGACTATAAGGATTTCGAACAGCAATTTACTAAGGAGAAAACGGGTTTACAGAACGGTTGTATCAGGTTAGACCAACCAGTCTACAATATCCTGGAGGAACTTCCCACTCAAGGAGAACCAATGACACTTAATAATTGTGATAATAAAGCAGTAAAGCAGGTTTTGCAGAGACTGCATCCTGAAAACGCTACAGAGAATTGTAACGGTGGTTGTTCTACGTCAAAAGGACATTCACCCGTCAAAGATCCAAAGGAACATATGAGAGATGATGTTGAACGGGAGTACAAAGTTTTGGAGGGGCCCATTGCTGAGGGAGACACCTTTCACCATGGTACCAACTCATCTAAAGGACCCCTTTATTACATGCAAGAGGAGCCTCGTCAAAATGATCCTCAAGGGGAGCAAGATATCAATGATCAAGGTGACAGAGTCTACCATGTTCTCGAGGAAAACACTTACTTGAATACATTTCAGTTCCCAAACGGGACTTTTTAGGCGAGGAGCGCCAAATGTCAAACAATAGAGAAACCTGCTGAGCTGGCAATTCCCACTTGCTGAATAAATACAGTCGAATCTCCCAAAGCGACTACCCAAAATTCACAATAAAACGGATAGCTTTTCGAATCGTCACGAAAATCTATCCGGTGTTGTATGAACACCTACCCGATATCTCCACTATAGAGGTCGGGTCGGTCCAATTTCTCTCCGTTAAGAAATCGCCTTGAAATCACCGTTCTTATGTATGAACAGTAGCCCTATCTGGTATGGTTTCTGCGCCGGCGCAAGTTATCAAGTATACTATGAACATAGTGGTCGCTTAAGGGAGGTTGGCAATTAAAAGAATCTAACTACAGGGGATCTCTTCCGAGAAGAGGTCCGTACACACCTACTTTATAACATATAATTTCATGCATAGCTTTCCAAGTTACGATATGTGAAGTTCCATGTTAAAAGCCGTTGAACGTTCTTCGTATCCTCTATATACTAAAGTACCCACAACGAACAAGGACCATAGCATGCGTCAAGTGGTCGTTTATGGTGTATCCGTCCAAACAAAGATCCTGGTACTAGTGTATAATTCCTTTGTCGTTTATACGATGGCATTAACAAACAAAAAAATGAGCATGATTTGGGACTACATGCGTAATTTTTGCTGATCTAAGTGAACGTACCCTGAGGTCGTTGCAAAGCGCAAGCATACGCTATGAAAGCGGCTTCTTGCAAGTTATATTGTGAGGAGTGAATACAGTACCTAACTTTGCTAACCTAAAAATATAACCTAAATATAATACGACCAGTCGCAAAAAATGTGATGATAACTGTAAACATGTAAATTACATTTAGTCTGCATTGATGGAGATCTTGGAAAAATAAATCATTGAAGTACGTTATCAGCAGTAAATTATTTGAAATTCATGCATATTCGTGTTGTTTAACCCTTTCACTGCCTGAGTGTTTGATGGAGTTTTGTAAGGTGACTCTAACTTTTGAGTCTATGGACGAAATCCTATGATGTAACCATTCAGGTGAAAGCTCTCTGCCTGTACTTTCACATGATGCTATTTGTTTTTCAAAATTTTAGAAAATGAAATTTGCAAATTTGGTCCAAATTTGCCTTTGGTCACATTTGGCAGTGAAAGGGTTAAACCTCGAGTTGGTAGAGAAAAAAATAATGCAAAACCTCTAGTTTTGAGTCCGTCTTGTCGCCAATTTGAATGGAAATAACCAAAAAAGAGATATCTAAAAAAAAAAAAATAGTTTCATGTTAAATGGGGGTGATTAAGGTCCATTTCGTTTTTGGTGCAATCTCTTTAGCCAAAATTTGGACTTTGTTCGACCGATTTCGATATATTAAAATTCATACTTGGTTACGAGGCTTAGAGGAATAGAACAAAAGAAATGAATATTGTTTCCCGTTTGACACACTAACACCATCAATAGAAAGGGCTTCAATAAAGTGAAGGGAAAAATGGAGCCAGTTTACAACGTTCTGGAAGAAAGTCTTTTTTACGGGCCTAATAAGTTGACATTTCTGGCGGGCATTCCGGTTTTGATCAACAGTAAACTTTCCTTACACGAAGTTGAGATACACTGCATGAAGTGTGTAATAAGAGTAGGCCACTGAAAGAACTTCAAATAGCTATTCAAATTTATGAAAACAAACTAGAAACTCAGTTTAGTCGTCTTACAAGAACATTTACCTTCCACATAGGGGGCATTTAAGCAGCCTGTAAGGGGAGTAACCATCAACAATAGCTTCCAATTGGAGTAGCTAACCAATGTCAACAACATTTTTGTGCATGGTAGGCGGTTATATAGTAACAGATGTCTGAGGGTTTCGCAAGTGACATGAATGAAAATGGATAAAATTTTCTTACAAGGTTAACCTTTTTAGGGATAACGTTTTCCCGCTTTACAAGCTTAAAACGAGACATATCGGTGGATTCCCTTGGTTAATTGAATACTGTTGTGGGACAGCTAGCCAAATTAGAAATGACTTACTCCACTTTCTTTTTAGTAACTACACCGTTCGAATCCGATATCACTCTCGAAACTGAATGGTTTACGTCACGTCACATGGGATTATTTTCGTTAGAGAAGTGGCTAAGTTGACACGTCTTTCCTATACAAAGTACGAAATACTTTAAACATATAATGTTTAAAGAATTAAAAGGGCCTCAATTTTGAATATAGACCCTTCCACGGCTTATTCAACTTTTGACTGGGACCATTTAGCAAAATTCTGCCAAGTTGAAAACCTTGGAGAGTCTATTTGGTCAGAATATGTGGTTTTGATATCAGTGCTCAGTGTGCGGAAGCAGTGACAAACAACTGACTTATTTCGGTTTAGCATATTCTTCTCACGTGCACTGCCGCACGTCATGACTTGATATATTGTTTCGTTTCTCTGTTTTAGTATTTCCCGGGTCATGACAAAGAACAATATAATAGGAAGTTTAAGAAGCGATCTTTTGCGCTATCACGCATAAACAATAAATAAATTAATTATAATTTCCCATCTGTTGCCACTTGCAAAAGTGAGAACTTTTCTTTAGTTGTGAAAGGCTAAAGGAGGTTTTTAGAAAGTGAACTCAATTCTCTTTGTCTTTACACGCACAATGTACCAACGTGAACCAGCGTCTTAATTGAAATTAAGTAAGCTTTTAAACCTTTCCAAATATCGTGATATCACACTGTGAATTCCACAATGCATCACTTAGTATAGCGGTAAACACTGGGTCAGTCTTATTTTAGTGTAGGAATTGCAGGTGAAATCATGCACTAGCACTATAAATCCTGTGTTGGAACACCCTTTGAGAAAGTATTTCTAAATGTTCACGTCTTTTTACTACCTACATCGCAAATAACAAGCGAGGGAGATCACAAATAAATAAGGTATATTTATGACAAATTGCCTAAGGACATTTCTGAACATTCGAAGACGTGGTTTAAATGGAAAATTCAAACAAAAACTTTATTCGATGTGTGACGGAGTGATCAACATAAGCAGATCTAGGCCTTTCTTGAGTTTTCCGTTCCGCTCCGAAAAGGAAATTAAAAATTCAGTCCAAATTTTGGTCATAGTGAAACGTTCTCGTTACTTAATAGAGAATGAACTTACTGTCCTTCCGCGCCTCAGTTAAGTACAGCGTAGTCGGTGTTGTAAACTGATAGCTCAAGAAGGAACAGTAACAGAACTGAGATGCCTTTAACGGCGCGGTTGTTGTCAATTTTGGTCTTAGTTTTGACAGCTCACGAAATCTCGGGGAATAATTTTGTTATTCATAGGAAAAGACCCAATGGTGGCCAGCTCATCTTTAAGCGTAGTAAAGACTCTTTTACTATTCCGTTTTCGTTATGCAACAGAACTTATATCACAGGTGAAGAGTGTGAACGGTACAATGCGACAGCTAGTGGCGAAGAATGCTCATGTTCTTGTCCGTTGGACAGGGCATCGTTTGCTCACTTGAACAATGAGTGGAAGTGCCAAGAAAATAGCAATGTTAGGGACCTTCAAGGTAAGAAATAACTTTACAAGTTGTAAGCAATGTTTAAAGAACCAGAAGAACTAGTGTTTCTGCTCATTCTACCACTTAAAACAAAGTTAAACACATATATTGGCGGTGACTTTGATGTAATTCACTTGAATTGACTTGTTTGTCTATACATAGTTTATATAAACAATTAACTATAAAATTTCTAAAAAATCATTATATGATGATAACAGTTATTAATAATAAACATCACGAATCAAGCGAGATGAGAGAGTAATGACAGGTTTTAGGAACAGAAGACGGAAGGAAAATCAGCTCTTTGATCACCTCTAAAAAGCTAAGCAACCGATGGTGTTTTTTTTTAGATTAACAGCGTGGCTTAATTCTGTCGATTTTTTTTCTTTTCTTAAAACATAGCCAGTCTTAACTTGTTATGACAGTTTCGATGACTGTCAGCCATCTTTATCAAAACTTGAAAAACATTAAAAGAAGGTGTTAATTCTAAAACTTCAATACCCTGATTAGCTGCACATAGGGGATGATCTGAAAATATGATGCTCTCGTTCGATCTCCCAACAGTTATATTCTCCCTGCTTTCCCTAAATCAAATGCCAAGTCCTCGACATAAATGGCTCTGGCTCTCTATTAAGATTCTATTGTGTGACGGTATTCAAGTTCACATAAAAATAATTTGACTGTTAACTTCAGTACTGAAAACAAAACTAAAGAATGGTGACAAATTTGTTTTAACATTCCTAGACTGCGGCAACGTTCCAGTCTTCGTTTTCGAAAACCCAAGGGGAACGCTTTATACTTTGAAGATATCGGATGCAGTTTTAATGGAACGCCTTCCCTATGAGTTCACAAGTTGTGAAGTCTACCTCAATTCTTCGTGGTTCCTTGGATGTAATGGGGTGCGGCTTCAGCAGAATCAGTATATCAGGAAAATGAAAGAACTGTTCACATTTTTTCGCGCGCCACCTATATTGCCTCGTACCTTTTTCCTACAGGTCAGCGTTACAATTCTAGAGGCGCTAATGCTAATTTTTCAAATACTGTTTATGGCGATTGATTGTTCGCCTGATTTTTTTTTTTTCAGAAAACGGAAAAGGAAAGTAAGGAAAAATGGGGCTTGTCCCTTTCGGCAAATCCAAATCCCGATTTTTGATCTAGTGAATTCTATTTTACAAAGGATTCTGGTCTTGACAGAGTACGAAACTGGGCAGACAACCAAGGGGTATATCCCTCTACATAAATTCAACCGGAACTCGCTTGTTTCTCTGTTTATTCATTCCGCTCCAACACCACTATTCGAATAAACGATCACAAAATTATTCATGGTATCATCGCATAATTCGTCAAACAGTAAATAACACATCCTTTCTTGAGAGGCCGTCATACTTTTGACGCGAAAGGTTACCAAAGTTAAGATTCAATTAGGGATTTCGCGTTCCTGTGTTTCGGTCGCAAAATCGGGCAAATCTAGGATCAAAAAGCCGTTCTTGGATTTGCTGAAAGGAACACACCCTTTCTAAGTATTAGGAGTAAGATTGGATGTCACACGCTTTATTACAGCAAGGAGCCCAAAAGTGTGACCGCTTTTGCTTTTTTCAAATTCTTTCGTACAGATTTAATCCCATCAGAAGCCAGCTGGACGCTGTCCTCGAATTCTGATTGGTTAATGTCTACATGAAAGAATGTGAGTTAATTAAAGGAGGTCATACTTTTGGGCTCCTTGCTGTAAAACGTTTTGCAGTTTGTTTGTTTGTTTCAATGCCCCCATTTCAAGCCAAACCTTCCTCTCTTTAAAATCGTTTCGCATACTTTTTGTTGGCTAAGCAATAAATAAATAACAACAACAACAACAGCAAAAGGCTGGAGCCACTTTAAATCGAAACATAATATGTGTCCTTTTTTACTCTTTCTTATGTTGTAAGGTCAATTATGGTGTACAGAACGCATCGCTTTTACTGGGAAAAATAATAAACCTTGGCTTCCGATGTTCATCCAGTACTACCCCTGGTCAACAATATTTTGGTTGTCTGCTGTTCAAACTTTATGGACAAGTAACCTGTAAGTAAAGATCGTATTTTAAACGAATTACTTTCCAAACGCAAATAAAACGTGTGATTACCCGAAAAAATTGCATACGTACACGGACGGAAGGAGCGTGTCACCTTCCTTTCGGGTGGGAACTTCAACGTGCCTTCCCACTTTTACAATCTCTTGTGGAAAACAACAGTAGAAAAGGTCTACAATACCATGGCAAAATGAAGGCCTGATGATAGACATAAATTAGTTATTTTGTAAGTAAGAAGTTCTAACGGATTTGATTTGTATAAGATTGCCACAACTTATTGCTAGAAATGCCCTTCATAGGTCCAGTATCATTTACCGATTTACCAACGTCTTCGTCGAAGATTATGCAAAATGGTCAAACTCCAACGCAAACATCAGCAACGCTGACCACAATACTTAAACCAAGGACTAAAACAACTCTACAGTCTGCGAAAAGGATAACAACAACAATAACAACAGCACCTTCAACAATAGCTACAACATCATTTGCAACTCTGAATCAGCAATTTGCAAAACCTTCGAAAACGATGGGTTCTGATACTTTAAAGATGACAATCGAGACTGTCACTCCCAAACGCACTAAGACGTTACCGTTGCACACCACTACTGAGTCAAAAACCGTTTCACAGACTCCTGCGCTGCATTCATTCGTGACAACCTTACCAACAAGTGTCTTACCTTCTAAGGTAAGTACGACAATCATTGGAAATGTAAGCATGATATGACATGATTTGTTACCTCTGCGAAACAGTCTTTAACTTTGTTATTAAAGGCTTTTTCGCCCCAAGTACGGTTAGCCAAGACCGTCCTGGATTCTGGATTCAACGCTGTGGATTCCGGTTTCCAGGTACTAGATATTCCGGGCTTCTTGTCAGTGGAACTTGCACTCTGGATTACAATCCTTAGCGGGATTCCTGGTTGTTTGAACCATAGAGTCCTTAAAGTCCAGCATCAATTCTCTCCAATCAAATTCAACCCATATTCGAGAGTAACTGGTATGAGAACACACAAATTTTAATCCAGGGGAAAGTGGGACGGAAAGAATACATCGAGAGAGTGAAATAATCACCAAGCCCCGAGCCTGGGGCATATATATTAAGTCACTGGCACTTTTCTAACCTGTGGCCTACCAAAAGCAGGGCGGGCACTCTATCGATCCATCTTAACAACAAAGAATTTAATGGAGAGTCAGGGCCACATAGTAGGTTCAGAATTGAAACGCGCCCTGTATTCAACTGAGTACAAAAGCAGATGGTAGATTTTCTGCTCAGTTAAAATATTTAAACCATCGTGTCATGGGCGTGGAGACAAGAAAACGAAAATCTAACGACTTTCCAAACATCGGCCATAACATGCAAGTAAGTACTAAAAAAGTTTTAAGACCTTATTCTAAGAAATAACTTCCACCTTCTTTTGCAAGTTCCCTTTACGCCCAAGCGCTGTTCAGAAGAGGGGACAAGATGATCAGTCGTCTTTCGTTGGTCTCATCGCAGGAGTCACTGTCTCCATTGCTCTACTTATTGGCATCGTTGTGGGGTTTCTAGTTTTTCGTCACCGCCTTCCAAAGTAAGTTGAACCTCAGTCGTGCAGATCATTTTACGATGAAATAGGGAAAAAGCCAACAAGTTAACCCTTGCCTCTGATCTTCTCTCAAACAGTGATTTTACCCTCTTTTATGTCTCTCCGAAGTTAGGTGCCTGTTTATTTATTCGCTACAACCATTTTTTTTTTCAGTTTTTTCGAAACATAAAAAATAGAAACCATCAGGAATACAGAGAGTAGGCTTGCCATTTACTATGGTAGACAAGTCAAGTTCTTATGTATAAGTGAAAAAATAAAATTAATAACAATACTAGATATTTAAAACACCTTCTTTTACATAGAAATAAGTCTGATGATGCAAGTACAGAAGGCAAGGCAGAAAACAAAGAGGTAAATATATGTCCATAAATTCGCATCAGATACCCTAACAACTCGAAGCTATACAATAAGACTGCGGTCATATGGGGTAATCATTGCCCTAGCTTTGAGAGAATTCTAAACTTAACCAATATATAACAAACTGCTGATTTGATTTTATCACTGTCCAACTCTCTTTAAGGTCTATTCCGACTTTCTTTTGCAAGAATCTCGTGCCCGTTATAACAACAGACCATTGTAGTATTCAGCATTAATTATTAATATAGATTTTACCCTCTTTTTGTAATAATTGCAGGTCACTGTAGTTATGGATTCTGTGGGAATCTCAACTGAAACATACGAAGATGACGATGATGGTTACAGCACACTTAGAATTAAGGCAAATGAGCCGGGTAAGCGAAAAGAGTGAGAAACATTCGGACGCGTGTAAATAAGATTCCTGCTTTAAATGTTATGGATAAAACTGTAGTGAGGTATGTATCGCTGAATTAGGCCTCAACAGTATCAAAACTCAGTGTTTCCGGTGTCTCCACTTTTGCGTTTTTTTAAATGTAGGTACCGTTTCAACTCATTTCCATTTTTCCTAGAAGTTCTGCAGTCTTGTACTTTTACCTCTGTTGTCCTCCTCAATCTTTCAAAATTGTTTTCTTACTGACTAGTTTTTACTTGCGCAGGAATCTACGCATCCAACTACTGCCTGGTTAAAGACCCGACAGCTGATTCTGGGAATGTGTACGCCCCACTGAACATCCTTGATGGCCAGAATATCTATGGGCATAAACCTACTGAGCCAGTTTACAATGTTCTGGACAATTCAGCTTCACGCTCAGAAGCCCCTTTACAAAGTGGTCCAGTAGGCATCGAACAACCTGTTTACAATATTCTGGAGGAGCTACCAAATCATCAGGAAGACACCCTACAAAGTGGCGTGGTAAGCATCGAACAACCCGTTTACAATATTCTAGAGGAGTTGCCAATTGATCGGGAGAACACACCTTTCGGCACCGAACCAGTTTACAACGTGCTGGAAGCAAACGGTCAAGGCGATGCAGAGAGCTCTGGTGACAATGGGTCTCTCCCTTCAGAAGGAAAAATTCATAACCCTCTAGAGGAAACAAAGCATGTTGAAGACTGTAAAGTTAAGAGAGATAATGAGCCAGTTTACAACGTTCTTGAGCAAGACCATTATCAAAAGGCCTACTAACTGGCAAATCTGGCGTCAGTCCATCTTCCTGAGCTGGATCGAATTGAATTACATGTTGTATTGGACACTGTCCATTAATTTTGAGACGAAGCTGAAAAAATTGTCAATAACTTTTTATCTTTAACCATATAAATTATACTGCATTTTTAATATACATGTACATGTACATTCTAATCAATCTTCAGTAGATCCAAGAATATCTTTTTTTCATTTTATAATATTTCGAGGAGTATTTTATATCCATGTGAAAACTACACACAGGATTTCTACTAATCGTTTCGAGATTCAATATAATTATTATACACACAGGCATTGCTTTTATCATGTATGACAGCCATTAAAGCCCACATAGTTAGTTAACTTCTTATGATAATGATGTTAATAATAATAACAATTATAATATTTAACGAGTGGAACAGCCAACCACAATTACAGAAAGATGTCCTATTTTAGCAAAGAGCAACAGAACCTTTTTTATTCTTTCCGTTTTTAAGTTTAAATTGAAAGGCAAGGCTGATCATGATGCATCTATAAATTTTTAAAAATAAGTCCCTTTCTTACCCTGCTCAGAAAAAAGCCCGAACTTTACTGACGTCTCTGTTCTTACACTTGTTGCTTCCTAACTAATGGTTCGTGCTAAAATTAGGAAAGTTTTCAAACCTTTCCAATCTTCTTGCTTTGAGCCTGTGAATAACACTATGCATCACTCAGTATACGGCTAATAATATGAAATAAGTAAGGAGAGATTGGTCAAACCATTAACGGTCTATAAATTCTGTGCAGGGTATATTTTTGGAACACCACTGGAATTCGTCCTGTAATCTAACCAAATATAAATATTTTACAGCCTTTTTGTACTATCGTAGCAACGTAGGGCTTGGATTATGTACATTAATGACATTTTGCTTAAGGAAATAAATTGATCTTTGCGACTACTAAATTAGAGAAAAAGAAGGAAAATTTAATGATATTAAAGACCAAAATAAATATAATGTTCCAGAAATGACAAAATTAGCAGGTAAATGAGGCGTATTTTCTTGGAAGTCTCTTGTTTCTAGTTTAAAAGGGGAAACATAAATAGAAATCTCGAACCTTATAGCGTATGAAACATCCTTGTCACATAAGAGACATCTCAGCTCCAAGCTTAACGCAACGGGGAATTAGTGCTCTCGAGTTTGCCAAACAAAGAAACGGTTTTTGCAGGATAGTCAAATTGAAAGGACGGAACAGAAATGCTGTTAACATCATTGCTGTCGATTCTGGCCTTAGTCGGAGCTTTCTTGGGATTCACGTCAGGAAATGTTTTGCTCATGTACAAACGCAGATTTAACAATCATGATGATGACGATGATGATGATGGTGGTGATGATGACGATGACCCATGGGAGAATAGCTATGAATTTTTCCAGATTCCAACTTTGATATGCAACCAAACTTTCCGAGGCGTCGGGTGTGGGCAATACAATGCGGTTGCCAAGCCTGAAGAATGTTCATGTAACTGTCCAAGGGAGAACGCCTCGTTTTTTTATGATGGCAACGACTGGACGTGCCAACCAGATAGCAGGGTTAGGGACTTTCAAGGTAAGAACATGTTTAACAAGTTACAAGTTATTTCATTGACACAAGATGTATTCAAACTCAAAACCTTGGTCGTATACAACTAGATCACAGTGCATCAAGACACAGAAACTTGTAGGTAAATTTCAACTGGATGTGTACCCCGAATTAAAGTTACAATTGGTGACATTAGAACTTGGGTCAATTGAATTACTAACGTTGACATGTTGTTCTCGACGTCCATTTTCCCTCTGCCCCTGCGCGGTGGCTTCGAAATTGGACATACCACCGAAAAACCATCACTAAACGACATTGAAAGGGAGAAAGGGATGTACAAGATTTGTGTGACCCAAGTTAGCTGTCCTTCCTTGGAATTTGTGACATTAGAACAGACAACTGAATTTGTAAAGTTGTCATGTTGTGCTTGACGAGTGAGGTGTGAGATTCCAGAACGTGCGAGTGTTCTGTTTTCCAGGAGTTTTTCTTCAAAAGTATTAGAAGAAACTAGGTCCTTTGGCCATTGTCCTCCATTGGAAAGATTGCATTGTTTTATTTTTTTTTTTTAGACTAGTATACACGTCGCCTTGTTTGATGTGAGTTATAAAGGATAAGTCGCCTATAACAATTAACATGACGATGGAATGTTTGGCTGACAACATAGAAAACCGTTTTGAAATTTAAAAAAAGAAAAAAATCCTTGTGAATCATTCATCCTTAAAAGCAAAAAGGAAAGCTGAAATCAAAAGCTTAAGACTACTTAACGTTAACAGTCGAACTCCGAAGCTAGTTAATTCAATCAAAATCTTTGACAGTTGTTTAATGCCTGATGTTATAAATAGTTATAGAGACTATTGAAATTACTAATAATATACACATACTATGTGTATGTATAGTATACACGTTCTAATTAAGTACAAATGATTTATGAAGAGCAGGAGTTATAGAGCATGTTTCCGTTTCCTGGTCACAAATATGCTTAAATTATGATCTGTCATGCATAAAGTTTTTCTAAGTCACAGATCACATGATGTAAAGTACGTGTTTAAAACTGATATATTTAGTACTAGTTGCAATCTCCACCCCTTTGGCAAGAAATTAGGGCCAAGGGAGAATGAAATCGCCCTTAATTTTGATTTTAATGGCGATTAGTCAATTTCTTAGACAACAACAACAATAATAATAATAATCATAATAATCATAATCATAATAACAAAATGGAAAAAACAAATAAATAAATAATGTTAATGATAATAATGATAATCATAATATTAATTATTTATAATATATCATTTTTTTTTCATCCCTAGACTGCCAAAATATTGACTTCTTCTCAAAAGAAACTCATAGTCAGAACCTTTATACGTTAAAGATATCAGACAACTTATTGACAAAAATTCCATATAAAGGAAAATCTGGTTGGACGAACTGTGAGGTACACTTAAATTCTTCGTGGGTTCTTGGATGTAACGGGCAAAAGCTTCAGCAAAGTCTGGGGTATCTCAGGAAAATAAGAGAACTGTTTGTAATTTTTAGGCGCAGAGGAAGTAGAAAATTTCGTCTTCAGGTAAGAGATTTTATAATTCTAAGATTGTTCTCTTCTCTGCGGTACCTGTTGTTGATCTGTTCTTCCATTGCTGGCCAAATTTGACATAGATTGTTCTGGTGACGAGATAGGAGGAAGCCAAATCATTTTCAGACTTACAATAAAATAGGAAGCTTAATCAACAAATACAGCAATGGCAATGAAATTACAGGCCCTTCAAGTAAGCTTTCACTACCGGTTTCGGACATATGTGAGAAGAACTACAGTTTTCCTAATTAAAAAGAAAACCAATTATTTCTCTTTGTGTATTAAATGTTTTTTTTTTTTTGGACAAAACTGTGTTCTGTCAGTGCTCAAAACGTCGTTAGTTAGCTCTGCGCCGTCGTGTAAAGACTCTCGAGCCACGTTTAAAAACCATAACCAATTTTCTTTTTAATGTTTATAAGGTTAAACGTGGTGTACAAAACGCATCACTGCTACAAGGAAGGATTATAAACCTTGGTATCCGTTGTACACGCGATTCCTCTGAGACAGAATATTTCAGCTGTTTGATTTTCAAAACGTTTGGGCAGCTATCATGTGAGTGCATTCTGTATTTTATTTTATTTTATTTTATTGTTGTTAATTTATATAACGCGAAGCGATTGGCTTTTATACACGATGCCATATCTTTATCTTTAAACCTGGGGGGTAATCCTGGGAATTCTTGGTGGGAGTATGCCACGCTGTTCTCCAAATCCTGACCCTATTTCAGACCCAAAAAATGTCATTTTGAACACCCGTTTTCAGACCAGACCTCTAAAATCCATACCCGTTTTCAGACCTGGCCTTTAAATTTCGTGTCATAGCTCCTTTCATGACGAGGTCACATATTGTTTTTAACTGTGAGTGTGGAAGAAATGCACCGTTCTTGGATAAAGCTTTATCCCAGTTTAGATTGGCCGTTCACTTCGAGTTCTTCATTCTTTTCCTTAGAGGGAATAAAGCAAGTGACAAACCGCGAGCGCGCACGACAATTCTCAACGTGAGGGAGGTGACACGAGGAGGAAGGATAGGTAATTTTTCCCCCTCCTCTAATAGTGTTATGTTTCTCATGGGGCGGGTGGGAGGGGGGCGCTTTCTACAGGCGCTAGCATTTTTGCTCGCTCTCTACGGACAAAAATGACAATAATAAGGCCCCACTCTCTCTCAGTGGAAAAATCAGGGTATACTCACCATCAAAATCTAGCTTTTTCAAGAATTTGCAAGCTGTAAATCATTAGTAGCTAGATGCTGGGGTTGTATTCTTTAGATTTACTCTTTAGTAAAACCACAAATGCCCTTGATAGGTCCAGTGTCATTTACCGAATTACAAACGTCATCCACTATCGAACAAAATGCGCCAACGCAAACAACAGGAACACCAACGAAGCTGACTTCGATGGCCACAATATTTAGACCAAGGAAGGCAACAACTGCAAAGCCGGAGGTGATGGTAATAACAACATCATCAACACAACCACCACCATTACCATCACCACCACCACCAACAACAAAAACAGCGTTGACCACTTTGAAGCCACAAGTTGTAATAACTTCGAAGTTGAAGGATTCTAGTACCTTTGATGCGTCAAAGACCACAATCGATTCGGTCATTCCCCAAATCAACAAGACTATTGGCATTTTACCCAGTTTACACATAGTCACTCGGCCGTCGACATCCTCTTTACAGACTCCTGCGCTGCATTCATTCGTGAAAACGTCCCAGACAAGTGATACACCTTCTCAAGTATGTGCAAAACGTGTTGTTAATGTGCCATTTAGGTAAATTTCTACTATGGTGTCAGTTTAGACTAGGAGATGCCTTTTTTGCTATTAACTTGCATAATTCTACTTTTTCGCTCGCAACGCGTGGCTCTGAGGAAAGAAGGACTTTCGCTCACGGTCTAGTGTCAGGTTATTATACTACTATATATCATAATTCCTTTTGATTGGCTTTTCTTTGGTACTCCCAGAGGGGTTTAAAAAAAGAAGCCCAAAACCTGAAGAATCCTAGTCGTAATAGTAAGATGACGTAATCGTGGAAATAACCTATGGTGCAAATGTAAACGAAATGACCTGTTAGCTCCAAGAATATGGTACTCTTATCTCATATGATTTTTCTCTCTACTCACAAGTTTCCTTTACGCCCGAGCTCTGGTCAGAAGAGTACACAAGATGATCAGTCGTCTTCCGTTGGTCTCATCTCAGGAGTCACTGTCTTCATTGCTCTACTCATTGGCATCATTGTGGGGTTTATAGTTTATCGTCGTTGCCTTCCAAAGTAAGTTGAACCTCTGACGTGCAGTTCATTCTACGATGAAATATGGAAAAAGGCAATAAGTTAACCCTTGCCTCTTTACTCAAACGCGTTTTTTTTTAAAGCCATATTGCTAAGTTCGTGCCTGTTTTTTTATTCCATTGTTTTCTTTTTTCCACCGCATTCACACAAATTGTATAGCTAAATTAATCATATTGCACTTATTCCACACAGGAATACATCTAATGCCGCTATAGCATCTACAGAGGACAAGACAGAAAACAAAAAGGTAGTCCGTGTATACACATAAGTCCCCATCAGATACAGTATAGCAACTTAGAACAATAGATTATGGTCATCTGAGGTATCCAAAACGTTGGCTCTGCGACAATTTTAAGACCTTGAAGTAAACAACGAACAGACAAGCTTACTATAAGTTAGTGTTAATCTCTCTTTAACGCTATGTCCGAGGTTCATTGAATCTCGTCCAAAGAACGATGGATTACTTTAGTAATAATAAATAAATATCACTTTCCACTATTTTTTGGGAATAATTGCAGGAGACGGTAGAGATGGGTTGTCTTCATAGCGCAGGTAATAATTATGAAGAGGACGATGATGGTTACATTACTCTTAGAATTAACACAAATGGACTGGGTAAGTTAAAGTTGTTAAATCATTGCAGATGCGTGTAAATAGGGTTCCTTTTTCACAAGTTATCATAGTTTCTTCGGCTTCCAGATGCTACGTTCCACGTTCACCTAATGTTTTCTTTTTGTCAAAACGCATCTGCTGTTACTTTACAGTTTTAAGGAGTTTAATCACCTTTATTGGGCTCCTTGATTATTCATAAGTCTTTTGCATTGGCCATTTTGCCCCCAGAAATTTACGCATCGAACTACCGCCTGGTTAAAGACCCGACTGCTGATTCTGGGAACGTGTACGCCCCACTGAACATCCCTGATAGCCAGAATATCTATGGGCATAAACCTATTAAACCAGATTACAATATGCTGCAAAATTCAGAAGCCCCTTTACAAAACGGTCCAGTAAGCATCGAACAACCTGTCTACAATACCCTAGAGGAGTTACCAATTATTCCCGCGTACATCACTTACGGCAAAAAACCTGTTTATAACGTGCTGGAAGCACCTGGTCAACTTGGCGATGCACAAAGCTCTGGTGATTATGGTTCCGTCCCATCAGAAGGACAAATTTACAACACGTTGGAGGATCCCAAGTATTCTAAAGTCCCTTATGCAAAGGGCACAAATGAGCCGATTTACAACGTTCTTGAGGACAACCATCATCACAGAGCGTAGTCAGTTAAATTCTGGGACATGGGGGTGGGTTTTTTTTTCTTTTTGCTTGAGGAGAGCAATCGAGTTAAGGAAAGTCTTTTGGCTGAAATGCAATATCACTTTTAAAACAATTTCTTGATCCCAAAATAGGCAGCGCAGCAAAAAGTTCTCAAATACTTGGGGACATAACGCGATTAGGAAAGGAGCATAATTATGTGGTCCCCTAAATCTAGAATTTCTAAAATGAAAGCAATACCGTGTTACGCTTGTGAGAAAACTCTATTCTAGATATAGGATATCACTGTGTATGTTTACACGTATTGTACGTGCTACCTAGGTGACAATGTCAACATTTAAATAATATGCTATCATGACCTGTTTTTCGTTAAATATGAGTAAAATCTGATGAGATAAAAACACAATTTCATAAATATATGCAATTATTCCATTACGTGTTAAGCATGCGATGACGATTGATTATGAACATCACATCGAAATTTAAATTAAGAGGTACGACCTTTTTACGAGGAAAAAGATCCATGGCAGATGCTTTCCTTTGTGTTGGTATTTCTTTTAGCCCAGCTTGTATACCTTTTCTTTTTACATGAGCATACTCAAAATAGTAAGCGTATTGGACATGCTGTCGTGTAAGATAAAGTTATTGGTATCGCCATTAAATATAGAGGTTGAGTACTCAATTGTATCTTCACATTCCTACCCACTAGTAGTGCTCACAATCAATATGTGTTTTATTGGGCCAAAAAAATCGAAAAGCAGTCGAACATGGACACCGTATTGTTCACGTAGAAAGTTAAGTTATTCAAAGCTTCATTTGGAGAGCCTTTCGCACCGACAACGTTTTCCATGAAGAACTAGATCATCGCCACCCTTTTCCTGTGTTAAACTACCGACAAAGATACGAAGGCCTGTTAAGCTAACACTTCAGAGTGTCCTTTTCAGTGTCTGTGCCTTGGATTGAGGAAAACGTTCCATTTAAAACAGAAAATCGAGGTGAATTCAATAACTTAACTGGCAAAGCAGCGACTTAGTTGCCTTTGATCGAATTGCAAGATTGGCTGCTTGACAAAACCGAGTGGAAACCATGTTTTGGGTTTGGACAATTGTGATGTTTAAGTTCTGCATTGACTCGACGCGTTCACAAACTTTGGACATTACTAGACTCAACAGTGGTTTGGATACTTTCAATGTCCCACCTTCAATATGCAGTAATCCTAGCACTGTATGCAGCTCATACAATGCTGTAGGTTCTACTTGTTCCTGCTCATGCGCTGCTACCAGGTCAACGTTCACATGTTTCAACAACCAATGGCAGTGTTTGACAAACGCAGCAGCGAGAAAACATTTCCAAACAGGTAAGCGAATGACAATTTTAGCCCTTGCTCTTCGCATTTGCAGCCAAAATACAGGTGATTGAGAGTGATTCAAAGAGAGTGTTTTAGGAGTGATTGTAAGGAATTAAGTATTTACAGAGACGTTTGATTGGCTAAACCGAACGTTCTTTTAAACGGAAAAGGCCATTTTTTTTTAGAGAACGTGGTTGCTTTCTCGTCTCTGATGGTAATTCTAAATTAGAAACGTTCGAAGTGGCCAATGCGTAGACATCAATACGCATTACAAAATTTTGACGATTAAGCACCAAACTGCAAATCCTTGTGCTGTGGTCCACACGTTTATCAAATGAATCGAGAGTTAACCATCATCGCAAAGGCAAATTAAAAAAAAAAGAAAAAAAAATTCGTCGGGGTCGTTGCGTCAAAAAGCTGCCTTAAAAAACGTATGGAATAATCAGGCGATATGCACTTGAAATCACCAGCTGTTCAATATTCTGTTTATTCGGATCATAGCAGCAAAGGATAAACAAAACCTCCAAATCCATAATCTAATGTGAACGTCGTCTCTAAATAATTAGTGATAAATTGAAGATGGGTATAACAATTAAGTAACACGCATAATACATCCTTTGTGTTAAAACCAATAACCTCGTTGAAACAATTTAATAAACAAGTAGACATTTCCACATGGAAGCCGGGGGTCGTGAAATTGTATTTTTTTGCACGGTACGAAGGTAATTTATTGAGGATAACCTTTTTTTTTTTAATTCTGATTCCTCATGGTACACTTAGTGAAACAGTTTGTATATTAAAAGTCTACATGCATCTACAAAAAAATTTCGTTTTTTCTGTTTCTTGATTTTGCAGATAAACCGGAGTAAATATCGCGACAAATATTGTTAAAAACGCTAGATGATTGGGCTGTTACACAACATAACTGATAATTATATCAATCGACTGTGAACTGAACCATTTCCATTTAAAAGATTTACCCTGACAAAGCTAAAAACGCAAAATGATACGTGGAAATCTCTACGATCATTACAAATTGAAGGCAGTTAACGCTACAAAAACTGCCAAGTAACTTGAATGGTCGATAAGAACTTTTACTTTTGCCAATAAATTTTTGACCCAATGGAAATGGAAATCCTTCAAGAGAATAAAGGGAGAGTTAATGAAGGTTAACGTATTTTGATTAATTTCAATATTTCATGTTATTAGGGCAAGATGTGTAAGTAATTGTCCCATTCCTCCATTTTTAACTCCTTATGACGTCAATTCGTTTTGTGTAGCAGCAATCAATTGATAAGTAGCGTCAAGATGGATATTTTAACGCACGAAAGATACTGTCAGTGTCTTTAATTAGTGGCTCAGTTAAACTTAAATTCCTACTGAAAGTTTGACTTTCTTAATCATTCACACTCCTTAGGTTGCGATGGGACGACTACATTCTCCAGTGAAAATAGAGATGGGCGTTTACCAACATTAGCCATTGGCCAGAGGAGGGAAATTTCGTTGGAGTACTGGCTTTGGGAAGCGTGGACATGTTCTTGGGATTTGCCATCTTCATGGTCTATGGGATGTGATGGTTCTAAATATCTGTTTAGGAATCAGGTATATAACGCTTCCGCCCGACTCTTTTCAATTACGAGGAGTTCGCCGACAGCTCCATATTTCCTTCAGGTATGAACATGAGTCAAATGTAATGAAGATATATAATATATATATAACCTATCACAAGCATCTTTTAGAAGACACTCCCTTCACAACTCAATAAATACAGTACCACAAGTGAAGAGTAAAACAATATGTTTTTCGTCTCTCACCTATATTTCGGCCGTGTTAAACGGCCTTCATCAGGGTGAATGGCCGTTACAAGCATCACACACCATTATAACATATTGTTTTACTCTTCACTTGTGGTACTGTATATATATATATATATATATATATATATATATATATATATAAAATTGTCCCAAGCATCTCTCTCTCCCGTCCTCATAGTCACCCTGAAGAAGATCACTGAATGTGATCGAAATATAGGTGGATTGAAAGAAACTGTTTTCTGTCTTCATTTGTGATTAAGATATATATATATATATATATATATATATATACATAACACAAATGAACTGAAACCAGTGAAAGAAAGAAATAAATGAACACAAGTGAAACTCTAAAAATTGCCTTGAACGGGATTTGAACCCGCGTCCTCGACTTTCTAGTGCCGATGTGTTAACCACTACACCACCAAGACAACCACGCTAACGCGCAGTCGAATTGAAGGCTTTATGGCTCACGGGACTCCCCAAACAATTTTTTAGAGTTCACAGAGGCCACTGGAAGGTGCTAACACATATATATCTATATATATCTATCTACGTTGATTTTTCTGAAAATGGTTCGAAGTGCTCAGGATATTTTTTCTACAGGAGAGAAGAACCCCTCTGCGTGTCCGAAGTTGTTTATTTACTCGAATAAATCCAACTTTGAAAGTGAACTTTTACAATTTTTTGCAAATCTTTTCTTTTTTTTCCAAAGGTGAACTCTGGTGTTCAAGATAGTCATTTACTGAAGGGAAAAGTCATCAACCTGGTCATGGACTGTACTGCAGCATGGCTTGGAAACCAAATTGTAAATTTGAAGAGCTGCTTGGTGTTCAAATTGGAAGGGACGGAAACTTGTAAGCTTGTTTCTCATTTCTAACATACGCTTTGCCATACTTGTAATAACTGTTAAGGTCTACCATTCGCTCTATTTTGATGTGAAAACAAGAGCAACATCGAGTAACAACAAACAAGAACATCTCTCAATTATCTTGAGATCCGTAAACTAATACTTTCGTTGCTGTTCTTAATTCTAATTGTTGAATTTGATTTTTTTTTCCACGTAAGGTTTGCAATTTTCTTTAAAAAAAAAACAACAAAAAAAAAAAACGCTTTATCCACCGGCATGTCTATATACTATCGTTTACGTTTAATGTCCTGTAACACGCTTTTATCATTTTATCAGGTTCTGTTCATAAGCCATCAAACTCTACAAATTCTTCGAGCTATGTGGCATCGTTATCAATGTCACGCATTGAAACACAGACACCAATCATCTCGTCGAGCGTTTCCGTGGCAAAACCCCTCACAGTCCTTGGTACTACACCGGCATCCTATTCATCTGTAACATCACTGACCACTTCGCATGCTACGTCGGTAATTCCCACGACCTCGCCCATCACTTCTAATTGGTCACCTACAAGCACTATAGTAACAGCTCTCCATACTTCATCCACAGCCTTTAAGTCTTTACCAGAAACTTCCAGTATTCTACTGGGAATCTCAACCTCTGAGGTTACACCGTTCTCCATCAGATGGTCCTCTAAATCCGATGCTACAGTAAGAACAGTCTCCAGCTCAATAAAATTAGGGTCAATCAAAGCATCAACTACTTCGGTGACGCATTTGAGAGCAGCCTCAGATAAGTGGTCAACAACGCGCGGTATAACAGCGACAGTTAGCACTCTTGCAATACCTCTCGATGCTTCATCGAAAGTAACAATTGTACCTAAAGTAATTGAGGTTTCACCTACAACAAGACCTACAGAGCCAGGTGTTAATCCAACCTCCTTTGAACAGAATGTAAGTAAATGTAGATAAAGTAAGACTTAGGCTGTGTTCGATTGATCGTATTCCGGAATAAGAAGATGTAAAAGTCTTGTCGGAAATCTCTTCAACCGTAATTTTTGGGTCACTTAAGGTCGCTATATACATCGGGATATTTCATTTCAAGCATATTTCTAGCTATTGCAAAGCGATAAACAACAAATTTTGTGTTTTTAGAGTTTATCTTTTTAATTGTTATTCTGAAATACGTTCACACGAACATGCCCTTTAAACCAGTTAGGTATAAACAAGAAACCAACAAAGACTTAACGCTAAGACAGATACTTTTTTTTGATCATAAAGAATTCTAATTTCCATTTCATTATCCAGAAGTGTGTGTTATTTGAATTTAAATGATAGTCACAATTATTCATAACTTTATTCGTCGATCTCTCAAATCACCTACGATGGAGGACTGATCTCGTATTTATTTGTTGTTTTCCCAGATTCCTCCCAACGTTAGCAGTGGGCGAAGGAGCAACAGAAACCGTTTAGTCATTGGCCTCCTTGTAGGGATAATGGCAGCCGTCATCTTAACTGTTATCGTTATTGCACTTCTCATCCAGAAACGTCGCAATTCAAGGTAATGAATCAGTGACCAAACAAAGAAAATATAATGAGCATAAACAGAAGGAAAAATCAACAACAACCCTCGTTAACGTTATGGTGTATTGTTATTAAAAATGGCTTGCAAAGGCATGGTCCTCAAATTTTACAATATCTGTGCCATAAATAAGAGGAGATTTTTAGCGAAATCTAAGGGTAAGAGCACTCCCTTTTAAGCACTGAATTTTAACTACACGACCGGAAAATACATTTAGAGGTTGGGTAATGTGCTTATTACTTGAAACCACTATCAATTTCGAGCTGGTGAACTGATAACGTACCGGACCTTAAAGACTGCTGAAATGTACAAAACCAAAATATGTTTAACCGTTAAACAAAAGTGTGATTAGTGGTTTTCGTTATTGGAGCTATTTTCGGGTCTAAGCTCATAGACTATTTGTTTTATCAACAGAAGTACATACCGTCCAAGATCCGTGAGTGAAGAAACAAAGGTAGGACTAGATGGAAAACTGTTTTAAATTCTGCAGACAAAAGCTTGACTTTTTACCAAGCCAGCTAGTAAGTAAACTGAATACTACGAGTACTAACAGAACATAAGCAACGTTGGAGGATTTCTGGGTGGAGCCACAGTATATTTTTGGAAATATTAAGAATAGTGACATGGATATGTGCAAACGAAACTGATGTTATGTGTGTATTTTGACCAGATTTCAGTATTAATGAGCCCGCGAACAAAGTCAGTGCAAGAGACAGGTGAAGATGGAAGTGATCCCAACACACTTAAACGATCACGTGAGTAACTCTCGTTGTGGTGATTTCTTATAGCCTTCATGTAATGGTATTCATCTCAGATGACTTTCTGAATCCCTATCCTTTTTTTTGTAAGTTATTGCACTATTGGTCATCGTAGACATCGTATGAAACAAGAACGGTGTTGTGAACTTCCTTTGCAACCCTTTGCACCGCTAGCGTAAATTTTAATCGGTATGGCGTGTAATAAGATTACATTCTTTCCCAAAAACAGTCCTGGTACAATTCAATCCAATACCGACCCAGGCCCAGACGCAACATCGCCACCTCGCGGTCATCACATTCCCCAGTCCAGAAACTAAAAGGGAACGGATAGAAGCGCCATTTATTATTGGTTAATGGTTGCTTTGAATATCCTAAAACCAATAATTACTAACGCTTGTCCACCCAAACGATCCCAGGAATTGTTGCGCCGAAAGCTTGTACCCATTTCCCATATTATACTACTACACGAGGAATTTCTGCAATTTGATTGGCTTAGAGCAGTGGTATTTCAGCTTAATTTGAAATACCTACAAGTGAAAATTACAAACCCTATGCGGTTAGTAGTATAAACAATTAATAGCATGATTTGTACGTGATATTTGGCATAAATACCACTCGTGATATTTCAAAATTGTCTCAAATTTCACTCGCCTAACGGCTCGTGAAATTACGTATAACAATTTTGAAATATTACTCGTGGTATTTATGCCAAATATCACTACAAATCATGCTATTACCTATACTAATTTCAGTAGAGGGAAATTGTGTGGCTCTCCATTTAACTGTGATGCTTACTGCATGTATTTCTATCTGCTTGTCTCATACTTTTTGTTATCCTTCTTATCTTATCCCAAGAAACGTCGTTAGTTCTATTAAAACATAATATTTCTTTTGATCTTATATGGGTTTTTGAACTGTTCGTTCCAGCCATGTACATGCCAAACTACCGCATTCCCTTGTGGCAGGATGAAGAAGACAACACCTGTGTGTATGCAGTCCTCCATTTCCCCGAAGGTGTAGATGGTAGGGTCAGGACTGGAGAGGAACCAATCTATAACGTTCTTGAAGAGCCAGCTACGAACAATGAAGAAGGGATTAAAAATGGCCAGCTCATCGAGACGGACGAAGATGTCTTTCATGTCATTGATGACAAAACTGGCGGAGACTCCGGACCAGGCGCTTATGATAATCATATCTATTCAGAGGTAGTACGTAAACCTAAAAGACGAACAGCCATTAAAAGTAAGGGCCCTGGTAACTATTCACAACATTCACAAGATACACTACGAAAGGCTTTGGAGCCTTATATGAGAAGCGCAGAGGAATCAGACCAAGACGAAACCCCTGATACAGAAAATGCCATCTATTTCACTCTGGAGAAGTGTTTCTCGGATAGCTTTAAGGCGGCTAATAATGATTCCGTAGATGACAAGACATCCGCTGGAAAAACCTTGAAAGGACCAGATCAATACAAGGCCGTCTGCACTGAGGCATTAGTCTTCTGCACAAAGAGGTCTGGCTCTAGAAGATCCATTAACAACAACAATGAAGCTAGATTTACAATTGAGCAAGTGTTCGACGATTTAGAGGCACGTTATCTTCAAGGGACAGGAGTACCAGAGAAAGCTTCCTCAGGCCAAGCAGAAACCACCTCAGAACTTGAAATGGACAACTTAAAGAAAGCTCGGAGTGACTCAAAGAAAGTAAATGAATCTGTGTACAACTTTTTAGAAGAGGTTTGCCGACAAGGGCTTCCAACCTTTCAGTCTGTCTCAAGCCAGGAAGGGCCCGTTTACTTCACACTGAAGAGATTAAAATCAAATCACTCCAAAGCAACAAGAATGAGACCAAAATGGGCTGCTGAAACTGGTTCAATTGCTTTGGAAGAACGTTTCCTTAAGCGTGCAGAAGGATGTGACCTGAGAGATGGCACCTCAGCAGAAAAGCCGGTCTTCTTTACACTGGAAAGTTGTTGTTCAGATAGCTTAACAAGAGACAAAAGTGATACTATGCACGCAAATGAACCAGTTAGTCAAGGTTTAGAGGAACGTTACCTTAAAAGAGCAGAGGGACCTGGCCAAAGCTTTACATCGAGAAGGAATGATCTCAACAATTTAGAAAGGATTTATTCTGATAGTTTCAAGATCCCGAACAGCGAGTCCCATTGTTAAAGTGACGCGGTTTACCAGGTTTTGTAGTAAGACTAGGCAAACGCATATCATCATTTTGAGAGGAAATAATTTCACCTTTTAATGAGCATAAGGAATGACAATCTTGACGTAATTGGTGAAATTATTCTAGGTAGTCCATTGTTTCCTCTATCACAATGGCATATCATATATATGACTCATCTGATATTAAAACAAACTGGATATTTCTAGATGACAACAACTTTGACAAGGGGCTAAATATATTTGTCCTTCTAAGCATAATCGAGACTTTTAAATCAAGTAACGGAGACAAATTTTTGCGTCTTGTAAATTTATGGTGATACGGTTGATGGTTCAGAAAGGCATCTCCTTGAACTTTAGAGATTTATGGTTACGGTAAATTTTAATTTCTGAAGTCTTCTAATAAATACGAACATAAATACATAAAGATCGTCCATGTTTGCTGTGTGTGTTTTCTCAACGTTAGTTTTCCTTCGATATTTCTAAATATACAGCTACTCAAAGGCAGTTGCCTAATATCGCACAAGGAATTCGTTGTGGACTGTTCATTCGACCCATACACCCCGGGGGGAATTTTTGGTTTCGTCAGTTAATAACTGTTTTATTTTATTTATAACATTTTCTTAAAGAATGATTTTGTTCCAAGCATATCGCGAAATGCGTATGCAACAGATTCCTTTAAAAAAAATATTCAAGAATCATAGAACCCTATAATGAAGTTTACATTGCTGTACTGTGCGCCGTGTTTCAAGAATGTCTTTGTGGTGTGCTTATTTTCATACACCCGGAAGGGAATTTTCGGTTTCGTCAGATAATAGCTGTTAATGTTTTTCAAACAATAATAGGTTTCCAACCATAACATGAACTGCGTAAGCTTCTAATTCCTTTTAGAAAATTAATCAGAAATCATCAAACCGCAGTGAAGTTTGTATCGCTGTACTGTACGCCGTATATCAACCAGGCTTAAGTCCGTTCCATTCATCGCCATTTCATCCGTTCCGTTGTGTTGAATGTGTTGGAACCCATTTCTTGAGATGCTGCTGGCAAGAGCGTTAGCACTTTTGTTATTCTACATGGATATCACATTGCCAGAAACCATTAAGATTGTGAGGTTTATGCCAGAACATAAGCTCAGCAAGTGGAGAAAAAGTATCGACACATTTACTCTCCCTGAATCAGCGTGTAACCAGACGAAAAGTCAGTACGTAGACTGCGGTGCGAAGCTTTGTAAACAAGTCGAACTTTCAGGCAGTCGTCATTTCCGATGCCCCTGTTCAGATCCAAGCCCAACTCTAACATATGACAACAGTCGGTGGATATGTCAAGAGAAAGGCCAAGTGCGAAGTCAATTTGGTGAGTTATTCGCTCACATGGTAAATTCTGGAAATGTGATTTCTTCCTTAGGGTAAAACAGAAATACTTCTTACAGTTTCGCTCCAGCTAAAATGCAAATTTCCAGATTCCTTCTTTCGCCAAGAACGAGTCAACAAAATTCGCGGGCTCCTTTAATACGGAAAGCAGCTAAAATAGTAGAAATAGATGTTACAAGTCTCAATAAAAACCTCCCGCTATTAGAGACCCTCGCTATCAATAACACTAACTCCGCATTAACAGGTGTTGACTGCAATGGCAGACTGATTTATTGGTGTTTCTTCGCTGCTATTAGCAATTTATTGGTTATATCAGGATAATAATATTTACCAGCTCTCCTGACGGTTTATTTAAGCGACTAGGAAAGCTTGAGTGGTTAAAAACTTACGATAAGGCGACCGTGATTTATAATACGACCCACTGAGGGAGAGGGAGGGGGGGGGGGGAGAGATCGTGGGGTATTTTCTATCTTTTCTATTTTTATAGGGGCTCCCGTAGAGTATTTGTGGACTTTTGAAGGAAGCGTTGGTCGTCATTTCTTCCCTTTTTTCCGCTTACCTTAATTCCGGGAATCCACAAGCAGTTTCCTTGCAATTTGCAAGTTATGACTTTCGTATACACTGCAATGACTGTGATCATCACTAATTCATCTATCCAATGTCTAGGTTGTGAGGTAAGCACCTTATTTAGCGGTGAAAAAGACAATGACCGTTTACGAATGCTCAACACTACTGGCCAAAGATTAACAAAACTAAATCGTCAGAACTGCAGTGTCAACTTGAATAATTCATGGTATATTGGTTGTTATGGGGAGAAGGTTCCACTGAGAGAAAATATAAGATTATTTCACCTTGAATGGCGGAAACGTAAGAACAAGGATAATTATGCATATTTTTTTAAGGTAAGGAAACTCTAAAATGACCTGTGTACTTGTATTATAAAATATGACATTGTATACCCATCGATTCCCAAACTGTGTGAACCGTGTGTTCGGAAACAGAACTAGCCTGTGAAAATGGATTTTTGAAATTTGAACTCGCAAGGCAATTCCAAACAATATCCTGTCTTTCTGATCAGCTTTATTGTTAACTAGTAATAGTTGACACTACAGCTGCCCCCGTTCTGTATTATTGTCGGTCAATAGTATTCTTGCTGGTTGTGTAGCTCTTTGAAATATACCGATTCATAATGAAGATTTTCACATATTCCATACAATAGGTGAGATAAATACAGGAAACGCAAGGTTTCATGCACAGTTTCAGCTGGATTTACACAGCTTTGATCAAAATTCCGGTCAAAGAGAGAGAAAGAGTGTCTGGCAAGGTTTCCAATATAAATCAAAGATTCGTGAACTCGTGTCTGGCAAACTCTCCAAGTGTTTATATGTACACAGTTAAACGCACCTTATAACCTCCCCTGCGCTTAACGAGTGTCTTTTGGTCCATAACTTTCAAAACAACTGCTCCACAGAATGTCACTGCGTAACGCAAAAGAGTATCGAAGTATGACTGCACAATAAATGTCACAAAATCTACCTGAGCGGTCCCTTCATGATTTTCTGTCTTTACGTCATCCTAACCATTTCGTACTTGCGGGCGCAAACAATAGAAACGTCATCGTTACTTACCGATTCCGCGCGGCCCCAGTCCGAGCAAATCGAGATTTTTTTTTAGTAGACTGACTGTATATTTGAACTGTAAGTACTGTACTTAATATACGCGCGAGTTACTAGGGTGCCTCCTCGGGATTTCGCGAAATCCCTGCGGGGGCAATAATTGTTGCTGAGTTAGACACACGCTTCAGGAACTTCGTCACCTACATGAACAGCAACTTCCATACCAACTGCTTTTTCATTCGGGAATCGCAAAAGCAGACACTGATCGATAGTTCCTTCTGTTTGTTATTACCTACTGGTAAGAACACTTGCAAATGTGTATAAAATATGTTCTTCTTCTGTCCTGTTCAACTCCAAAACATTGGGGAGTGGGAATGTTTCTGTTTACATGTTCAGCGGCTTTTAATTTTGAACTGTAGTGTTCGAATTAGAGCTTAATTCATGTGTAACAAGAAAGCAACATCCAACAACCCTGGGATGGATCATAAAATCATAGGTGGTCTTAAGCGTTCTAAAAGACATGTTCTGGTGCATTCATTCCCTCTTGTGTAGCAGTTTTTTCATGTTCCGTTTCTAGTTTTGTTTTTGTTTCTTCCCGTAAGCAAATTAAGACACCTCCCGTAACCGGACCCGTAACTCTTGGACCGGAAGGTGTTCGCTTACGGAAGGTTTGACTGTATATTGGAATTGCATTACATTGTGTCGACATCCAACTCCTGTATATCTCAAGGTTGATTATAAATTTACTTAAATAACGTGAAAAGCCTTCTTCGCGTCTAATAAAGAAACGTATTTAATTGAAACAGGTGTTGAACGACTCGTCATTGCGAGGCAGGATCATCAACCTTGGTATAAACTGCACTGATGGTCGTTACCGTGAAGGCTGTTTGTTATTCAAACTGGAGGGAAGTTTATCATGTAAGTTGACGTGAAATCGCATTATTTTTTCCGCTTTAAGCATAAACCCATAATGTCGCCGATGCTACTGTTGATTTCTAATCCGATATAATTATTTGAAAATAATAAGCTATTGCAACTATCTCGTAATTTAGTCAAGCCAGAATCTAGCTTTTCGGAGGCTGGCAATTCTTTCTTCGCTTTTATTTGAGTCTTCGATTCTTTATATAAGAAAGTATTTATTACAATTATCCTGTTTTACGACAGGTCCTTTAAGAAAACCTCATCTGTATGGATTACAGTCTACCACAGTTCCTACAGCATCTCTTTCATCTGCCAGAAAACCAACAGCATCTCTGATGTCTAGAGCAACACTAGGTTCTACACGAACATTGGAGTCTACAGCAAAACCGGAATCTAGAAAAGTACCTGCCTTTTTATCTTTTTGTTATATTATCTGCTCATTCAATCAAAGACCTAACTTTTTACTATCAAATATTACCCTAGATAATGAAAGGTATGTAGTCCCAAACAGAATTTGACTTAAGATCGAATTACTGTATAAGGGCTATGGGAGATACCGATGCCACCCACCTGCTTCCAAGTTTCATTACTATTATTATTATTATTATTATTATTATTATTATTATTATTATTATTATTATTATTGTTATTATTATTATTTATTTTTTTTGGTTAGAAGGCCGCTCATAATGACGTCAAAGATCCCCACCCATGCTATATCCCATAACATATGTACGCCGTTATGTAGGGCTTATGGCGCGCTATTCATTCAACATTCGCTAGCAATGCAAAATACAATAATGCATGACGTTGCAAGAGCCCAAGGGGTAGGGGGGCAAGGGGAGAGTTCATCTACCACCACAACCCCCTGATTGTATGTTCAAGGGTGAGTTAGTTACTTTACGACAGCATTTGCATAAAGTTTCATGCATCATACTAAATTGTCAGAAAGCATAACACAATACAAGTTGTTTTTGCTGTCTTGATTTGTTGACCCTTTATTCTAGACTACCTCAGCAAAGTCAAACCCAGGATTAATGAAAGACAAGCAAAAGCCTGATGATGCCAGCTCCTCCTCTTCACTGGGTCTCATAGCAGGAGTGTCTGCTTCTATAGCAACTATTGTGATTGTAATTGCAGTTGTCGTACTGTACCGACGCCGGAAATCTAGGTAAACGTTTAGTACTAGCGCTTATTGTCAAGGTAATGATGACTAGGGCTTGGTTCTAAACGACCGATTAGCGCTAACAATGACAGGGTTAGAATGTTAATCCATAACTTCATTTTACTGCCCTTGGATTTTCTTTGGGTTATTACAACTGAATTTAACATCTTTTAATGAACCAGGCCCAGCTGAAGCCTTATTTTAATAACACGATGAAAATAAACAAAATGTATGGTAAAAGGGTTGAACTTCAAGAACACACTGTGTTAAGTGTTTGACGCTACCTGATGCTTGTTGGTATACAAATTTACAATTAACAAAAAGAACCGACGAGGAAAGGAAAGTGTGAGAGATGAACCAGGTACCAAAGATTTGAGCACGGCGAGAAACCCTAATGAGCTACGAGGCCAGTCGAGAATGGGTCGTGGTAATCTAGTTTTATTAAAGTAGTAGCAATAGTGGATGTATACTGTGTGAACAACTTTTGTGAGCTGCGTAACATAAACAATCTTGTGAAGTGACAAAATGTGAATTGCCCACATTGTGCGCTGGATAAAATTGTGCACTGGATAAGTGATTCTGTTTTCCTGTATTTACAGAAAGGGTGCTCATGCAAGTACTTCTGAGGAATTCAAAAAGGTACTTTTTGTACATTATGTAGTATAGACTGAGAACATTGACTCCTTTTTTTTTGTCATTATCTAGAAAAATGTCTACACTTGTCAATAGGTTTATGAAAGAGACGGTAGATCAGAAAGTTTTCCAATAACTATAGCAATTCTGTAATAAGTTGCATTTCTTAAGGGATGTTCTGTTTAATCCTTTCCGCATATGTTGTTAAATCAGAAGGTAAGTAAGGAGATTTTGGCTGCTTACCATTTACAAAAAGTTTCCGGAAAATTTGATCGGAAAGTAACTGGAACACGACTTTTCGGGTCGTTTCGGACGACAATTTCCGGTAGACGGGTAGACTGAAAAGGTGGTCCTGTTTTCCCGGTTTGAATAGTTCCAAACGGAAATCCGTGTTCCATTTCTTCAAAAACCAGTTTCAGACTTTTGCGGCCGTATTTCGGTAAATGTAACTGATTAGTGCAAATGGCAAACGCAATTCCGGGACGAAATTTACCAGTCTTGATTTTTGTTTACCACTTTTCCAAACCAAGAGCCCACCGCTTTGCCCATGTAAATGGTAAACAACCGCTACTTTTATTTATTCTTTCCTAGAATGGAAACTCAGAGCAAAACGTAGCATTTCAGCCGGACGCTCAAAATGATTACCTGCCAAACAGGATGAAAGAGCCACGTACGTAACAAAAGCTTAAAAAATGTACTAGAAAAACAACCATTAGTTATTAGCAGGTCCAGGTTGATAAAAGATATGTATGGAACAGGCATAACCTCTTGCGCGTTTTTGATACAAAGTCGCGACGGATTTTAAAAGGCAAATTGTAGGGTAACAATAGTCCTTTGTACTGCCAACTCAAATTGCGGAAAACTGTGTGAAGTTAATATCGCAATTGGTATTCCATGCCATGGTATTCGAATTCCAGTATTTTAAAATTTATTGTCAAATTGTTAGGGCTTCAATCAACCAACCACAGGCCAAAGGACATTCGGCTAACAAAACGTGTCACTTCCACGTCTAAAATGACATCTGCCATGGTTGGAGAAAGATCTGACTGTCTTGTAATGCGAGGAAGGAGGCCTTGTGCCTCGTTTCTGTGACTTACATGAACCGTGACATAAATGACACTTTCGTGACAAATCACCCGGATGACCGGAAACCCTCCTTTGCTGGTAGCTGGAGAAATACAATAATGATCAGTCTAATTCAGCATAAAACCATTTCTTTCTTTCAGAAATAAATCTCGTATTCCCTTTCATCATCGGTACATTCCATAGTTTACCCAGAAAGCTGTACTCAACTTAAATGTACTGTGACTTCTGGGCTAAACCAATCTGTTTTTGACTGTTGCCATTATTTTACAATAAATTTAAATTTACAGGCAATTCTCAAATCGGGGAAGTCTATGCTGCTCTTGATGTCCCTGAGGGACACAATATTTATGGTCCTGGAAATGTTGATGAGCCATTCTACAACTTTCTGCATGATCCTGCCCAGGACAAGGAAGAAGGACAACGTTACAGCTGCCTTTCGTTAGACCCAGCAATGTACCAGACCTTAGAAAAACTACAGGTCGAGGACCAAAGAAATACTGAGTATAGCTGCCCTACAGAACCAATGTACAACGTCTTGGAAGGGCCTACCCCTGGAGTCAGAAATGAAACTGAGAGTTGTGGAGACATTTCTGTGAATGAACCATTCTACAACACTGTGAAGAAACCCGTCTCCAGCGAGGGTCTCTCAAGCGGTAACAATGACCCTGTCTACAACACTTTGGAGGATCCTCTTTATCTTGGTTTTGGCTGTGGTGGACAAAATGGTTCCACTGGCTTGCAAGACCCTGTGTATAACGTTCTGGAGGGTCCTGGCGCCGACGTCGTGGAGTGTTAAGTTTCAAAAGATAACACAATTGCAGTGTATGCGGTTCCCAATAAGAAGAAAAAATGAGAAACGCCAGAGGAGAGCCAAATACAAAGATAAAGACTGGCTAATATTGTTGAGCAGCTGTCCACAGTTACAGGCTAGAAATGTGATGTAGAAGCATCTTAATTCAATAGACATTTGGAGGGGGAAAGTTAATACATTATCATTTGCAAAAAAGGAAAGAAAGGCCGCCAATTGGTTGCTTCATACCTCGAAATTGACTGAGATTCGAGTCTCAACACGATAATGTAAGATAGCTCTTTATAACCTACAGCCTTTGATGCGCTTGTAAATTTCTCATTGGCTGCTCTAAAACTTTCAGTCACACATCCATTTTAAGGGGCAGATTGTCTCCCTCAAACCCTACCCTCAAAACTTCCGTGAAAGTTAAATAACTTTGTCCACTCGTAAATAAAAAAAGTAGACTTGGCAAGTAAATTGAATAAAAAGGTGATATTGCAGAATTGATTTCAGTTTGTTTCATGGGTTTCATTGTTCACACCCTATAAGGATCGATCGCCATATCATTCAAATCTAAAGACTGAATTGAACAGCAGCTGGCTGCTTGAGTAACGCTGACAAACTTTAAAAGTGTTTTTTTGGTTGTCGTCGTTGTTGTTTTTTTTTTGTTTTATTTTTTTCCCATGGTAAGAGGCTTTCTTTATTATATATAGCCTATTACAGAATAGGCTGTTTTTGCCTGATAGAAGATTATAAGTCAGAGAACAATATCTGAAGTGACATCAATCAGGAATAAAACTGATCATGTAGAAAAAGGTTTTAGGACCACCGAAGAACTAATAAGGGATGGCCCTTTGTCTTTTCATAAATGATGCGTACATAATGCATGCGAATAAGAGAAAATTTGAAAGTAACAGTTCTCTGGAGAATTATCGCATGACCTACATTGAGAAAAAAAAAACAAAACAAAACAAAGCATACAAGCTAAAGAGGTCTATTATTATGCAATATTGAATGAATCATTTCATTGATAATTTTTAAAGGTAGTACGATTCGCTTGGGTCGCCTCGGTATACATTATTGATAGTATTGTCGCTGAGCTGACTGAAAGACAAATAATAGGTTGAGTTGCATTTGAATTGGGAATAAAGTCAATTTTGAATGTTATTTTTTTTTTGTACGTACGTAACAACGCGATGAGGCTCTCAGGATATTTGCTTATGAATCTCATGATCCTGTGCAAGCATCCTTTTTGGCGTACCTAATATCGACACTGTTTTTTGGGCTTTTTTCACCATCATTAATAACACTTGAAGGCGAGTCTTGCTTAAGTATTTTGACTTCGTAATTTTAACTCTTATTTAAAAGTAAATTCGGTTCATTCTCTAATTGTCTACTTTAACAGCACTGACAAACGAAACCTTGTTTGAACAATTTCCATTCAGCTATGTCAGTTTTCCACATATAACGATTTTTCCCTACCTTTTATAAAAGGGAAAGTTTCTTTAGAGTGCCTCGAACGAAATGAACTTAACATTATTGAAGGGTAATAAATTTTTGGAAGTACTAATATGTTCGGGTGATGTTTGGAAATCCGAATTGCCTTTTAACAATGACTGATTTGCCATTTTGACGCATAACATCTATCGAGTTCTTACGTATACAAAGCGAAATAAGAAAGTAAATTGGAACCCCGAAGAGGCACGACTGTGAGAAGTTTCATTTTTAAGACCAATATTCAAGAGCAGTCACCGCCAAAGTTTAATGCTAAATATCAAGTGACGATAATTGTTTCTTCACTCAGTGAAACCGTTTCTTGAAAAACTAGGCCCCATTCATAGCGCTAAACTTATGCCATGAAAGACGAAACGATCTTTCTCTTGTATTTGTTGTTGCTGTATAACAAAATTAGTTACACTGAGCCAGTTTCCTACACGATTTCAAGAACAACATCGCATGGGAATGTTGGAATAGAGTCTGACAAATTTACAATCCCTGATTCGAACTGTGGTGAAACAAAAGACTTTGATTGCGGCTCTTACAATGCCTTGGATAATGCTCAACTTGGGCGCTGCAACTGTGATTGTCGCCACACGAAATCTACTTTTGCGTTTACGAGCGACAATAAAGGGACGTGTATAGAAGATAGCGAAGTTCGTAAAAAGTTGCAGTCCGACCAATATAGCCAACAGAAAGAAAAAGGTAACATAATAGTATTAACTTCAGTATAGTCATTTTAAAAGAAAATGCAAATAAATAAATAATAAAATAGTATTTTTCTTAGTTTTTCAACAGTCCGCGTTGTAGGCAGATAAGTCTTAAATATATTTCAGCTTACAAGGTTGTCCATCTTCCAGACTATTTCAGATATTTTATGTAATGTATGTAAAGTTACATTATTAAGGATTTTATTCGATAACTAATTTTTGCGATCGTTCTCGAAGCCATTTTCCTAGAGTGATTTGTTAGGTAGGGCGAGCAAAACAACAAGTGACTCGCCTTTGAAAAAACTCTGTTTTGCGAGTCTCACGAGTTAGCAAAAAATATGACTTTCACTTTTTTTATTATTATCATTTTTTTTAAAATCTGGCTTAATTGTTTTGATTTTTTGTTGTTTTCGTTTTTCTTATAAATGTGTTTTCCAAAAAAAAATTGATTTGATCAACTAATTCATAGTATTATTGTAAAATGACCAGATTCAACTGATTAATTTTTAGCTTGTTCAAAAAACATGAAAACCCTCTTTATTAACGAATACCAAAATTCAAGCCTAAGAGTGCTTAACTATGGCGATGAGATGGGTGTTCCTATAGACAGCAGTTGGAGCAGCTGCGGAGTAGATACAGGCCTTTCCTGGTACTTTGAATGCAATGCGTCGCGTCTGTCTTCGCGAGAGTTCCGCAACACACTTAGTAACGTGTTCAAATTCATTGTAAAAGGACAGAGTCATTACATACTAAAAGTAAGTAATCTTCGAGACATACTACTTACTCTAATTATCTCACATGCGTGATGAAAATTTGGAAATTGACCAACACATGGAAATTCGATTGCCTTTTATAAAATGCTTTTTTAAAAGGGGAGGAGACTAGAGGAGACTAATCTAAATCCAAAGCCTGACTGCACGTGACGGTAAAATGAAAAATATTGGATTTGCATTGGGGGTTGTCAAAATTCAATGAAGTGAATAGTTAATTGACCAGGACCAGATACAGTGGAACATTGATATAACGAACCTCCACAAAACGAAGTCCTCGGTATAACGAACGATCTTGTCTACCCCAGTAATAGTAAAATATATGGAAAAGTACCTCGATATAACGAAACTTCGTTGTAGCGAACATATTTTGCAAGTCCCTTGGCACTTCTTTATATCGAGGTTCCGCTGTAGTCCACCACCACAAAATTAAGAAACAAAACCGGTTTATTTATTTACTTTTCATTTTCACAATAACCGTGTCAACGTCAATATTGGAGTCTTCAGTTTTAAGGACATCAAGTAGCGTTCCTATTAATGATCTCTTACAGGCTTTTTTGGGTCTTTTTTTTTTTAAGTATTTGAGGTATCCCGTTCCGAATTTTGACCCCAAAAACAATAGTTAATGAAACAATTGGGGCGAGTGGCGGGAAATGTAGTATATTTTGTAGCATTCGAAAATACATAATGATCGCCTCAGAAACATACCCATGAAAATTTGCCTATGAATTTAAAGTTGCTTCCATTTTGCACTAGGACTCGTTTTTTTTTTTAATGTTTATTCGATAATGACCTATTTTTTCTCTACAGGTTGAAGGAACTGTGTTAAACGCCCATATGCTCAATGGACGAATCATCAATTTGGGAATTTTATGTAGCGGAAATACAACTCAGACTCATCACTGCCTGTTATTTAAATTCCAAGGCACCATGAAATGTAAGTGTGATTTCAATAATCACTCACAATCAAATGTTATCGAATGTTTCTGGACTTTCTTTCTTTTTTCTCTCTTCTTAAATTATCTTTTTTGTGTTGTTATGTTTTTACTTTTTGGTATTTGTATTTTCTCCGTTTATCATTTATATTACAGGCCATTTGTATTATATTACAGTTTTGAAGATATTATTCTTAAGATTTAAATATCGGATAACGACAATAAATGGAGAAGGGCAAGATATAAGTGTAGGTAATAGCATGATTTGTAGTGATACTTGGAATAAACACCACGAGTGATGTTTCAAAATTGTTAAACGTAAAATTTGGGACAATTTTGAAATGGCACGAGTGGTATTTACGCCAAATATCACGTGCAAATCATGCTATTAGTTGTTTATACTACTACCCGCAAAAGGTTTGTAATTTTCACATGTAGGTATTTCAAATTAAGCTGAAATACCACTGCCCTAAGCCAATCAAATTGCAGAAATTTCTCATGTAGTAGTATAATGAAACTAATTGCATGCCCTTTGATTAATGATTACAGTTTTATTTAGCATAAAAGAGTAAAAAAGGAGAAGTATATAAGGTATCAAAAATTTAAGAGAAAGGGAAAAGTAAAGTAAGCAAAAAAATATAGGACACACATGTTGAAAAGGATGTGCTCCGTGCATTTTTGCATGATGATGATAAAGACATTCAAGGTTTTTTCATAGTTATAGTTAGTTCAAATACGAATTAACGTTTTAATGGAGAAATGATTCCCCTTTATAACATTCGTAAGCACTGATTTGTTTCTTAGGTGGCTTATCAGATTCATCTTCGACAAAAACTTCCACAGACGCTCTGGCAGTAACCTCTTCATTGGTGCATGAAACAGCAATGCCCTCGAGAACAGTCTGGCCTTCAATATCGAGTACAATTCAGCCAACCTCGACAATAAAACTCTCCACACAGTCTCATACCGTCATCCTGCCAACCATGACTTCAAAATCAAGCGTAAATGTTTCAGTTTATACCGAATGTATTAGTGTAGAGTAAAGCAAGATTTAGCGATCCAGCGTTTACACTGTGAAGAGATGCATCTGGTTTTACCAGAATCGCACTTATTTGTTTTTTTTTAATTCAAATCAATATTTATCCAGGTGCACCCAATTTAGCAGAGCTAGTTTAAATGGAGCCTTGAAACCCTACTTATAGGAGACATCGCCCTCTACAAACGTTGCTCTTGTTATTCAAATTTGTAACGAGTAAAAATAAAGAATATTTTGTTTCAAGAACTAATGCGCTTTTGCTTGGCACATGAATATCACTAGGTGACGTCAGCGTGAGTATGGCTATATTTCAATTAATTTTCATATGTGTATGGAAGTACATGTATAACAGTTTATGCTCCTGAATGCTACGAAATAAACTTATAGCAGCGTCAAAATTACAAGTCACTGTCATCTTAGATAAGGTTGATCCTTAATCATCAAGTGACGTTTACTATTTATAGAATCTTTCGCATAATTGCATGTCTCGTTTCCAGGTTCCCGAGTCTCGACCCAGCCCGCGCGAGAAAGAGGGAAGAAGAGATGGTGCCAGTGGTTCGTTTTTAAGGATCTTAATTTATATGACTGCTTCGCTGCTACTTGCTGCGATTATAACGATGTTGCTTGTCACTCGATGTCGCTTCTCGAGGTTTGTCACTTTCGTAATCTTATATTGAAAAATATGCCCCTTGGAATGCCCTCAAAATAGGTTTTAGCGCTTATGGAGCGTTTTCACATGACGTCACCGTGGCCATGTTGGTGTACCAAGAAAATCCTCTGGGGGTTTAACTCTTTTCTCAAGTAAAAGCTTTCTTCTGTTGCAATAAATTAGCATAATTGCTGGCCGTGTGAGTGAAAACGCTCTTTAGTCTAGTGCCGTGTACTTTTATCGAAACCAAATCGTTCCGATCAGTCACAATTATATAACCTTATATTGAGAAAATGCACCTTGGAATACCCTCAGAATAGGTTCTAGTGCTAATAGTGTCGTGCCGTATCCTTTCATCCAACCCAAATCGTTCAGACTCAATTACATGAACTGCTAATAAGAGCAGCAATGAGGTTGTCTTATCTAGTTAGCAATTCGCCATTCTGTCTCTTAATGTTCAAAAAGTCTTATCCTGCAGCAGGATAATTTTATTATTATTATTATTATTACCATTCATGGTCTCAGAAATAACTACAAGAGTATTAAATATATCACTCATCAAATATATCCCTTTTCATTATCTCAACAGAAAATCTTCTACAGCAAGTAACTCCGATGGCGAGGAAGTTATTGTATTACATATTCCATATGTTCTCTCTTTAATATTAACTTAAGCTACAAATCGATTTAGTTAAGTTCGCAAGTCTAGCTTTCTGCAGGGGCGTAGCCAGGATTTTTCAAAGGGGGGGGGACAGAGGCTACTCACCGCTTCTCTCCCTCGTGTATCAGCGGGCTCAGTCGTATTATCACGGCATGAAGGCCCATATTAACTAAATACAAGAGCCTCAGACGAAACTACTTTACAAAAAAAAAAGTGGGCTTTTCAACAATGGCTTTTACGGCCAAGATATTGTCATGGCGTTTTCGCCACCTGAATATTGTAGGTTTTTGTGCTGAAAAGAAGGCCTACCAAGGAGGGGTCACACCCCTGTTCTGTTAAAGAATATTGCTCACCTAACGAACCCGGGTTTTTGCGCGCAAGGTTTTTGTTTGTTTGTTGTTGCTTGTTTTATTATGTTTTGTTTTGTTGTCTTTTTTGTTAAGACATTCGGAAGGATTCCAAGTACCCAAGAGGATTCACTTTGTGTCCCTTCAGTGGGTTTTTGTATGAATTAGGTGATATCTTTATTTGTTTCAGTCCCAGCCTTCAGTAACGAGTACGCTTTCAAACTTAGCAATTCAAGTAGATGAACCAGACGTGTGTGAGCAGAATGGTTACTTACCACTAAACTTCAGAGATCCTGGTAAGTGTAACCAATTTGTTTGTTAGCACTGATTAGGACTCAAACGTTTTCAGCTGCCTTAGTTAGGCGGCAGTTAACGAGTAATCTCGGATATTATGTTTTATCTAATATATCAAACATGAGATGCAATGTTTCATCACCAGATGAAACACCGAGAAGAGAGTTAAAATCTCGCGCAGCTGAGTATTTTGATATTGTGTTTTCATCTGGTGATGGTTCATTTTGATATTTCTTCTCAAACAAAATCATTTTTGAAGGAGAAATTAAGGATGCAAATACTAAGCAGTGTTTCATCCGATTTCCAAACACTCATTAAACATTAATTTCCTTTGTATTTTCTTAATGAATTATTAATGAGTTTGAGAAGGTTCATTCTATTCTACGGTGCAACTACTTGTAGACTAATATAAACTTCGAAAAACACGACCCTTTAGTCCGATCAAGTGCTTTTGGCCAAAGTAGTATAAGCTTTGGAGATTGCCACCATCTACTTGACACCATTACGCTCAATTAACGCGGACATACAGAGCCGAAGACTATCGCTTATCAATTGCGTTCGACGTTAGGAGTTAGTGAGTGTGGTACTCAAGGGTGACCTTTCGTGGCACTAATTTCGTCGTGCGTCTGCATTTTCTGCGCCATCTTGAATAATTTATCTCGTGGGCACAAAAATGTTAAATAGCAATGGTTGCGTGGCGCAATGGATAATCCGTTGCCCTTACAAGTCGAAGGTCTCGGGTTCGACTTCTGCCAGGTGAAACATTTTTGTTTTTTCGTAGTTGTTTTGTTTTGTTTTGCTTATTTTTTAGAAAAACATATAGGAGGCGTTTTGCAGCATCAATTTATTAGGAAATAACGTCACATTTGACAGTAAACCTTAAATAAGCTCGATAAACGCACTTCCTAATCTGAGATTACTACTAGTTATAGTGATAAAGTAACTGACAAACCGTGGAGATATACTATCCTTCTTTGCACAAAGTTTTTCGTTTTGGAATCACTGAAGACCTAACACAACACAATTTTGTGCTCACAGTTTTCTCCTTCTTTCTTTTTCCAAGCAGTTTCTCCTGCCTCTTAAATTCAGGGAAAAATTTTATAATTCGTTCTTTAATTTTCATTGTCACTTCCTTCGCAGTTATTTACTCGTCAACTTACCAAGTCCCGCCAGGAAATAGACGGACACCGTCATTCAATGAAATGACCAACCCCATTAAACTGGACCTTACCGCAGATCATGTGTATGAACATATTGACAACCTCGGGGGATGTCATAATAACAAGCCGGAACCCGTTTACGTTGATCCCGTACAAAAAACAAAAGAGATAGCCTCTAAGTTACAAGAGCATGGACCTATTAGTCATGAACAGCGCGTGTATAATCTTATAGAAGAATTGTCCACAGCCATTTTTACAAAGGCTGCGAAAGAAAAATCTAACGTTCATCAAATCAGTTACTTATCCAGTGATACCTGCGATGGCGCGGGGAATGGTGTCAAAGGTGGGCATACCCTGGGGGACACCCCTAGGGGGCGTCACGATAAGAACCCGGAACCCTCTTGCATTGATCCCGTAAGGAAAACTAAGATGAACGTGCCTGAGTTACAACAGTATGGGCCAATCAGTCATGAACAGCGAGTGTATAATCTTATAGAAGAATTTTCAACAGTCAACGAAAAGAATTTTGCAAAAGATAAAATTCATGTTCGTCAAATCAATTACCTTTCTGGTGATCCACGCAATGGCGGAAACAGTGTTAATGACGTAGCTGTCAAAGATGCTGCCAATGATGGCCCCAATGCTGGCACCCATGATTGCACTGATAATGCCCTTGACCATGCTAACCATAGTCCATCAAACACCAAGCCAGAGTATCATGTTTTAGAGGAAGGTTTAAAGGAAACCACAGTAAATCCAAGCGATGCACTTCAAAGAGACGGGCCAGTTTACTGCACATTGGACGAACTGGATTCAAATGTTTTCACAACACCTATTGACATTTGACGGTTACTCTCCACCTCTGTTACAAAACAAACAGGGAAACGAGACTAATTAATGAATGACTGACTTTCCTTGGAAGCACTCTCAAGACTGCTCACCAATGGCCTCTATGTCAGAAACTTGCAACAACATAAAATAGAGCAGATCAATTTTAACGTTCCTTTTAGCCTGTCCACAGACATTTATTCTTCCTTTTTTTTTTACGAATGTTCGGGTGTCCCAGAGCGAGCGTGCAAGAGCGAGCGTGGAGCGCGACGATCTCTAGAGAGAAAATAGGGGGTCTGTGAGCAGGCTAAGTTGTTTTGCCATTGATATATTATATCTACACTATATTTACAAGAACTTGAAAGTTTTTACTGCGCTTTTCAAAAACACGAGAACTCTGAAGTTCAAAAGCCGCCTTCGAAGTTACGTTTTTCGCTGCGGTCAATCACAATTACGATGACAAGCAACGAACCTTGAAACACAGAAACACACAAAATGGATCAAACTCCACCAATCACAAATCACAAACGATGACCTTTTGACCTTGTTAAAGGAATCTTCTATTTCCTAAGACGCCCCTAAGATCAGTGATTGACGGCAGCGAAAACGCAAACGTCAGTTGGCTTTTGAACTTCAGAATTCGCGTGTTTATGAAAAGGGCAGTAATAATAAGGGTAAGCTGAAGGATTGAACTTGTAAAAATGGATCTAGTAACAAGAAAACATCTGAGCTACTGACAAACATTAACGCTGAGGACAGACTTTAATTTGATCTTTGTACGGGAAGCTTGAAATTCATATGTAGTCTTCAAGAAATTTTAAAGCAAAATTTAATATAAAAAATATTCACTTATCATCATAAAAATAAACAAAAGCAAATGAAATAAATAAATGCAACCGCGAACTTGCGAACCAGAGAATCAAAGCTGAGGACAGACTAAGACTAAGAAATTAGGGAATAATTCCACTTGCGTTTTGTCCAAATGCTAATAATTTCCCAAGCCTTTATTCCCTAATTTTACTCGTCACAATTTGTTTACACAACCTGATAGAATCCTTCTTGGTGTGCTCTTTCGTTTGTTTAGGATTTCTAAAGCTTCTTTTTATGCCCTTACTTCTTCATTCACAACACTTTAAAACGTTGCCGCCATCTTGGCACTGAAACGTACGGAACGTTGCCGTGGCAATTTTGTAATTTCACATGTGAAAACGCTGAAATTTCGCGCCAAAATTAAGGAGTACTTTGCCACCTATGATGTTATGAAGTTAAGCGAACATTTAAGCACGAAAGCTTCAGTGCGCGGAGTGGAGTTCTGTATCGATTATCAGTTCGATAAACATGTCAAAGACCTACAATTGTGAGCGTAATTTGCCACCCATGATATTAATAGGTAATCAAATGGTATACTTGTGAAATTGGGGAATAATTTTACTTGCGTTTTGTCAAATCCTAATAATTTCCCGAACCTTTAGTCGAGGGAAATTATTAGGATTTGGACAAAAGGGGGGTGAAATTATTCCGTAATTTCACTCGTCACCATTTGATTACACATACATATTTAGGGCATTTCCGAGTTGCACCAAACCTCCGTTTCAAAGCGAGGATAGCTAAATACTAAGTCATTGTCATAAAAATGATTCTCTCTGCCATGCAGATGAAACTTATTTTCACAACAAAGGTTTCGCACCTAGGGCCTCGTTTTGAAGGCGAGATTTTTCGATACTCTTTCGTTCGCGCACTAACGCTCACCACGGATCATACAGTGACGTCGTGAAACCCCAATTCCACAGGCAGATGAACAATATTTTGATATTCTACATATTTATCATTAAAACGAAAAATTAAAACACATTTCTTCTTTTTTACCCGGGGTTAGGTTTTTTTTTCCAATTTTCACATACTCCTTATAAAAAGTTCATAGTTCGTTAACTATATCATTACATTAAATGTAAAATAAAAGGTGCAAATTGTTTGCTTCTACAGTGAAAGAGATAATTACATTTCCAATAAATGTTAGTTGTCCGGACGGATCCAAAAATTTTTTACGGCGAGACACGGGTTCATTTCTAGAGCTTTTTCGGTGACGATTTTTTTCTTTTTTAAACGACGAACAATTCGAACGAGATTCCGTCTAATAATTAAATTAAAATACCGTAAATTTTAGTCTCAAACAAATAAAGGTAGGCAATACGAAACGATAACTCGAAATCTTGGGTTGATTCAACATGATTTCAAAGTTGTAAGCAGCCTCGTCATGAAATAACTTTCATTTAATTGTTCTTTTAGAGTTCCTAGCTCATATCAGTGACTTCCCACCATTCCCACTTCACCCGTTTTTCCTGACGTTCGCCTCTCTTTTCGTTCAACTTTGCAATGATCAACAGCTGCGTTGTACTATACATAGTATGTCCAAGAAAGATTGGCGCTTTAAACCTGTTTACGACAGCACATCAATTAATGTTATGTAAAGTTGCGTGCTTCCGTGTCTCATCTCGGATATGTATTGGGTGTTCACACGGTATCTTCTTAACGAGATATAAACCTCATAAATAGACGGTAATGGGCCAACAAAGGCTTAATTATTTCTTTTTATATTTATATTCGCACTTACAACCAAGAGATTTTCCAGTGTTTTTTATGTCAATGTTTCTAATGTTATCCAAGTTGGTGAAATTGATGTTAACAAATCATCTCTTCTTCTTGTGTTTTATTTGAATTGCTGATAAAATACAAACAGATACATGTCCCAGTAGTGTATTGCCTCTTCTGGACATTGGGTTTATTTATTAACCAATGGAATTCACTCATGGATCCTTATGGTTCAATATAGAGGGCAATATAGCATTGAGTGGCTCGAAAACTCGGAATTCGTGACCTCATACTCGCCATGAACTCACTGTACTGGCGAAGAGACAGCAAGTGAAAACCTTTTAATTGTTTAAACGCTGGATTGAAAACAATTTCAACTCGAACAAAACAAATTTTTTCGAGCCAAAAATTAAGGCTTGCATTCATGTGAAAGGACAATCGCCAACTTCATTAATTGAATTGACGAAATTATCCGATTTGCTGTTTTCCTCGGTTGACTGCCAGAACTCCAGTCATAAGATGATCGATTTGTATGTACTTCTATTGTTCCTTTCCTGCATTGGATCGACTGTTCATGGACAGTCCCTACGTATACTTCGAGGCAAGGATGAACCAAATGACGACATTCAGCTACCTTCTGTACAAAGCGAGTGTCCCACTACAACGACTCCCCTTTGCGATAAATATAATGCTCGACGGTTCGATTTCTCCTATAACTGCTTTTGTCAATGCAATCAACCTTCAGGGAATTACACTTTCTTCGAACCGAACAACTCTTGCATAAGAGTAAGCGAGGCTCGTCAGCAAGCAGGTAAGAATTGTTTTTGTTTTTCTTTGCCGTACTCATGATCAGATAGAAGTCTGAAAATGGACGTAAACTCTTAAGTCTGTTTTATTTAATAGGAAAAAAGGTTAGGAAACTTTTGCCTCCGTCTATTTTCAAAAATAATTCTCGTATACTGAAAGCTTTGAATTATAACTTTAATTTAAGTGTTTTTCTTTCTATTCAAAGACTGCTTCCAAGAGGCCGACAATTTTTCTTTTAAGGTAGGATAAGGTGCAGTGGTTTCGTTGTGGTTTCGGATCTTCCCTTTTTTATGGTAAATAGACCTTTTTACCAATACGGCGGCCATATTGAATTAATTCGATTTAAGGAGTATTATAGGATGCTCAGTGGGCATGAGCACATTTCGTTTGTATTTTCGAGCGCTTCTCGGGACATTTGTTCTTAAAGTTTTTTTAGAATAGGATTGTAATGGGACAAAAGATCCTTGTGCCGTGTTTTGATGTATATAATGATCGCCCTTTTCCCGAGAAATATACAGTGAAAGACCATATTTCTAATACTAAACTAGAAAAAGGCGATTATTGTTACATCCAAACACGGCACAAGGATCTTTTTTCTCATTACAATCTTATTCTAAGAAAACTTTTAGAAAAAAGTTCCCGAAAAGCGCTCGAAAATACAAACGAAATGCGCTCATGTCCCCTGGGCATCCTATAACACTCCTTAAATCGAATTAATTCAATATGGCCGCCGTATCGGTAAAAAGGCCCATTGATGGTATGTACATGCAAGATTTTGTTTTCCATTACGTGTCACCTAACAGGTTATTAAGTTTCTTTCAACACCGCGTTCACATATTAACCGGTCGCTAACTAAAACAAATTTTCCAACGAATTTCGCTTTTTGCCGTTCGTAGGATCGATTAACACATAATAACTTCAATAAAGTGATACACGTGAAAAATACAACAACTGTTGATCAACAAACTTTTTAGCTCTCGTTGTTCAACAAGTTGAAACTTGTTGAGCGTTGAGCCGAGTAGAGCCCATCCCGACCATTTTCCTTCAACTGGTTCAACATTTCGTTCAGCTTGTTTGATCGATGGCTTATGTTAACAATTAACCCCCCTAAGCTTTAGCCCTAAAACAAAGAAAATAAAGGGAACACACGAGGCAAGCAAGAATTTTTTAAACTCGGTAAGGTTGGAACCAACAATCCTTGGATTGTATCTACCTTCGCTCTACCGACAAATTACAAGGCCTTTCTGTAGCAAGTTAAGGGTAATCACTTTTGGTTAATTAGCATGCTCGATGCAGACATCGACATGGAATACACATTAATATCTAACCGGCAAATATTAATTTAGAAGAGCGGGATAAATTTTTGTACGATAATAAACTGACTTCGCAACCTGATTTGTTCAAAACTATGGTCCATATCTTTCTATAAAAAAAGAACATAAACTTGACAGATATTGAGTATAATCAACATTGGATCTAACTGAATTTGTTTTCCTCTCTCTTTCGCACATCCTTTTTTCCCCAAATTTGGCCGAATTCGCTTGCGGCTCGTGGTTCCAATTGACTTTGAACTATTTCTACGTCATTTATAATAATGCCAAAAACGCAGCTAAGAGTGTTAACCTCTTTTCAGCCCGCATAAATGATAAATGGGACGCAAAATGAGCCACGTGTAAAGGCTTATGAAAATTTAGTCATTTCTTTGACACTTGAAAATCAAGAGAATTTCTGGCAAACCCGTTTACTGTGACTGGGCTGTGTACAGCCGCCCTGACCAATTAGGATTGCGATCACTAGTGACGTCACAACCTTAACGCTTTAGGAACTATTTATTATTTCATAAAACGTTATTCAGTTTTTTATAGGTAAACCCAGATCCTCAGCAATGCTTGATTTGTACCAGTTCTAAAATAATATCTATTACGAAAGGAAGCTGTGTTAATAGAGTACATATAAAATGACGCTATTCATTTTAGTCTATTTCCCTTAAAAAGACATTGATGAAGGAGAGTATATTAAAATGATTTTAAAAAATGTACTGATTGCTATGAATTTTTTCATATTTCTTCCCCCTTTCTTGAACCACAGGATGCGACTTGCTTTTTACCGACGAGACAGTAGCTGGCCATATAACGTTCTTTTCCCCAAATGGTCCAAATGAACCTTCAAAATCCATCGGTCTTCCGACCAACAAGACTTGCAGCTTTAACTTTTTGGGAAAACTTTATGTTCAATACCTGGACTGCGCTGGGGACTGGAAAGAAGTACCATCAGACGAAGTGAAAGCTGACTGGGAGCTTACAACTGGCTGGGCAACAAATCAGTTGCAAGTATTGGTAAGCACAGAAAACGAACAGCGGCTGAGCTACCACTCTGTAGTGGCGGCCGAAAAATAAATGAACCTCGTCTCTCGACAGTTTAAATGCTGCTGTGGGTCCTCTTATTGTACTCAAATAGGGGAACTTCAGAGAAAAAAACAATCCACACCCCTCTCTCCTCCTCTCCATTCAAAGTCGTTTTCTACGGGTAGCTCGAACAGCGGGACAACATTGCATGGAGGGGATGGGAGAGGTCAAGTTTTGATTTCCCCTTTCGAAGACGGTAAAAGGTCAGAAAGTCCCTTTAATTAGGGTTAAGTGTCTTAACTTCTTTTGTCGTCGATTATAGGTACTGTGATATTGATTTGACCAAGTGCAACATCGTTAATTTAAAAAAAGAGTTTCATTTACACGACAGCATGAAAATTATGATACCCGTCCAGAATCTTCACACTTGAAAATAGAACTTGGAAATGGCCAATTTATATCTAACTATGCTGAGCGATTGAAACCGCTTTAACACAAGTTTGCTACACCAAAGTACTCTGGCTCGCTTAAATGGCATTTCATTGTCATGCTAGACGCGTTTAACGTCTGACACTTAAAAGTCCTCTGTTAAGCGCCACAGAACGGCTTATTTTGCACCTATTTATCGTTCTTACACTAGACATTTAAGTAGTCTTAAAAGGACTACAACGTCACAGACGACTTTAAGGCCTGTAGCACAAAAACGGCCATAAAAAATTTCTAACTGTGTCGATTTGTCCAATACACATATCACGGACTGAAAGATGGGTATGCAAATTTCCATCGTAACAAAAATCTCGTGAAATAATCCCGTGCTGTATTTTGTCAAACAGGTCAAGAGAAATATTTCAAATTTTATGAGCTCAACCAGGGGAAGGATCTTCAGAGTAGCAATTCAATGTCGTGATCCTAACAGCAGCAACCACGACGTAGGAAACACCACATGCGCTATGTTCAAAGTGGAAGGAGGAATTTATCGCTGTAAGAAAATGCACATTTGTGTAAGGTGCTTCAGACTACTATCAACGACTCACTTTAGAGAGCTGCACCGTAATTTTTAGGGAGTTATTATAACTCCAAAAATGGAGTAAAAATTTTAGGTACAGGATAACCCCTTTTTGGGGGTTATTTTAACTCCTAATTTAACTCCGAGTTTGGGGTCATTTTTCCTCCTGAAAAAGAGTTCTTTTTACTCCCAGTCTGGAGTTAAAATTACTCCGAAATGGGGTTACTTGTACTCCATACAGGGGTTATTTTTACTCTTTTTGGAGTTAATTTAACTCTGAAAGTGGAGTAAAAATTCTAGGTACAGGATAACTCCTTTTTTGAGGTTATTTTAACTCCTCAATATCTGGGGTCACTTTTACTCCTGAAAAAGAGTTCTTTAAACTCCTTTTTGGAGTTAAAATAACTCCACGAAAAATAACTCCACTGTAAGGAGTTAAATTAGCCCCACTAGAGGAGTTATTATAACTCCCTGAAAATTACAGTGTGGTTTCAAATACAAACTTAGAACAAACGCCACTGAATCATAGTCAACAGTACAAACAACTTATTGACTGAATCAAGCAAAACTAACTACGAGAGAACGGCTGGACAACTGACAACTTTACTGACAATAAACGACTGCTTATCTGTGACAATTCTATTTATAGACGGATCGAGACGCACCAATGACATTACGAGTCTTTATGGCTAATGACATGACCACCTAACTGACAGGTCACGACTTCTGTTAGTGACATGTCGAAAACATCCCGTATGTCCCTTTCCCAGTGCCTTCTCGGTCTTCCTCTTTCTCATCTCCCATCTATCTTTCTCTCCAAGATGATCTTACCCAAGCCCTCACTTCTTTTCATAATTATGGCCAAAATACTACAGCTGTTGTTTTTTTTTATAAAGATCTCTAACCATTAAGTTTCCCCTTTTGAGTTCCTCCCCAGTTGACTTAATTGCTCTGTGCTACGATCACGATATTTTTAAATTTTCCCATAGTACCTCATTTCAAAAGCGTTAATTAAGGCTGTTTTTCCAAGTGTCCACGTGCTCACAGGCATATGGAGCGATGAGGAAAACGCATGTTCTCAAAATTCTTAGTTTTGTTTCAATAGTAACTAACAATTTACAGATGACTACTGGCTGTAAGCTGAGAAAGTCAATGTCAGTGACTGGAACATTTTATAACTTTCATTGTGATATAGCTGGAAATGTTTTCCCAACAGCGTGCATTCTCATTGGTTACTTCAAGGCTACATAACATCTAACAATGAAGCTGTTTCCCGTTCCCACCAAAATTTCTGAGCGGGCAACATTGCAAACGCTAGGACATCAGAGGGTAACAGTGCACTGTTGCCCGCAAATGTTGACCGACCACCACCATTACAGGGAGGTTTAATGAATTTCCAGCTTCAAAATTTCCAGTTATAGAACAAATCAAGTCTGGTCCCTCGGGAAATATTGAGATTCTCGGGAAACAAAATTATCTGTTTCCCTCAGGATCAGTGATTAAGTGTTTTATCTTTTTTAGGTCCATTTCCTCAACCAACTTCATCAGGACAGTCAGCTACATTACCCCCACCAACAGTGGAAATAATAATTCCCACCGGAGGGACACTACGTCCCCCACCCACCTCCGCAGAGCAACTATCGACACAAAGCACTGGAAGGGTCACAAGCGAAGTAAGTATCTGAAGTCCACGAAATTGAACATTCTTCTTCCTTTTGTGACAAATATCAGTGTGGCTATCGTACTCAATGCATTTAATAAAAAAAGTGTGTAGAGTGGTAACTGTTCCTTGGCTATGCTAAACTGATATATTGACTCTGGTAAAATGTGGCAATTTTTTTTTCCAATAATATTTTAATAACCAGGGGTAGAAAAATGGATTGTTCACTTATAGCGGAGCTCCACGCGCGCGCGAAGCGCGCGTGGGCGGAGCCCCATAGCTTAGTAAATCTACCCATCCCAGAAAATTTGGTAATCACGTGACCGTACACCGACCGCCGACCGACCGTCCGTCCGCACCACAGGACACCCAATGTTTACTCTCACACTTTTAGCTAGTTTGGGAGCCCAAGAGAAAACTAATTGTACATCAATGTTGTGACTAAGTGACAGCTAACCAAACAGGGCATCCGCTGACCAGTATCACCTGACCGTAGCGCGGGCTCAAGTGTCGACCCATCGAGGTCGAGTATTTTTTGAAGTTATCCGCTGACAAATTACGAGTTTGAAATGATCGCAGGCTCAAGTTTATTTTTTCCAAGGATTCATATCAAATATGTTGTGTTTATGTCACTATGGCCCCGCGCTATTAGGATTTTGATTTCAAACTGACTTTGGAAGCGAAAATTCAGCCAGTTTTTTTAAAAGTACAGGCGGGGAAAACCTTATCTTACCATGGTCACGCGTTGGTCACGCTCTACGTCCAATTTTTATACTCTGATTGGTCAAAATTTGACAGGTGAGTTCATACGAAAAAATTATGCAGCATCTTGAAAAACTGTTTACTTTGACAGCTGAAGCTGAAGAGTTTTGTGTCAACTTGTGATGTTTTTTAACTGTCTTTTTCTTCTGAATGTACAAAATGAAATACAGCTGCTATCATGAGTCTTCTGTTATCCATGGCTGGTTTGTTTGCTGGGTTTTTGGTTGAGAAACGCGTCGCTTGTCAAAATTTGGTAATTCGATTTCGGATGGCATCGTTTTCGTTTTTCACCTTGCTTAATGTGTAAGAGGGTTTAAAAGTCTCAAGCAACTGTGGCCTTCCTTGATAGCTTTCAGGAACTGAATGTAGCCTGAGTAACTATTGTATTTGATGTTTGTTTTTGTTATATCTAATTTCATGAAGTCTTGCACAGTTCACGCTGACAGTTTATACACCGTATTCACAAATGGCGGACACGCGGCAAAAAACTGGTGCCTAGTCATGAAAGCGAGGCGTTGGAGGATAAACAAAAATTACAAATGAAGACTTTCAGTGAACTTGCAGAGTGTTTAGCACGGATTCCACCTAAAATAACTTTATACGGGCTTCTTTATAAATACAATTACGTGGGATGTCTTCTGCTTTTAATGTTTAGTAGCGATTTGCTGTTTGCAATCAAAAGGGTTATGTATATCTTCAAGGAAACAGAATGATTTTGTAGGTTTCCGAAGCATCCGAAGCTTGACAAGTGCACGATGGCTGGAAAAAAGCGGCAAACATGTTGACGCAAACTTCACTTTGAAACCGAGTACGAAAGCCAGCTCACTGCAATTCGGTGAAACAGAAATATAAACAAATCTTGGTGGCAGGAAAAAAAGAAATAAGCGACAGATGTATGGCCTACTTGCAACTGTTAACGCAAGAGACGTCTGCCGTTGAACAAAACAGTTCAAGTCGAGATGGAAAAAAGGAAGACAGGAAAGAAGAGGTGACTGAGGTTTCGATGAAGTTATGTTTGGTTTTTGTTTGTCAGGACGTTATTCTCTGGTCTTTATCAATGGAGAACATCAATTAGACAGCGGGGTTGACCTTTTTTTTAAGCGGTTTTTCGGTAATTTATTTTTAATGAGCGGAAGCGATCGAGAGGAGTACGCTCAAAATTTCAACTTGTTACTCGGCAGACTCGGTAAGCCGGTCACATATCATTTCAGCGAGTAATTTCGTATTTCTTACCTTTGGCTGTTAAGAGTTTTAACTTTATGTTTCATAATATTTTAAAGTTGAAGAATACATAAATAAATACAATGATGGTCTTCTTAAACTGATCCAGACTCGAATTCAATTATTCGAAACAGAAGCTTGCCGTGTTCAGTCCTGACAAAAACATTGCCTTAAAATTTTACCCTAGTAAAATGTAAGCTTTACACCACTTTTTTACCAAGAGCTCTCTGAGATAATGCCCTAAAAGAAACCAGGCAAATAGCAAGCCATAAGATTCACACACTACAGCTTCTAATTTTGATAAAATTATTTTTAATTATTTCGCAATGACAAAGAAATCATGAGATGTTTGCTAAGCTCTGCCAACGTACCTCTAACAATTCCCTCCAAAGCGACGGAATTAATCTAATCCAATACAGAATTGTAGTGATCTGGCTTTCGTATTCGGTTTCAGCGTGAAGTTTGGGCCAACATGTTTGCCGCTTTTCTCCAGCGATCGCCTACTCTTCGAGCTTCTGATCGATGCTTCGGAAACCTACAAAATCATCCTGTTTCCTGAAGAGATACGCGTCCCATTTGATTGCAAACAGCAAATCGCTACTAAACATTAAAAGCAGAAGACATCCCACGTAATTGTATTTAAAAAGAAGTCCGTAGAAAGTTATTTTAGGTGGAATCCGTGCTAAACACTCCGCAAGTTCACTAAAAGTCTTCATTTGCAATTTTTGTTTATCCTCCAACGCCTCGCTTTCATGACTAGGCACCAGTTTTTTCCCGCGTGTCCGCCATTTGTGAATACGGTGTATGCGGCAAGTTTATGCACGTTTGTAGCCGTAGTTTGAGTTAATGATCTGACCTAGTATCAGGTTTGAACGGTTTGATATAAGCTTACAGAACTTTAAAAAGCCTTCAGATATATTTGCTCACCACAGATAGAAGAAAACGTTCCGAAGAATATTTAGTTATAAATTTGGCTGTAGAAAGAAAACTTTGAGCGATTTTCTTGCTTCGAGGAGTTCACCTTGGAAAACAGTAAACACCCGCGCCGGGAAGCCGGCTTATAAAGCTTCACGCCGAGACTCAGGATTTTTAGAGACACTTTAATACTTGTCTTCATGAATGAAAATTGTTATCTCTGTAAATGTTTCACCGAATTATATTTCTTTTTTTGATTGTTAGTAGTCTCTCTTGCAATTTTAATCGCTTGTCTGTGCCGTTTGTTTTCATCGTTCATGAACATCGCTTGCAGGAGTACTCAAAAATGTCGCGCGTATCAAACGCTTTATAAGATTACACATCGTTATAACTGAAACCATTAAATAACAAAAAAAATAATAATAAATTCGCTATTATGTTGAAGCTTTTAAGCTTCAACATAATAGCGAACTCTATTAAAGTCCATTCAAACACTC